GGTAAGAGTTGAGAGGTCAGAGGTTGGGTCAGTGTTTGTGAAATTCAAATCAATAGGCTTTGACAACAAACTGACCATAATGACTCGATTTCTGATCATTTACAGACTTTTTTGGGTGTTTTCTGGTTTAGTTATGTATGAATACTGGGACTATAGGTTTTAGGTTTCAGGTTATATTATGAATATTTTCAGTACTACTGCTGATACAATGTTTGATACATGTTTTTCTACATAATACATTTTTTTCATTTAAGAAAAGAAGCCTAATGTTCAAAGTAAATACACAACCACCTTTACTAGAAGAATTTTGCCTAAATTAAATAGTTAAAAATTGGCAACATTTTGATTTAAACCAGAAACAACTGATCAAAACATGACCTGTCAAGACAATTCAGTACTTGACAACACACAACTGACATATTTAAGCTTTTAACTGTTTGTGTTTTTATCATCTGCACAGTTTTTGCTAAGCCAATGAAAAACTAAATACATAGTGGCTCCATGTAAAAAACATTAAAAATTCAAACTAAGTGTTTATTGTTTTACTGTGTTAAACGATGACAGCGTTGTTGGACGTGGTATGTGCCACTGACACATTTGGATAGAGGACAGGTGTTGTGTCTTGATAAGGCTGGAGGTTTAACAAGAAGTCATGAATAGGAGTGAGAGCAGGGGGTTGTTATCGTGTGTGTGTGTGTGTGTGTGTGTGTGTGTGTGTGTGTGTGTGTGTGTGTAATGCTCTGCTCCATTGTGAGACAAAGACAACGGAGGTTTATTTAGGGAACAGGAAACACAGTCAGCTCTGATTCAGTGTGTTGGTCAAACAGCTGCAGCAACTCCTTAATTAATCCTAAAGTTTTTAATAGAGGATATAAAATAATGAGATTACTGTTTATGATGGCGATGTCTCTGCCTTTGTAGTGCTCAGCCAGCGTCATGGATTTTCCCTGTGCCGAGGCCACGACCCGAACTGTGCGGCTGCTGTCGGAGCACTCCAGGTGGGACGTGGCACCCAGCTCAGAGGCGTGGACGCCCAGACTCTCGGGCAGGGTGAAGGACTCTCGCGTGCGGTCTCGACAGTAGGACTTGTACCACCACTGCACCACCGGGTTCTGAGTGGAGGCCGTTTGGTACTGACATGGGAGGACCACGGACTGGAAGAGCATCGCAAACCGCTGCTTCTCCCGCACTGTGACATGCACGCCATCACACACACACACTGACACAAGAAAAAACACACAAAATACACAGTAAGTGAAATGAAAATTGGACTCTTTAAAGAAAATGCACACAAATGTAAAGAGCTTTTTGTCGAGCACACGTGATTTGACTATACAGAGAGCCATGCAAATGTCCCTCTAAGATAAAAATGTGTGCAATAACACTTCATGCACTGACAAAATTCACTTACTTAACGCACAGTAATCAAACCCAGGCACCTTCACAGAGAGTTTATTCTCTCGTTTCACACCCTAAAGAGGAATATCTCTCCCAGTATGACCATTAGAGGGGAAAACGAAAAGTTTAGGGCTGCAGCTAATTATTTTTTCACCTTCCATTTATATGTAAATTATTTTAATTATCAATTAATCGTGTAGACTAGAGTGAACAATAGATAATACAATTTCCTTTAGGCCAAGGTGAGATCTTAACATTGCATTTTCTGTCCGACCAACACTGAGTGGAGACAAAAACTGTTTAAAGACAGGAAAAGGACGCAGATGCCATCTTGATCACAGAAGAAACAGCTGCGTCTCTTCTTTGTCTGTGAGGATGATTCACAAGAGCGGAGAACTACACCTGGGAAATATTTAGTATAAAAACAAGAGCAGAGACAGGAACAGAGATTAGGTGTGTGGAGGGGGCTCCTCTCTGGCTCGGTACACTGAGGTCAGGAAGGTTAAATTCCAGTGTGTGTGTGGGGGGGGGAGAGAGAGCTGGGGAGGCCTGTGGAGAGGCAGGGGGTTGTCATCACAGAGGGAGGGGATGGAGAAGTCAGACGCTCGTGGGTGCTTTCTACTAGTCATATTAAGTCTAGGTGGGGCCGGCAACTCACTCTAAACATTTCCCAGAACAGGAAATCCAAACAAAAGCAAGTCCACCAGCCAACCTCTCCTTGGACCATTTATAGCATTTATCTAAGATGGATGCTTAACTCTGCTTATTTCCAGGCTGCCATTAGGACTGTAACCGAGGTTTCTTCAGTCAATTTAAAGTTATCAGTGTTTAGTTTATGAAATGGTGGAAAGTAGTGAAGTCCAAAGTGACTTCTTCAGATGTTCTGTCCAACTAACAGTCCAAATGTCATAAATATGTTCAGTTTACAACAATATAAAACAGGCAAATCCTCCAGTTTGAGAAGCTGGACAGTTAGTTGACAGTTTTGATTGACTGAAACTAATTTATCAAAATGGTTGCCAATTATTTCTCTGCCGACTACTCGTTTCAGCTCAAGTTTTACACCAGTGTGTTAATGATTCTGAGTTCGGTCAGACAAGCATCATCAGGTTTTGTCTTCCCCTGATAAGAAACTGCACTTTATCTGTGGTGATTGAGACAGATTATTTTTACAGGATAAGAGAACGAGAGGAGGGCTGACAGAGCTCCTAAATTCCTCCCACGAAAGAGCTTCGGTCTTCCCTTTGTTTCTTTTTTTCATGGACCAGTCCATTGTTAGGGCTGTGCTGAATCCCCCCCTCACCTCCCTCCCTCCCTCCCTCCCTCTCCGTCCCACTTGAGGAGCAGAGAGGGGGAGGAGGTCACGGACTCCCGACCAATGAGAGCATCTGGCCTTGTCCAGCTGGGTGTGAACAGACCAATTAACTGCTAGAGATTTAAATCAAACCGTTACTCTGTGAATGCCGTCAGTCTGAGGTGAGAGGAGGAACACAGAAACTGCTGGATGCATTGTAACAAGTCTTAAAGTGGCTGTTAACTATTGTTTATATGAAGTTAACACCAGGTGTGACTCACTGTAGGTTAATGGACTATTAGAGAGGCAGCAGACAGCCTCCTCCTCCACCTGCACACAGACTGAAGGCCTCATTTCAAGATTACACCACCATTTAAAACATTGTGTGGTCACAAATGTATTCCAGGTCAAAACTCAGCTGCTGCACATTTCCTGAACACAGCCAGGCTTTTCCTCTCCAAAGCTGTCACATTTCCTGCTTTTACCGCGTCTTACATTCCTTCACATTGACTCATTAGCCCAACAAAAAAAAAAAAAAAACCCACGCAGATAAGACTGAATAGTCTCCATGTATGATACATTTCAATTGTACGGTAAAGTTTGTGATAAGTGAAGTGAAGCAAGTTTGTCAAGAGTGCTTTGCTCTCTAACACAGTTACATTTTCAGCCCTCCTGAAACCTGATGAGCATGTTTTAGTCACTAAATGTAGTTTTAAAGGTATAAACGATAGTATAGTAAAAGGCTGCAACTAATGTTTACTAGTTTTTTATTAATCAGCTAATTATATTCTTGATTAATCTTTCTGTCTATAAAACATCTATAAAGAATGCTGCCAAAAGTGATTAAATAACTTGTTCTGTTTAATCAGCAGCCAAACTACTCAGTTTACGATTACAAATGCCAGAGAAACGCATCTGATCCTCACATCTGAGAACCTGAGACCAGCGACTGTTTGACATTTGTGCTTAAAAAATTAATAAAACGATGTTTTCGATCCTCAAAATAGTTGCACATTAATTTTATGTTAATGGACTAATATAATAATTGAGTAATCACTGCAGCTCTTGGTATATTGTACCTTTAAAGTACCATTAAAATACTTTACAATATGCCATTATGCTTTTATACAGTAAACTGTAGTGGTATACAGTACAGTTACAATACAGGCCTGTAACAGCAAAGCATCATTATCATGTTATACAATATAAGATCTGCACAATATGGTAAAAACACCACGTTGTTTTAATCTGACAGATATTGCAATATGATTCAATACTAGTGGGAATGATAACTTCTGTATTACAAATTAAATTTACATAAACAAATAACTATTAAAATCATAATGATGTGACATCTTTTGGGGTCTGTACCAAACAAACATTTATTCTTAAATATGAAGAACAAGATTTATAGGCCAAGGCATCTCAGTACTTCATTATAATGCTGTTTTATCAAACATTTTACCTTTAACAAACAATTGCAGCTTCTGTGATTTGCAAATTGCACTTATTTAGATTAACTGTGCAACCCTATAGTACCTACTATTACTGAATACTGGATACTATAAATCACGGAAGGGTTACCAGTGTTGTCCCTTACACCCCATAAATGTGTTATAATTAATTAAAAACGGGGATTAACATAACTATACTGGCGCATCGATCCAGTTTAATTCACCCAAATAAGAAATAAAACAAAGAGCAGCTCTTTCCTTCAGTCTCATGAGGCGGATAGGTCCGCTATGCCTGGTTTATGTGGGATCAACCTGTTGCGCTGTTGTCGTACGGATGGCACATTTTTAGTGAATAAAACACATTTTACTGAAGAAAACAAGACTTACCCGATGCTCCCAGTAAAAAAGCCAGCCGGTAAAAGTTCATTATACAGTCCGTTTTATAGTAAAGTGCAGTTTATCCGCATGTTGGTGCCTCTCGGTGTCCGCTAACTGCTGCTGCTGCCAGCAGGACTCACAGACTGAGACTAACGGGACTGTACCACTTCACTCAGAGGTGAGTCCGCAACCAAACACTGACCCACCGACGGCCCCTCCGCTGCTCTCTCATCCACACACACAGTCAGTGGAGTTAATTCTGTAGTTTGTCTCCTGAAGTGTAATTGTAATAGTCTGCAGCGAGTGGAGCAGCAGTGGACACCGGGTAGAGAGGTCTGCTCGGTTGCAAGGTGCAGGAGGGAGGAGGAGGAGGAGGGAGGAAGAGGAGGAGGGAGGAGGGGGTGCAGCGCCATGATAAAACCAGGTCAGACTTGGTTGTGAGTTTTGAGGAATTTTAGTTAACACAAACAGCAATATTTGACCAAATTTCTTTATTGAACTCGTTTTGGATTTAGCTACATATATGTATATATATAAAAAATGCTTACATTAATCGTTTATCACATAAAAACATGAACAAAAAGCTGCACACAAACATGTTATAAATGATCACTTTAAGTAAAAAATCAACTCAATATAAACTAGCACTTTCTCTGCCCCCAAATCAAACACTTGCAAAGGACAAAATGCAATAACCATACAAAGAGGGTTAAGACTTAAATGGAGCCTAAATGCAGCTGATGCACTTTTAATCACAAATACACTTAAAGATAATGTAGACATTTTATATGGTGACACCATATTTTTGCCTGAACAATGCCCAAAACTGCTGTAGTAGCTAGGTTGCCTGAATATATGAGCTTTACATGTATTAATGTATTAATGATTGGGTGGTGTCTTATGACCAAATTACATTTATTAACGTTTATAGATTTAGGCACATGGTACGTTTTCACGAAAAAGCAAACAAACAATATTAAAGCTAAAAAGAATTTAAAAATTAAATTTCTTGTACTTAAATTGTAAATCTTGTAAGTACATTTTAGAAGGCTAATATATTCTGGTTCAAGAGACTGACGACAATGATATATTTATGATGAAACTATTGTTAGGCCTATACATTTTAATTAAACTCCCTGGGTCCCCTTCAATTCAACAGAATCACTGTAATAACTGGATCATCTGTATCTGTAAGTACAGTTAGCTCAGATTATACATTGGCAGTTAGACCCACAAACCAGTAGTCACAAGCCTCGACTGTAAACTCTCAACTAGTGAACTTTATTTACCTTCAGCAGACAGAACCAGGCCTGTATGTGGGGCAGGCTTGTATGAGAGACAACCCTGTATTTCTAACTTCCTCAGTTCCTCGTTATTTGAATATTTGCTTTTACTTGAGAATTTGCGAGGATGTAAAAATCTATATTCCTGAGTCTCTTTACGATGTGAGTAAAATATTTAGAATTGTATCAAATAAGAAAAAGATTTAAAATAACATTCAGTAACACGAGGTTAGGGTTATTGATCGTCAATGTAATCGAGGCGATCACGGCTGCTACGATAGTGATTGCCGTGATCCTCCAGGCGATCACGGCTTCCACCGTAACGATCACGGCGATCGTCAAGACGGTCGCGACTACCGCCGTAACGATCGCGCTGGTCGTCAAGCCGATCGCGACTGCCACCGTAACGATCGCGCTGGTCGTCAAGCCGATCGCGACTGCCACCATAACGATCACGTTGGTCGTCAAGCCGATCGCGACTGCCACCGTAACGATCACGTTGATCGTCAAGGCGGTCGTGACTTCCACTGGTACGTTCGCGTTGATCGCCAAGGCGATCGTGACTGCCACTGTAATGGTTAGGTTTATCGTCAAGGCGATCGCGACTTCCACGATAGTGGTCCTGCTGGTCGTCCTGGAAACGTCTAGAGTCAATATCACTGCCCTTGCCACCATGTCTTTCTTTACCACTGTTATAACTGTGCTGATCATCCTCAATCTTGTGTCCAGCTGTTCCTACGCTGTAATTACTCTGAGGAACAACGTCAGTGTACTCTTTCTGGTTGGCTTGCTGTTTCTCGCTGGCTGCCTTGTCGTCACAGTACTCCTCTCCAGCTTCAGGAGCATCTCTGTCATAAAACACTTCTCCAGGGGCACTAACAAAATATACAAAAGACAGAACCACAACACCACTTAGATACTAACAATCAATACACTAACATCTTGGTGGTAGTTCACATAAACATATACCATACATACCCTTCAGCATTCTTGTCCTTGTTGCCCTTTTTCCGGCAGCAACAGAAGATGAGAATCCCCAGAAATACGAAACCTGCGAGGACTCCTCCAATTATACCAGCCGTGGACCCAATGTTCATGCTGGCTGGGGAGACAGGAGAAAAGACGAGCAGTTTTCACACTATACTTAGTCCAAGGTTAATGTCCTCTTTTAACCAGGTTTCACAGCTTCATTAACCATTTTGAACTTCCAAATTTGAGCTTTGTCCTTTCTTGCATGGGACATATACCGTTTACACTGATTTACCACTAACAATGGATCCTTGATTTCACACAGAAGTAGACAAAACAAGACTTCTGAATTGTAGTCCACAACTGCCGATTGCACAGGCTGAAATGAAAACTATGCTAATATTTTTTATTGTAACTAGGTAGCTAATTATTGTTAGCTTCATGAGGTGGTTGAAATGTTGTGTCCATAACAGTGAAAAGTGTGAAACCTATGAAGAGGTTGAGAACCACTGGTGTAGAGGATCCGATGGAAACAGCAGGACTGATTCTCTGTGGGTTCATCACAACCAGGCAAGCAGGTAAATCAGGTTAATAGGTGATCAGTAAATCATGTTAAAACACTTACGGGGCATCACAGCTAAGGTAAGGTTGCAGCTGGCAGAACCAACTTCATTTGTTGACGTGCAAATGTAGAACCCAGACATTTCTCTTGAAATATTGAAGAGAGACAGAACTCCATCCTCTGCAACATAATGACACACATTAAATTAACAATGCTGGGGGTTGATGATGGGCCATCCTTTACAATAACGCTGATGATAACTCCCTGTAACACATAGGTGGTTGAAGTACATACTTTCGATTGTCTTCACTGGAAATCTTCTGGGAAGGTTATCGACGCTGTAGCTCTTCCACACAGGCACAGGTTTTGGGGACCCCTCCTCAGACTTGCAGGTGAGGCTGATGTCTTGCCAGTACTCTGCTCTTCCCTGAATGCTGCAGACCGGTGGAGAGGGAGGCACTGCAAGAAAACAAAGAATTTAGATTCATGATTCAAGAAGCTTTATTTATCCCGAGGGAAATTACTGTGCAACAGTTTCAATACAAAGGTGGGAAAGTAATACAGGGTTATAGTAAAGATAAGCTAACATAACATAAAATAAAATAAATAATAAGATAAGGCTAACATAAAATAAATCAAACAATTAACTAAATGCAACAAAATGCAAGCACTTACAGGTAACATAAGTAACTAAAAGTGACAAATGCAACAAAAATTGCAGTTAAACGTAGGTTTATACAATATACAACAATACGCACCGTGCAGTTTAGCAGCATAAATTGAAATAAAATAAGTACAAACTAAATAAGTGATAAGGAGCGATTGGATAAAGTGGTATCAGTGGTAAAAGTGATAAAAATTGTAGCAGCATTTGTTAACAGCATAAATTAACTAAGGTACAGTACAACTAAATAAAGTCATGAAGTGAAATTAACATAAAAAGTTACAGTCACATATATAAATAAATGTATTCACAAGAGAAAGATACATAAAACTGTCATAATAATTAATTCTCACCCAGGACCAAAAGGGAAGTGGTGGCAGTTGGTGTTCCCTCGTCATCATTGGGGATCCTGACACTGCATTGGTAACTGCGGCTGTCCTGCGCGGTCACCTTCGTTAGGCGGAGTACGCTCATTTGTTGGTTAAGGTCAACCTCCAGAAAGGCTCTGCCTTCATAAGCAGGCGCAATGTCAACCACGTTGTTTGAAAAGTAGGTGGCCACTGTTTTCTGAAGAAATAAAAAAAAAACAGACTTTACAGATTAAATATCTGCTCGATATAATATCATAATAATAGGCTCTCAATATTCAACATGGTCTGAATGACTGTATAATCAATGCCCAAATACCCCAAAACAATTTATTTAATATTTGAAGAAATTAATAAACCTCAGTGCATTAATATGAAATAATAATGCCTCGTTCAATTAAATTTATAATGATGTAATAATAATGTCAATATTAACCTGAATCAACCAACTTGAGGCTTGTAAATGTAAATAAATAGCTTGTAAGCCTTTGTTGCTGATGGGATGTTTATTAAAAGGGTACTACAGTCATTTACTATGCTACTACCACAAAGGTGGGAGACTTGCAAGAGATTTAAACAATCACGTCAAAGAACTAAAACAATGCTCAGTCCTATATTTCCCATAATTGCTGCTCAAATGCAGATATTTTATTAGACCCTCCCACTCCCCCAGTTTATTTTCTGTTATAGTTATGTAGTCTCAAAGCCTGCCCATAAACCGATCTCTACGTGTTAAAAGAGTGGAGTTCCCTTTAGGTGGTTCACCACAATACGCTGTGTTAAGATGTTCTGACCACACGTTGTGCATGCAGCTAGTTTAACCTCTCACAATTTTATCACCAGATTTAAGAGGGTAAGCTTCCCACGTGAGGACGATCAGTTTGTTGTCTGGTCTGGCTGGGATGAAGGAACAGGTCAAGGTAATATCATCTCCGCTTACAGCCCGATAATTTTTCTGTGGAATAGAAACCTCAATACTCCTGCAGCAGGGAAGTACTGAAATAAAAGAAGGAATTAAGAACAGCCAATTAATGTGTTTCTCAGACATGTACTTCTGTAGTTTGGTATTTGGGGGACAGAGACAAATCAGTATGTTTGTACTACTAAATAATAATAAATATGGTTCTTTTAAAGCAAATGGAATAAATGGTTACACCTACAGGTCTCTGAAACACAATCCTGCTTCCGGTTAAGTAGCAAGAAGTTGGATTAATGATTAACAGTGGTGATAATACCATAAGGTGTGGCAATGGTTTATAGAAAACAGAAAGAATACACTCATAAAGCCTTACCTGTGAGGATCAGAAATACCTCTCGCCATCCAAGCTGCCTTTCAGTCATCGTTGCAGAAAGAGGATTAAAATGTCCAACCATTAAAAATCTGAAATTGATGCTCTCTGTCCAAGAGCAAGAGCCCGCCTAACCTTCACGGTCAACTCCCAGCTATGGAGAAGTTGACTCTTCCAGGTAATAAGTCAACAGCTATAGGTCACATGTTGCCAGAGGGCCAATCATTGATCTGTTTCCCTTTCATTAAACCTGCCCATGAGAGATGAATATGATATGGAGGGGGCTTTACAACAAAAGGGTTTAAATAATAACAAAATATAACATACAAAAATAAACATAGACTATTAATTGATCCATGATAGCGTGAAATATAGATTAAATTAGATTAGATTAAATGAAATGAAATGAAATTAGTTAATTGCAGTAGATCATTTCTAGGAAGGTCAAATTTTGACCTTCCTAGAGAGTTATGTTGAGCTGTGTATTCACATCTGGTGTTGCTCTCAGTTTGACCTGCAGGCTGCAGTGTTGCACTGACAATGACAATGCATGCGTTCAATACAAAAGGATTATTGCTTATATGTAACTATATAACTATAATAACAAAAACTATATCAAAAGGTGATGAATGTAGTCGAACAGATAATGATCCTGTTGCTTTAACCTTCTGTGGTCTGAGCTGTTACGGAGGAGTTAAAGGTCGGAGGTGTGAAGAGAAACTGGAGGTCTAACCAAGGTTTTTATTTTAAAATATGATGAATTTTAAACCTTGCAGTCTGTTTGTAGAAATGTGACCATGGCAACAAGACAGTGCGCTCATTCAGCGGCTTTGGCAGGAGGATTCAGATTTAAGCTCGATTCTGGACAATGATGCAATCTTGCTTGGGCCAACAAGTCAGCTGTGGTAAAGTATTCAGCCTGTCATAGACTTTATGTTAAGCCTGTGGCTGACTGAATGTTTCAGTTTAACCATTTGTAGTGTGAGAGAGAACCAAGATCTCTAGTTGGGGAAAAGAGATACTAGACCAAATGTTCTTATTAATTAGTGTGCAACATTAAGTTTGTTTATGATCCCACATAAAAATCTCCATGGATCTGTAATTTTATTCCATCCATATAGGCAAGGTACATAGCAACATAAAAAACAAAAATTTTCCTCCCATAATCAGGACATTGTAATCATGTACAAAAGCACAATACAAGAAAGCATCGATCTTTATGAAAATGTCCACATCAGAGTTGAAATCATATGAGCATGAGACGCTTTAATGAGACAGGAAACTGCCAGTGGCTGCATTTGGGATGTGGATGAAAGAAAGGTACTTCAACATCTATCTTGCACACTTATTGCCAGGGTATCATTGGTTAAGCTACATCAAGCGGACACCTGTACAAGCAAAATTTACAGCCAGTGTTTAGTTTGTCCATTCTGGGCTACGGTAGAAATGTGGAGGTTCAACATGGCGGACTGATTTATTATTATTATATATGACATTATTACATTTTTGATGAATTCTTTAATTCAATAAATAGTAAGTAAACTAAAGTAAAACAATGAGGAGAATGTTTCTTCAAGTAAACTGAATAAAGTATGAACACTGTCAACATATTGAAATGATTACACATTTTATTACACTGATTATTATTTAAACCTGCAGCAGGATGTTATTTGTTCTCATAGTTTGAGGGATTACTGTTATCGTCTGTAAGTGAGGTTTTGAACATTTACTGTCTGTAATCACACTTAATTTACAGTTGTAGGGTTTCATATATTTGTATCTATTTTTTCTATTGTTCAGGTGCCGGTTCAGGATTTCTTTCCAACCAGTTCTGTATGGTATGAAAATTAAGACTTGCATGGTCAGATTAACTTGTTGAGGGGCCCTTAGGGAAGTCAGTCAGGGGAGCTGAGAGAAAATCTGTCTGTATAATAAAGTCATACTAAATGCTTAATGCATGAAATTCATGGTTTTTGCAGTAACTTGAATGGCCTGGATAATTTATAGCCTATTTAATAGTTAATAAGAACATTTTAATTTTAACTTTTTACACACATTTTATAACTTTTTAGTTTAAAAAACACGACAAAACCTCTTTCCTGCCATAAATACCAGTCTACACGTGTAAATCCCAGTAAAAAAAGGAGAAAGTAAGTTCAAGCATTTTTATGGACTAATGGTTTTCATTATGCACCCCCTTACTTCTAGTGCCCCATGCGAGGGAAACACTAGCTGTTCAGCTCTTATTAACCAGTCTGTGTGTTGTGTATTTACACTGTATGTCACAGTAAACTGTGGCACCCTCATTATAAACCCAGAGACCAACTAATACTGCTGCAACAATGGCAGCAGGTTTTCTGTGTGTTGTTGTTTTTGTTTACGACTTGTATTTATGAAAATGTGCATGTGAGCGCAGTTTAAACTAAGATCATAAGAGTATTTCAGACAGGGCCACGTCTAACGCAGGACCTGCTTCAGTATATTAGTGGAGTCAATCAAATTACCAAAAGCATGCAGTGAATGTGACCATTAACCGGTTGGCAATCGAGTGCTAAGGAGTCGTGTAATTAACCACATTAAAGACCAAGTCTGAGTTACGCTCTCATTGCAGGGCAGTGCAGCTGAAGGGCAGATTGATTTCAAAATACTGTCTTGCATTATAATTGTAATTTACTAGAATGAATGCAGGCTTATGTTCACTGGGATGTGTACGCAACTTTACTTTAACCCTCCTTTTTACAGATTTATAAACACTTACTACAATGTAGGTAGTTTTAAGCAGATATAAGAATATATTTTATTATTTATTACATGATTTATTTTACTTGCTACTGTATTTATTAACAATTATCACCTCACCTATGAAGCATCCATAACTGGTGTATATACAGTTAAATAATAACACGCTGTAGCAAAGCAAACTCATATGAACAAATCCTTAAAGTGCCATAAAACATTTAGTATTTATACACAAATCATTCAGGCGGCATTAAAACTGTTTTCAAATGTGTTCAAAACTCATGAAGACATGTTGAGCTTTAAGGTTCATCGTTGGCCTCAGAAAAAAATGTTACTCAAGGTCTACTTACTTTTTTTTAATCTTTCATTTTGTGAAATGATCAGCTTGTTATTTGCAATAAAACTGCAAAAAAAAAACAAGTGGCAAGGTTATTTACGAAGGTTCATATGATTTAATTAATCTGCACACTGGGTGAGTGAATGGAGGATGTAATCTAACGGGTTATCTTGGTATTAAGAGCACATCAATGTGCAAGAAGTGGCTGAGATAAAGGAAAATATGTCCCTACTTCACATCCCTACATATTAGAGAAGTGACATTTCCTTTCTTTGGTCAGCCTTATAGGTCAACAACACATCTGATAATTTGTATTGAAGATGGATGTAAAAAATACAGTAAAGATAATACATAGTTTCTGTGCAACTACTGCTGAGTATGGACCTCATTAATATGGAAAGTAACAAATAATACAAAATAAATACGGTAAAAGTACCAGAAATTACAAATTCCATCATAAAATAAAATAAAATATACCTTCATTCACTGCAAGTTTTGTATATGATTTAAAAAACTTCTATAAATCTTATTTAAATCTAATAAAAATGTTCAGACAGACATGGGCAACATTTGTCTGCGTGTAGAATTACAGCCACAAATAAAACCCCAGTCAGCTTTTATACATCCTATTGTATTATTTGTATGTATAATCACAATACTCATAAAGATGATGTTGATATTGACACTTTCTAGTTTTTTACCCTCTAAATATTATTATTGTTGTACACAATGAGAGGCAGATTTGTCCCTTTTGACTATATTAGTCTTTACCTGACCACAGACTCACTGTGTCAGGGTCCATTAACAGCATTCTCCATAAGACACTGCAGGAGCTCAGTCTGTAGGGACTGCAGGGTCGCAGGTTCAAGTCCAGCACGGACCACAATGCACCAGCCCCGCCTCCTGTGCACTGCCGAGGTCCCCTTGAGCAAGACACCTAACCCCCTACCTGCCCCCGGAGCGCCGCTACGTGGCAGCTCATCTCTCCACCACATTTGCCCGTTGGGGGGGTTAATAAAGTATTTGGCGGGGCTGTAGTGTCACTGTACCTGCACACCGGATCAGATCCGCCCAAATTCACAGAGCGAGAAAAACTAGATGATTATTTAAGTATGTAAATAATATACACAGATAAACAACACGGCGCTCACACTCCTCTCCACACTTTACCCAGGTCCTGTGTGTGTGTGTGTGTGTGTGTGTGTGTGTGTGTGTGTGTGTGTGTGTGTGTGTGTGTGTGTGTGTGTGTGTGTGTGTGTGTAGCACTGGCAGGCTCAGGGCTGGGATTTCGGGTTAAATATTCAAAATGGCGGACGGAGGAGCAGCGAGTCAAGATGAGAGTTCAGGACCAGGTAATGATTACAGCATTTTACATATTCATACTCATATTCAAACTGTGTTACTCACAATGTTTGATACACGGAACCGAGCAGAAAGACAGACGGACCCACAGATGTGGATGATATCCAGCGTTGCCGTGGGTTACACACAGCTAGCCAACTGTACTTTGACAGAGGAGGAAACGAGCTATTGCAGTGCGACGGCAAATTACATGGAAACATGCCTCCCCCCTTTGTGTGATTAGACGGCTGTACGCCGCTACATATTCATACCTCTGTCGACAAATACAATTTAGCATATTTTATTAGTAATCTCCGACGTGACTCTGGTTCATATGTGGCACATTTACACATTTCACTAACGCGGTTTGATTGAAAATGGGGACGCTAGCAGGCTAACGTTAGCTGGTTGGCTAACGCTCGGCTTTGTGTTGATGCGCGCACACACACACACACACACACACACACACACAAACACACACACACACACACAGGCGTGAAGCTTTTGAAAGAGGTTTGCATATTCATTTTTTTTCTTGTCGAGCTGGGCAGTGGCTGTGTTTGTTTGTTTTCTGTCGGAGGAGGATAAATCTCAATGTAACGCGTGTGTTCGGTGAAGCAGTCTCGATATCGGCTCGGTGGTTTTTATAGCACAGCGTTTTCTCCTCTTTGTGCTCGGCGCAGTGGAGCCACAGCAGCCTGTTGTGTTATTCATGCGGGCCTGCCTCAACCAGAGTGCGGACTTCAGCACAATCCACCGGCCGACGGGACGCTGGAGCTCGTCCTGCGCCGCACAATGGGGCCGCATGTCCACACAACACCGTACGACCACAGTGACAGTAAAGACCCCCAGAGTATTCAATTATAAAGCGTCTGTGTGGTGGTGGTGGTGTTGTTGTTGTGGCTAACTGGCTAACACCTCCTCTAACTTGGTCCTGTCGTTTGAGGGCTAACGTGAACTTTACGGTGGCGGTAATTAGATTCATCTGAAGCACGAGTCGGGGTCGGTGGTGGTCGGTGGTAGTTTTAGAGGTTGTAAGCTGTTTGAAACTACAGTTTTATTGAAGTTGTTCGGATCACTTTTTGTGGTTGAAAGTGGGAGTAGTCTGGAAAAGGCTGGCGAGCTGTTTATCCACCTCATTAGAATATTTAATTCATCTCTATAACTTTTTTTATTGCTCCGGGCTGATCAGTTTTTTTTTTTTTAAGGTATCTGTCGTGTCCCAAGTGTTTGTCTGAGTTTTAGCCCAGCCTGTGTCTGCTGAATACAAAGATTGTACCTGTGTATACCCCCCGGTACAGGGAGGGGTGGTGAGGCCCACTTCCGGAAGGCCACAATAATAACAGGCAGGACATTCTTACTATTCACTCTGCCGGTTTCATGGGCAAGACACAGCTTGATGGCACTATTTATTTTAATACCGTGCAGATAAGTTTGTTTTAAAGGAACCAATCCAGAGTATGAATGTGTGTTTTTAGTTAAAACTACATAGGACGGTTTGTTATCTCGGGGATCTTTTACTTTTTGACACAGAAGGCTAAAACAATGTGTGCGTGCTATCATCTCAATACCTGTGTGATGGCTCAGGTGTGTTTACATTATCAGATTATTGCTGCAGTGCATAGTGTGTTGAATTATTGGCAGTTTAGGGCTTAAATGCTATAGACTACATGCATATCTTTGCAAGTCAGAACAGGATATTGAATTCAATAGGGCTGTTCTGTAAAAACATTTTTGGGTTACAGTGAAAAAGACAAATATTTAAAGCTTTGTCCTATAAAACAAAACCCACAGCATCCAAATACTGACTTTGATGTCATTTATCATGGCAATGGTAGAAGTTTTGAAACATTCAGGTCAGCTGTACTGTAGTTTCTTTGTTTGGGTTGTTTAAATAATAAAATTCAGCTTCATGTCTCGGCCCAAATAGTGATTTAGATTGTGTTCTTTGTTGTACCAGTACATACAAATTCATACCCTGCCTGCATTGTTTTGAAAAGAATCACAGCGTAACCTTGATATCACATTACAGGCAATTTTGTGAAATGTGATATATTGCAAGACAGTTATCATAGTAAATTTTATCATTTATTTTAAGGCAAGCCAAGAAAAAAAACGGTTTGTTTTGCATTTTGTGAAGTGACATCCACTGTCCGGAAAAAAGGCTCAGTTACTCTAAAAATATATAATTAACTTATTAAACTGGGCTCCTTAAAGAACAGATGAGAAATAATTCTGTCATCCTCGTACTTAGACTACTTTTCTCATTTAATTAGTTTTACAGTTCCACCCTCATTCCAGCCTTGTAGTTTCATCATGAATATTCATTGATGTAAACACAGTTGTTATGAATAATGCATCATTCGCCGTAATAAATTCAGGACATGCCATCTCAAAGTATTGAGAAGGCCTCCATGAAGGCTCCAGTCAGACAAGCCTTTTCACTGTGGAAGAAGAAAATCATAACTAATCAGAGCTCTGTGCTGTGCTCACAACAGATAACTACTTGTTTCTAGTAACCTGTAGGAAGGTGAGCAATTCATGGCTCAACAATGCAAAGCAAGAAGCTCTTCTTAAGAATTTAGCAAGGTACAGCATACTTACCTGTCATGTTATATCCGGCTATATAAGCTAACATGTTTTGGGAAATTCCTATAGGTACCAGAAGAAAATCTACAAAATGGGGGCTTTTCAGGAAAAGTAGACACAGAGGAGCTTATGAGCGGTGGATGACTTACAAGTTGTTGCATTTACCAAGCAACATTGCCACGTTGTCCCTGATGACTCTCATGTGCCTGCCACTATTAAGACCACTCGTTAAACATTTTCCAGGATTTCATGAAAGGTTTTTATGTTACAGACCGTCTCAAACATTCTTTAAACCTATGTTGTGATAAAGAGGCCTTAGCAAGAAGATATTCCTTCTAAACAAATAAGGGGCCTTCTTTAAATAGACGAGGCAACAGCGGGAGAGCTATTCACAGTCCTAGTAAAATCTGGGGGAAAAGGTGCCATATTTTTCTACAACAAGAAAGAGAAATACACATCACATGAATAACCAGCAGTTAATGCTAATATCAGCTTCCTAGGTGGTGAATTTATATTCCTACTCATTAAATATTGTTACTTGCCACCCCCTAGATAGAAACCTCACTTTTATTTAGTTAAATTGAGTTTTCCACCTAGCCTATATAGACAGTTGTCTAATGACCACCCAAGAGATACCACAGTAGCTTATACTGGTGTTAGCCCCATTACTGTTCATTAGATTACACTGCATCATCTAATTTGTTCATTTGTGAGTTTGGGTGTGTACTGTCTGTTGTCAGATTGTGTTGGTTTTATAGGTTGACAAGTATTAAAAGCTAGTTGAAACTGTTTGGATATTCACGTTGATTCTGCATGGAACCGGGAAGCTTTAGGTTGTTTGCTCTTTAATTCCCTCAAATTGAAAGATTATATGTCGTGACCATACATCCTGACCGCTCCAAAATCTGCTTAGTGCTCAGACTGGTCCACATTTGGAAAAGTGGTCTTGACGTATTCAGTGTTTAAGGCGAAGAATATAGACAGTAGGGCAGAATGTGGATGTGCTAATTAAGTTTTGCTCTGTCTCATGTTGAATCTCTCAGCTCACATTAACGGCTCTGCAGTATTCATCCAGCCTTCCCATATTACAGTACTAATGAGATACCTATTTAAAATTCTCTTCGCAGGATATTTGTATAATGCATTGTTCCACTGCAGGGTTTTGCAAACCATTCAACCATGTAACTGTACATGTGTTGAAGTGCACTGCAGATAACTGGTTTTGCATTCACTTCTCTTTTGTTTTCTCATTTGGTTGCACGGTGTGATTGTTCAAGAGGTCAGAAAGACGGACCCCTTCCAGATTTCTTACTCTAGTGTGGCATCTGCATCTATCTTAATGGCCTTCTCGGTAAACAGTGGGCTGGAGTTTAACTAAACACTGTGTTGTTTGAGGAGATCAACAGTGGAGAGTGGTATGGAGGATAATACAGTGTAATAATATAATGCAGTGTTCAGTTATTGTTGAGACTGCTGTTGTCTTTTACATTTTTCTAGCAAAAATACCAAATGTTCATTGTTTTTAGCCTCTGAATTGTGATTGTAAACTCAATACCTTTTTGTTTTTAGGCTGTTGGATGGATGAAACAAACAGTCACCCGTAACTTAAGTAGATATTTTTTTATACATTGTAGATCAAACAATTAATCTATTAATCAAGAAAATAATTGGCAGACTGCTCGATCACTTTAGTGCAGAGCTTTTAGAAAACTGCATCAATGAATAAGGTAGTCAGGTCAGAATGAACTACAAAACTACCTTTTAGTTACAGCCTTATTAAATAATGTTAAACAACACCCTGTTCATAGTTAGTTCTAATGAACACATTGATGATGAGCAGTGATGAGGTTTATTTCTGGGCTCATAAAAGTTTGGGAACCACTGGTTCTCTGTCCTCATCCCACTGCTGAACTGGTCTGTTTGTTTTTCAGTCTGTACCCGGCCACCGTGCCCTCTTGACATTGTTTGATTTGGTCAACTAGTATGTAAATGCCTTGCGTCAGGCAGGAGATATGTGAAGAAGTTGATTAGAGCTTCAGCCAGGAGCAGTTGTTGTGGATTTGGTTGTTAAGCCCCCTTCCCCTGTAGACCACAATACAGCCACACATTCCAGCCCAGTCATTCTGATTCACTGGACACCTGTGTAGCGCCGTAGCTGGGCTGTTTCCCTGATGTATTAACTCTTGGAGCACGCTGAAAATGAATTTAAAAGGGCTCCAAAATGAAATACTAATGGAATGTAAAGCTAATCTAAATATGCTAATCCCCAAACACTTCATAAACATAGACAGCAACAGCCCGCCACCCACTCTCTGTAGTCGCTCGCTGTGGAATGCTTTAGCCACAGGGGGTCTAGCAGTAATGACAGGCTTGTGGTGGATTAATGTGGAGTTATTTATTTCCGATTGAGCGAGTCCCCCACCCACTCATACTCAAGACCCCCAAACCCCCCCTCCCTTTTTAGCAGTTAGTCCCGGTCTCCGCGACTCCTGGAGATACTCCGAACGAGCAGTCTTAGACGTTCTATTAATGCAGTCCGCCTTGCTAACATGCCCAGACCACCGCCGACAGGCCTCACACTGCATTCTGGGATATCTTCAGCCCTTTACCTGCTCTTAGCTAATTACTTTTTAGCCGTGCATTCGCACAATAATTGGTCTTGTGCTGCTGCCTCCCCTCCCTCTGCTGTGCCAAGTGCTAGTTTGAGCACTTTTTTTCCCTTCTCTGTGTCGTCCTTATTCCCCTGTTTTTTATCGTCCTCCAAAAGCCATCCAATTAATATGCTAATGAGCTGATAAATATTTATAGGGGTTTAAATTATGCAGAAAGCTTTCAGAGCCCGGTGTGAAATGCGTCGCTCGCAGGACTTCAAAGCCTTGCATTGCTAACGAGGCAGGGGCAGATTTGCATACGGCTTTAATCAGCTGAATACTGATTATGCTTCATTATAGAGTTGGAGGGAGGGGAGCCGAGTTGGAGGAGGCCGCCAGCTGCACTTGTCGTTTGTTTCATTCCAGCAAGAGAGGGAGAGGTTGAACTTTTTCAGAAGTACAGACAATCTTGGCACAAGAGAGAGAGGGAGAGAGAAGGAGGGTGGGAGAAAGGGAGAGCGAGTGCAAAGTAGGCACTGTAAGAGAGAGAGGGGCAGAGCTATAAGAAAAGAAAAGAGTGCAGGGAGAGAGGGAAGGAGAGCTGTTTGCGTAAACCCTGTTGGCTTTCCCAGTGTGCGTATCCCAGTGTTGTTCAGTGAACCGTGCTGTGGACAGTGCCACTGTGTCTGCGTGTAGCTCTGGTTGTATTGAACCCTGCTCGCTGCTGACCAGTGGAGAGTGAAGAGAGGGAGGAGTGGGAGGAGGTACAGAGTGCCGGACACCCTGTCGTGGGTTAGCCCGGCAAAGGCAATTTTCCATGATAGGTTCTGCAACCATGCTGGAACACACAGGTGGAGCAAGAGCGGGTGAGTTTTTGATGAGGTTGCGATGGAGCTCAGCTGGGTTTTGTTGTTGTTGTTGTTCGGCGTCCTTGTGTGAAAAAGGTGTCGCTGTGTGGTCTGGCACACTTTGCATTTAAATATTACTTATAAGAATTAATTGTATTAATGTGACATCAGTTAGTATATCCTTCTGTCTTCTAGCCTGTGACTGTAAACGCAGTGTTGGTGACTCATTTTTCTCTGTTGTGTTGTTTGCCGCTTTGAATGGTGAATGTGACTGAAATGTTGTTGCAGGAATATCATCCAATTATGGGATATACTCAGGTGACAAAAGTGAGAGCATTTCTCTTATCATTGAGACAGGGTTGTTTTTTCTATCGGCAGTGGGTGTGAGTTTGTCTCACTATCTGTCTCTGTCTGGCTCTTCCAGATTCTAAAGTGAATAATCAGTCAGAAACTACTAAATGTGCAATGGAAAGTGGTGACGGGAACACCGGTGAGTGACCTCCAGCATTTTGTTTCTCTTTTTTTTTTTTTCTTTTTCCTTTACTGGGATGAAATTAGGATGTGCTGAGCTTTACCTCCTCATTCAACAGGTCTGAAATTCATAGCCAAAATGAACATTTTTGCAGCACAAATCAGAAAAGGGTCACTACTGTCCACCTTCTGTATTATTGACTAATTTAAAAGAAGACATGGCAGCTTTCCAAAATCCTTGTGAGCAGTCCTCTTTGTCAAATGAAGTGTTTACCTCACAGAGCAGTTTCCCTCACTTGTGCCTATTGAATATCACAGTAATTTGCTCTGTCTCAGTGCTTCAGTGATTCTGTGATATAAATTATCCAACTCAGGGTGAACATTGTAGATTTGGCGCTCAACTTTATATTCTTATTGTGTAATGACGAATTAAGTAAACATTAATGTGTGCTTCCAATTTACGTACCAGCTCACAGTGTTAATATTTAATTCAGTGATGATTCACCAGCCTGCATGCGGACCTATTCATGCAGCTGTGTAATGACTTTGGATCATCATTACAGTTACATATGCTGTCACTCTTAAAAACATGTTTTTAGTCATATTCAGTTTTCCTTGCACCTGGAAACAGTTTGTATACTGCTACAGGTTCACTGTGTGCTTCTAGTGTATTGTGTTCCTCATTTTTGTGTTAAACCAATAACGGCTTCCATGTTGTTATTGGTTAAGAACAGTGTAGATTATGTGGCCACTTAAACCACAACAAGAAACATCTTTGAACTCCTTTAACAGCATGTTTCATGAACTGTATTTCTGTCCTCAGGGATCCAAATCAATGGATTGGACTTTCAGAGGCACACGGTGCCCACCACAAGTGCAATCACTAATGCACATGCACAAGCCCTCCTCCAACAGGTAATACAACACATGATGCGCACTATCACACACTTTACCTCAAGTAACTTTTTGTTGTCCTATTTTTGTGGAGGGAGCAGATGTTTAACAGATAATTTTGTGGTGTAGTGAATTGTCACGATAAAAATAAGGTGTGAAGTTTGAACAGAGGTATGCTCATCTGCACTCACACATGCACGAGCCGAAAAGAGTTCATTTAAATGAGCCAGGCTCTCCTTGTGTCGCCTGGCAACAAGGCAGATTAATCAACCCTGTATGCTAATTAGCTGCTCTGCGGTTGCTCGGAAACAGATGGCCGAGAATATGCAAATCTATGCAGAATTTACATGCACTGCATAACAGTTATTTTAATTAGCATCTCAACTCTCCCCTCCCTTCCCATTCGCTTTCCTTGTCTCTGAAGGCTGCAGCACATTTTAAAAACCCACTTTCTCACTTCCTTTTTAATACAAATTCCTCTCCCTGCTCAAAGACTAAAGGCTCATTCTCAGAAAGCCACTCAGGTAGCACAGAAATTTGATTTTTAACTGTTTTTAGTGCCATGTTTTTTGACTGTTTTTGTCTGAATTAGATTATTTGCTCTCAATTAAAACATTTAGAATCTTGTTATTTTAATGACAACTATGTCGTTAAATTAAGAGACTTATTTGACCAGGCCTACCTTATGCTGTGTCAACAATGCCTGTAGGAAGATTTCCTCTAAGACCCCCTCTTTGCTTCACCTCCACTAGTCTAAGTCGGAAGACTCGAGCGCTCTTCCGACCTCCGTCCAGCAGAGCGTATTGCCTCAAACCCAGCTAATGTTGGCCGGGGGACAGATTGCTGGAGTAAGTGGCCTGTTGCCTCATTGCTTTGAGTTAAAACCTAGTCGTAGTCATGCATCTGGGTCGACACCTCAACACGATCAATCTTGGCTGAAAGATTGTGTGATGAAATGATCGCTTGCCCTGATTCTGTGGCTAAGGCTGGTGTCTCCTCTGCCTGTGTGTCTGTTCATCCCAGTGGTTCTTAGGCTATGTCCAAATTCTTCCACGGAGGGATGTGTTTGGACATAGCCTTGATGTGTCTGTACACTCACCGTCAGGCCAACCACATGACACCTTTCATATCCATCTATGTTCTCCCTGAGGCCATACTGTAGTCGCAAAGACCGGCCGGGTTGAATGCGGCTGCTGCTGTGCTATGCGGGAGTGAATGTTTACTGTGCATGTGGATTTGAGTTTGAACATGACATCAACATGCTCATTTGCACTTGTGCCTGGCTCAACTGCATGAGTCGTCTCTCCATTTGCCTGTATGGGCTCAGTAGTGTTTCCACGATAACAAAAGTTTCAATAGTACTTTGATACCTTCGTGAATAATTAAATTCAACAGAAAAATGTCAATAAACATTCAGTACTTTCACCTAATGTATTCAGTATTATGCTGAATCCACTTCAGTATTGTTTGCCACAGTGGAAGTGGGAAGAGTAAAATAAAGGAGAAATTGGACTAGACAGAGCTGCGGTATAGTTCATGACGTGACATGAGTGGAGCAGCCATTTAAACAACTGTTGGCAACAGCATCAAACAGTGCAGTCCCCCTGCTGTCGATAAAACTGGAGCAAGGCAGGGATGAATTGAACACACGTTTAGTAGTAATCGTTTAGTTCTATATTAAACTTTCCACGTGTATCAAAGTCAAAACTCAAGTATCGTGACAAACACTAACCCATCCAATGTCTATGAACTGATTTGTTAAAATGTTACTTACTTTATCTGTGTTTATCTCCCCCCCCCTCTGTCTGACCTATCACTACTGTGTTCCTCTGTCTCTCTGTCTGGCCATCGTTATGTATGTTTCTGTTTCTGTCTCTTGGTTTTACAGTTGACCCTGACCCCAGCGCAGCAGCAGATGTTGATCCAGCAGGCCCAAGCTCAGCTTCTGGCTGCAGCCGTGCAGCATTCAGCCAACCAGCAGAACAGCACCACTGGGGCCAGCATCTCAGCCTCCGCAGCCACACCCATTACCCAGTTGCCCCTGTCACAGCCCATCCAGATCGCCCCTGTAAGGCACAATCACCCATGCACCAGGGTTTCTGGTCCTTAAAGTCCTTAAAGATTATTTTAACAAACTCTGACTGTATAATTTAGATACTTAAATTCTGTTTTATTGGAATGATTTCCACAGATAGTTTCCAAAGCAGTATATTTCAGCTTTAATAAGAAACCCCATGAGAAGGCAAAATCTGAAAACACTCTGTATTATAGTAATTAATAAAATCTAGCTATTGCCCAGTTATCATTCTTCTTTTAAACCTAAATCGTGACAGTTTGGTTTTTATTAATGTCAAATAAGGGATTTGAATAGTTTTTTTTAGTCAAATACCCAGGGTTAGTTTAGTTTGTGTGAACACATTTTTATCAGGATCAAACTGCATTTATGAACATACCCTATCTTATTTGAATAAAGGTTCAAACAGAGAATACATATGTTGAGTCTGTTGGAGATCAACATATGACTTTTTTACCACTTGAATCCGCTACAGACTGTCTGTCTGGAGGCAAATGAGGCTGAAATGTGGATAATATGGAAATGTAATAAATAAGTCATGTTTGGTTTCAGACTAGATTAACTATTAACTTTTACAAAAATACCAGTGCTGACTATCAGGTTATAGCTTTAGTTATGACAGCAGAGTACCTGAAGATTGTTTTTCAATGAAATAAATAATAATAACATGAATATATATACAGCAGTGTTTAATTATGTTCCTGCAAATAACTAACAATACAAATTCACCTCTGGCTTGATTGATATGCCCTGTTTGTTAGAATAAAACAGACATTATTGGTATAGTCTGACATAAAAAAAAAAGTGTAGTATGTTATGTTAGTATGCATTTATAGTCTCGATGCTGTGGAGATGTAATGTAGTCTGTTGTATGTTTATGAAGAGCTAATTTCTCTACGTGATTACAGTGAAAATGTCCTTTGTTGCAGCAGCTACAGCAGCAGAATTTAAGTCTGCCTCAGTTTGTTCTGGTGCAGCCTGGCCACCCGATCGCCACACAGCTGCAGCCTCAGTTCATCATCTCACAGACACCGCAGGCCCAACAGAGTAAGTAAAACACTTAGTAGTGTTTGATTTGCGCTAAGAAAAGAGATATATTCCAGGCATTTGATTGTTATAGAAGCATTCTTTTCTACCTTAACTCCCATGTGTTCCCCTCTGTAGGTATATTGCAAGCCCAGAGTCTTCTAACTACACTACCTCAAAGCCAAGCTAACCTCCTGCCGACTCAACCAAGCATCACCCTTGCACCTCAGGTTGGTAATGATGCGAGCACCTCTTCTAATTAAACCCTAAAAAATGTGTTTCTTTTCCAGCTGTAATCCAGGCATTCACATCACAAAGCCAACGTTTCTACATTTGCATTTTATTCCTACTAATTTAAACTCTTCTGCAGTTTTCCTTCGCTGACTCTTAACCTTAATAACAATTTTGCTGTTACAACTACAGCCTGCAACACCAACCCGCACAACAGCAGCCACACCTAATCAGTCCCACAGTCAGACACAACCCAAACGGTTGGATACTCCCACTCTGGAGGAGCCTAGTGATCTGGAGGAACTGGAACAGTTTGCCAAGACCTTCAAACAGAGGCGTATCAAACTGGGCTTCACACAGGTACGTGTTCAAGACTGAACACATTAGCAATTTCACATATTTTGCAAATGATCATCTGTGGCTATCCTCATACTCAAATTCCTAGTGCATGTAGGAATAATGAACTTGTATTATAGGTGAGTAAAATGAATCACACTTCATCTCTCTCTCTCTCTCTCTCTCTCTCTCTCTCTCTCTCTCTCTCTCTCTCTCTCTCTCTCTCTCTCTCTCTCTCTCTCTCTCTCTCTCTCTCTCTCTCTCTCTCTCTCTCTCTCACCAGGGGGATGTTGGCCTGGCCATGGGGAAGCTGTATGGAAACGACTTCAGTCAAACTACCATCTCTCGCTTTGAGGCCTTGAACCTGAGCTTTAAGAACATGTGCAAACTCAAGCCATTGCTGGAGAAGTGGCTTAATGATGCAGGTTTGTCCCTGAACCCACCTGAATGAGCGATACAGAAGGACATGGAATGAGAACGCTTTGATCACTATGCATATTTAATCTTCGTTTTCCTCACATCGTGTAACGGGCAAAGGGCAGCGTGTGTATCATTACAATACCTTGTCTTTACCTCCCTTCCTGTCCTTTGTGTCGGTGCTGTTTGTGCAGAGAACCTGACATCTGACCAGGCTCTGTCCAGCCCCAGTGCCCTGGGCTCCCCGGGCATGGGCATAGAGGGGATCAACCGCAGACGGAAGAAGAGGACTAGTATTGAGACCAACATCCGAGTGGCCTTAGAAAAGAGCTTTCTGGAGGTGAGAAACTGAAGTTAAACATTTGGACCTCAGGAGGGAAATTAAGTTTTTGCGTGTTTAATGTTTAATTAGTAAAATGTCTATACATTACACTGTTATACATTTTTTAATAGACGTTATCTAGCAGCAGAATTACACGAGAGAACAGTCTCAGTGCTCACAGGGAATCCCTGGCTTTTTTGCCCTCTTCAAGCAGAACCAAAAACCTACCTCTGAAGAGATCACCATGATTGCTGACCAGCTCAACATGGAGAAGGAGGTAATTCGGGTCTGGTTCTGCAATCGCCGGCAGAAAGAGAAGAGGATTAACCCCCCCAGCAGTGGCAGCAGTGGAGGAGGCAACACCTCCATCAAAACCATCTTTACCCCCAGTAGTCCTTTGGTAAGGATGGACACACTTAAGTGATTGTTCAGGGTTTATTAGGGGTTCAAGACCGAGGGAGCTCGGGGCCACGCAGAAGTTTCTGGAATTAGATACAATTCCAGAAAGGTTTAATTGTATTTCTTTGTAAATGCAGCTAAATGACACTCTGCTCATTTAATCCTTCTTATTCTGTTCCCAAGGTGGCCAGCACAGCAAGCCTTGTGAGCAGTCCAACTATTAACACGCCCACCACTCTGACTGTAAATGCAGTGATGCCTCTCACCAGCACCAGCGTCTCCAGTTTGTCTTTCACAGGTGAGTACGGTTGGGCTTGACGTGTCTTTTACTTAATGGAAGTGTGTATCTAATCATGCATAATAGATTCGAAGGGAACTTCTCCTTTCTTCTATTTCTGCCCTCCCTTCCTCAAAGGCACGACGGTTGGCGCCACAAACACAGCATCCGTCATATCCACCGCCCCTATGGTTACTACAGCAACCAGCTCTCCATCTTTAAGCCCGTCGCCAACGATTCATTCCACAACCACAGAGAACAAGATTGGCACTCATGCGCAAACCATCGTCACCCAGGCCCCGACATCCATAGCTACCACTTTAGGGACGGGTCAGGTGATGGTGGCGGCTCCAGGGTTTTCTGCAGCGCTGCAGAGTGCTGCCCAGTTACCCACCAGTGCCAGCTTTGCTGCTATGGCTGCTGCTGCTGCAGGGCTCAACCCTGGACTGATGGCTTCCTCCCAGTTTGCTTCAGGGTTAGTACTGGTCATGTTGTTTAGGCCTCTGATTGTTACTTCTGTGGCGTTCCCTCAATGGTGTCCTCTCTATTGATCTAAATGATCTTGCTTGTGTCTGTGTGTCCAGGGGGGCCCTGCTCAGTCTGACTCCTGGTGGCCTTGGCAGTGCGCTGAGTCCTGCCCTCATGAGTAACAGCACCCTGGCTACCATCCAAGGTGTGTACCAATGTCATGACAACATAATAAACATTTACTGTGCAAGTATTTTCTAATGTGAGACAATATGTAATACACACAATACATACCCAACTTTATAGGTTGCATGGTTTGGAGATGGGAATTTCAACCTTGTTTGTCTTTAAAGAGACGAACATAGTGTGCTCTGTATGTCAAAATGTTTACTTGAATATAGTGACCAGGTAGCAGCAATACCCAGGTAGTGTTCTTACAGATTCTATGTACTGCTGAAAGGTGGTGATGACGAAGTGGTTACATCAAATGCTGATGATACATCAAATTGATGGTCAGTATAGTTGGTAGCATGTCAGGGAGTGAGGAGACAAAATGCAGTACAGTTCAAGGTTATTTCCCCACAAAAATAGCGTATAATAGCTGATAAATCGTTATTCAGCTTCAGTTTGAGTAATCGTGGTCTTTCCTTGAGGCCTGGTCTGCGGACCACACCGGATACATTAGGAAAACATGAGTTATTGAAACAATAAATAAAAAAGGCAAAGAAATTGAGTATGTAAACAAAAATAACATGTAGTTAATTAATAACCATAACATTAACAAAGAAATTGATAAAAAAAAAATCCATCATGGGTTTATCAAGATAACCCATTGTTTGTGTAATTTGTATAATGAAAGGAAAAATTTAATGAGGCTACCATGCATTTGCATATTAAGAGCACAATAATTCAGGCCGCGCCCATGAGGTGAGAGAAAATTACTTCTATGAATAGAAAAATTAATCTTGCTGTGCGATGATAAAATTAGATGATGAAAAGTCCCGCAGGACAGTGAGAAAAAAAAAGTCTTTGTGATTTTTATTTATTAGATTATTATTTTTAAATAGTAATAATCCCCATTTTTGAGCTCGCTCACAGTCTAAATACACCAACTTCTTCTATCTCCTCCACAGCTCTGGCATCGAGCGGCACAATCCCCATCACGTCTCTGGATGGCAGTAACCTGCTGTTCGCCAACACCTCTGGTACCACGCCGCTTTTCCTGAATCCCCAGACCCTGTCGGTGCTCACCAGCAACCCCGTCAGCCTGGTGTCGGCCGGGGCGGGGGGGCTGCAGGTCACTGCCGATGCCCATCATCAAGCCACCTCGGCTGCTGTGCCTGTGCAAGCCACGACCATTACCACTGCCTCCAAGGCTCAGTGAAGCCAGTCAGGCTGCATCCCGAGTTAACGCCCTATTTCTTATGTCGTGCACTACTCCTATCACACCATGTAGGGAATAGGGAGGTCGTTTCTATATAGGCTCTGCGCTTCACTAACCACCCCACATTCTTTCCATTGTATCTATCATTATTTAATCCTTTTGCTGCCACCAAAAAGAAAACAGCCTCAAATGAGGTTGGGGTTGACTTTTTTTTTTTTTTTTTAGTTTGTTTCCCGTCTTTGTCTTTATGATTCTTGGATGTTTCTGGGGTTTCTTTTTCTCCCACAAACAGTAGCCAGATGGACACTGTTGTTGGCCTGCGCTCCTCATGAACCTTGACATGTGTCCAGGAAGAGAAATATCCTCGACACCATCAAGCTTTTAACATTTTGTATATAAATATATATCCTCCTATTTCCAGGTCAGAATTTTCTCTGAAATACTTCTAACCAAAAACTTTAGGATTTTGCTCTTTTAACATTCAAACTAAACTGATTTACTACTAATTTCACAATATTCATCATCACTAATGGGGATTTGTGTGTCACCCCATCTTTAATTATCTCTTTTGTGTTTTTTGGACAGGCCTTGACATAAATCATATCAAAGTTATATTGTAGAGACTTTTTTTTTCTTTATCTTTGCTGTCTATATTTTTTGACATTTTCAAAACTTTGTAAGTCTAATATTAAGTTAAGATTTAACTATCAATTTTTAATCGTGGTTATAAGGCTTTAAAAACAAGTAATAAGTGGCCGATATAAAGGTTATCATTGCTTTAAGGGACGTAGGGACCAGACGTGTCTCTCTGAGTCTCTCTTTCTGGAAACACTGACTTTTACGCTTTGCTGCGGCGGCAATGAAGCTGCCGAGCTTTTGTAAAATGACGGTCTGGTTTCGGATTATAGACACTGATAGAAAATGACTGAAAACAGTACTTTGAGAGCTTTAAAAAGAGCTCTGTGTCCGATTTTGTTTTGGATGGTGGTCCATTGGAAAGCTGTATATTATGTTTGGATTCAGAGGTAGAACTTAGACGTCTGCATGTGTTGTCTACGGCTCAGGCAGATTCTGAGAGTTCAGTAACTGCATGATCCACGAGGCTCTGTGGCTGACCGGTCTGTTTTGGGGACGACTAGTCAGGGGGGCATGGTCATCATAATGTATGGTGGCATTGGCTAGATGGGGGTTATTGTATTGTGTTTTTGTTTTCTTTTTTTCTTTTTTAATAGTGGTACCGTCGTATCTACTTGTGCACAGTATCTGTACCAAAAAACTGGATTGATGAGCTGCAGTCTGCCTGTTTTGGGAGGAATGAAATTCTGTCTTTTTTTTTTTTTTTTGTCTGCAGTCATTTGACTGGCTTACGTACTTTAAGATATACCAAAAATATTTGTTAAAATAATTGCTGTGTGTAGTCGGTGTAGCTTAGTCTAGTCAATATATTTATGAGTACAGAATCTCTCTTCATTGTCAACAGAATATAGAAATGCAATATTTTGATGATCACTTTCCAAAGATTTCCTTTTCTTTCTTTTTTTTAAGTGTCTCATTGCTCAACTTTTAAATTGGCAGCACAACTGACAAAAGGAGAAGGATTGGTGGGTTGAGGCATGAGAAAGTAGTTTCCTTTTTATTCTTTATGAATTGGTTTTTATCACTGGGGTGTTGCCCCCAGTGCCTGATCCTGGTTTTCTTTGAGCCATTTGATGGCCTGTTTTCCTTTTTCATCTTTTTTGGCCATTTTGGTAGCAGTTTTGGACTTTTCTGAAGCAAAGTGGAAAGGTTCTGTTTTTTGGTTTTGTACTAATATTCAGCCATAAAACAACAGCTTGAACCAAAGTGGTTTTCCTCAGTAGTTGCTGTGCCTGTCCGAGCACACAATCTCTGCTCCCCACTCTGCTGACAAATTATTTCCCTCCTCTCCCACCTCAATCAGTACCTGATATTCCCAATTTGGTGCTGCTGGATAAAGGATAACAGAAACTTTAGCTTTAACAACTTGCTGCTGAAACTCCTGGTGGAGTTGAGCTGTTGAGGGGCCTGCATGCTTTGCTATAGCTTTATGACTACATCCTGTGAAAATCAGGTTTGTGGTTTAGACCCTCCCGTCTGGAGGGCGCACCGATGTAAATGCATAGATCTGATCATCAGATAACATACTACACCTCCTCTCAGCACCATTTTTGAACCAGCATGTTATGAAACAATGTGCTGCTCCCTAAATCTGTATGTGGACTAGTTTTTAAAACCTGCCAAATTATCTTAACCCAGCACAGTGTTGGGCTAAGTACTGTTATGTGCTACACATTGAACTAAACCCCACATAAAGTAGCATTGATCTGCTGCTTCCAAATAACAAAATGAATTACCACAGTGAAATCACTGAAACTGTAAGCAGTGAGATTTGTCCACATTATCCTCTTGTGTACTTTCCTGTCGTTGAATTATTTTGACTGAATATACCTCAGCAGCACTTAAACATAAGGTTCACCTTTAGACATTTCTGTGTATAGAACAGTGTAGAATGTATAAGTACTGTCTGGCTTGCCATTCAAAGTTTATACTGATGAACCATACATAAAAGGACAACCTACTACTGCTATTTTCTAGTACTACTATTTATGGGGTATTTCCAGGTTTAAATGTTATTTTGAGATCCTTCTTGCCAAAGTAAAAGCCTTTTCTCTTTGCAGCTAGGCAGGTGTCTGGCTGCTCATGTTGCTGGTTTCCCTGTCTTTGAGGCCACAACGGGCCTACAGGACTCAGTCCTATTCCAGTGCTGTTTGTAGTTACTAATGAGTTGAACATGTGCTAGCAAGATGAACCAGTTGCCATCGGCACCATAGGATGTTACTGAAATATTTATCTGAGGAAAGACTTAAGAATTAGAGAAACGATCTTTTCTTAATTCTATACATATAAATATATATATAAACACTTGTAAGATATTCATATTTTATATTTGAACCAGTATGTTATCAAGACTGAATGTAGTGTTTATCATGCTTACTCAAAAAAAATTACTCCCCTAAATCTTCCTTTTTATTATTGCAAAATAGCAATTTTTTTGAAAACTGTCAAGACCAAAAAATAAGTGATGAAACCAGAGACCACGCCTCGGCGGCGCGTGAGTTGCTGACACCTGTGTCTGTCGTGTATCTGCGAGGTCTTTTCAACAGGATGGGCCCATTCAGGCGCTCCTGACTCTGAAGCATCTGATCTTAATCTTTTACTAGATTTTTTTTTTTTTTTTCATTTTGTGTTTTTGGTTGAGTCGTTGTGGACTTGATTTGTTGTGCTGTCTTTAACAATCATTTGACTTTTTTTTTTTTTTTAATATTACTTTATGCCTTTAATTGTTTTGTATAGTGTGAGAGGGCAAGATCACTGGCTTTCTTAGTTTGACAAAGAAGATTAACATTATCATTTATGCCTTATTGTTACGTAGAAGACATGAGCATTGTAGCATTGTGTGTGTGTGTGTGTGTGTGTGTGTGTGTGTGTGTGTGTGTGTGTGTGTGTGTGTGTGTGTGTGTGTGTGTGTGTGTGAGCGTGTGTGTGTGTGTGTCTGAGCGTGTGTGTGTGTGTGTCTGAGCGTGTGTGTGTGTGTGTCTGAGCGTGTGTGTGTGTGTGTCTGAGCGTGTGTGTGTGTCTGAGCGCTGAGCTCACCTGGTGCATTGTTTTCACTGAAACAATACAGTGTACTTTGGGCATTTTGGAGCGTGATTATGTTGCTACCTATGTTTTTAGGTGTGACTTAGACAGGTTGAGGATACCTGTGAGAAAAGCTTTACTAATAATTCCAGCAGGTGGGTAGGTGTGTGTGTGTGTGTGTGTGTGTGTGTGTGAGAGAGTTTAAAAAGAGAGAATAGGGAGGGCAGTCTGCAAACCATTATGGTGCATTTTCTTTTCCATCTTCCAGTGGATGTTTGAGAGTGATTTTTTAAAAAAATTGTGAGATATGAGAGTACTTTTTTTGTTTTTGTCCAGAGGGGGTGTCTACTGATTAACTAAAGCCTTTAAGCAAGCCAGTTTTGAAATTTTTAGGTAGAACTACAGTTTGTGGTCTTGGTTTGACTGGTTCATCTCTACTAATGATCTTAACTTTCAGCTGACTGTCTTTTTAGCGCTGGCTTGGCTTTAATGTTTTAGTTTCATGACGTGATTGTGAGATTTCAAGATGTTCTTGTCGATCAGCCATGCATCATGTTGGCCCACCACACTGGTTTGCTGGTTTTTAAGATTGACAAAGGAAGTGCGGAGCACCAGTAAAGCAAAAGGAGCTGTTGTATACCTCATTTCTAACTCAAGACTGAGTGAAACCTGCTTTAATCTACTTAAGAAATAGAAATATAAAAAAATAAAAAAAATCACAAAAAAAGATGAAAATACACAAACTTGTGTCAGTGGAGAAGCCCGTTCGTACCTGTGCTTTGTGAAGGGTTGTGATAAATGCCACCACAAGGGGGAGACAGATTACATACCAGTACTCATGAATGTCTGCTGTTTTTCCTTCACAATTTGGTGTTTTTATGCTGCACACTGATGTATATCAGCATTGGATGGAGATAGTTATTTGTAACTTGAGATAAGTTTATTTTAATGTATTGTATTCCGTTACTGTCTGTCAGAAGTTACTTTTGAGCACCCCTCCATGTTTGAACACTTCTTTAAGTTTGACAATCCTGTTTTTATTTTTAAGTTTTTTTTAAATTTTATTTTCACTCTGACCAGGTACAGGTATGTGCGTGTCTTCCCTCATTGTCGGTGTGTTGTCGCAGCCCGCTCTCGCTCTCCTGTGGTACCAACATTAACCAAAGACTTCTCACTTGATTGTATATGAACGACACCGCCTCTCGCCCCGTGCCCCGCCTCACTGCTCAGCATCAAATCCCCGGCTGCACACTCTCTCACCGGAGCCCTCAATTCACCTGTAAAGAGTTTGCTTTTTATTGCATGCGAATGTGTATCCGCCTGGAAACACTCCGGCGTTGTGTCGATGCTGCGGTTTCAGTGCCTGTGGGCGGGGATCGGAAGGGGGCTTGAACAGGGGCTGAGCGGGCTTCTCCGACAGACATGAACCAATCTGGTGGTAGCTGGGTGATGTTTGTTAATACACACTGAGGGTTAATCCTGTGCACACTGTACATGCTCAGGACTCTGTATGTTTGTCTGTCTTGAGCGCTGTTGCTAGGATGTCCCCCCCCCTCCCTCTCCTCCTCCTCCTCCTCCACTCACTCTCTCAAGGACTGTGGTGAAAATGCTGTTCCTGCCTCTCACAGTGTGTCTGTTTCTTCCTCATCATCCGTACACTGTATAGCCCCAGGACATTAACCCTGTTGTCTCCAGGAATACACATCCTGCGGTCGCTAAAACTCACTGCTGTGTCCCCCCCCCTTCCTCCCCCCTTTTCTCCTCTCCGGCTCTCTCCTTTGACATCGTCTCTTCACTACAGACTCTGATCAGCTGTGACACTATGCATCACGGTCCTTCACTCTGCATGGACTGTGTCCCTCCGGCTCAGAACTCTGGCCGACGGGCTTCAGTGACACTTTGTTTAATGCTTTACTCCAGGTGAGGTTGTAGGACCTCACAAGCGCTATCCCAAAGCAAAAATCCAAATATTTAACTTTTGACAAATGCAGATACCAAAGATATCTCTCTGTCCTGTGTCTTTCTCGAGCTGTTTTTTCTCACCCTTCCACCCTGCAGCATGTGTATTAAGAGACAAACCCAGCACTGGCTTTAGTCCTAGCCTCAGTAATTCCAAAGCTTAGATGTATATTTTGGTATATTTCTGAGAAAAACTTACGTGAAAAGCGTCTGTTTCTCGTTTGTTTGTTGTAATCTCTTTTTTCTGTCACAGCATGGAACTAATTGCAGAACTGTCTTACTCTTGGTAGGTTAAAGATATAGTATTTTTGTATGTTTTTGGGTGTGTCGTGTGTGATTTATCAGTTCAGTTCAGCCCAAGTGACCATGGCTTTCAACAAGAGAGAAAAATTTGGAGGAGAAAAAAAAGAGAAAACACCAACCATGTACATATTATGTCTGTGTATCTCAAGAAATGCATTCTGTAAAACATTTACTACTCACATCGGAAGCTTGGGCTCATCTAAAGGAATGTGTCCTAGATTTTATTTCCCTTTTTTCTTATACTGCAGTCTGATATGAATAGTCTTCCCAGGACTCTAATGTAAAGAGTTCTGGTTTCCATCACGGACAACAACACTGAGGGACACTGCTCCGATCTGACTACAAGGAAAAAAAAAAACAAACAAAAAAAAAAAAAAACCCGCCTCCAGTCATGGCGGCATAGAACTGAAAGATTGTGTAGGAGTTTTAAGTATGTGAATCAGGATACATAGTAGATTTTGATGCATTTGTCTGCTGTATTTTTGTTTGTTTTGTTTTTATACACATATAAAGATAATCTTTTACTGTTAATGTACAGTTCTCTTTTGTTGTAAACATCATTAAACCATTTTCCAAGTGTTTTGACATGTACCTTGTCTTTTTATTTGTATTCAGTTACAAACAGAAAGCATACTGTGATGAGTTACTGCAGCCTGAAGCCCCAATCACTCATTATATTGTAGCCTCACTAGCGACTTCACATCGTGCTATCATAAGGTATAAATTACCTACTAAATGTATAACTGAATACCGATGACATTGCTGCCAGCTTGTACTTTGTGTTTCGTGCTAATTGGTAAATGTTGGTATGCTAAAATAACCTGACACACCTGCATGCTAACATCGTCATTGTTAGCATTAGCACGTTAGCCAGTGCTGTTCCTAATTACCGCCTCATGTAGCCACTAACATGGCTGTACTGTAGCAAAGCAATGTGTGGAGGATGTGTAAATGCAGAAATAAAGAGTTTAATCTCTAAGAGTTTATGAGCTTACAGCAAAGTTAACACAACATTATTTTTGATTAATACAATACAAATGAAATATGATGTAAATAAAAACAGGCTCATTACAATATACTGAAAGCCCAGGGTTGTCTTAAAAATTACTCTTTTTGTCCAAACTTTCTAAAACACAAATATTTACTATTAATTGATTTTCAAAATATTAGCTGATTAATCTGTTAATCAATTAATTGTTTCAGATCTTTGAGTGTTGCTGTCTCTTGACACGGGAGAGGCCATGCAGGACATCATCAGGGAGACAGAGGTGGTGGTGGTGGTGCTGAAGTACCGGTGATCAATGATTCATAAGGGTCTTTATCCCCCTGAGCTTCGGTCGGCTGCAGACGGGAGAGACAAAGTTAAAGCTCTGCATCGATTGCAGCTCTCTATCTCGTGACATCAGGGGCGGAGGAGTCTGCATGTTTTAATTCACAGTGACTACAGATAGCTCATGATCACCATAATTGGTGCAGTCGTAGCATCCTACCGGTTTGTTGTTTTATTCACAATAATAATATAAATAACATTGCGACAGACTGTCTTTCTAGAACTATGAATGTAGTTTTTGTGTAAAGTTTCTCTCTAATAAGCCTTTTTCACAGACAACATTTTGCATGTCACAGTAGGAAAACCACAGGTGTAAATAATAAAGTGAATGATATCTGAATTCCATTTAGCTGCTTCAGTTTCAGGGTCCTGGTATTGTTCACGCTGGCTCACTGTCATGACTTAGTGGGCCACTTGAACAGAACAGAGCCATTGTTAATGTTATCAGTTACACCTGTTACTGTTATTTAAAGATGGTTTGAGATTATAAGCATCATCTACTTACTAATAGACCGAAACAATGTTGATTAAATGTATTTTGAGGAGCAAACATATTTCCTGTTACATATCCCACAACTGTAAGAAGCTTATTTAGTTTAACATTAAAGAGACTTTGAGTGAGTAAATGATCTTACCTTTGCTTTCTTTTTCTTGACAGCTTTTTTCTAGAGATAAAATACGACATAATAATGAACAGTTAGGTGCCATGAACAGGCGAGAATGCGACCTTCAAAAGTGTCCACGGGCAGAGAAGGCGACTTACCTTTTTTTTTAATGGTTCAAGCACCTGGTAAGGATCAGCATCCTTTGGTCTCTCCAGCTCCTAGAGAGGAAATATGACATTATAAACACATACGTCACAGCAGAGTTAGACATCATCAGTGGTGTGGGAGTCCTCCTCACCTGGTAAATGCCTCCATTCTCTTCCTGTTTAGTCAGTTAGACACAAAAAAAAGTTAAATAAGCTTATCACATAAACATGTACAATATGTCAATCAATAATCAGTGACATTGGTCCTCATGAGCAGTCACTGTCAAATATAAAGACACTGAGGGAGATGATGTGACTTACAGACGCATCAGCCACAGGTGGGACGTAGGAAAACTATAGAGAGCAAGAAGAAAATATAACAAACATTTTATAAATGAATACAATAAATATATACGTATGTGTATCATATATATATCATATACATGTCTGCAACTTATTGGATCTTTCAGTAACTTTCATGTTGACAAATAACAAAAGTTCAAACTTATGTCTTCAAATTAGTCGATGTCAGGATGTGTTGCTTTTCTCTGTTTTATATTATTTTTAATTAAATTAGTGAAATAAACTGGGCTTTTGACTGTTGGTTGGATAAGACAAACAATCTGAAGATGTCACTTGGCACTCTGGGAAGGTGTGATGGACACTTTTTTAAATAGATGAATTGTATAGTTGCAGCCCTGCTTAAAATGGCTATTTTAAATTGTTTACCAATGTGAAAACAGAGAGAAACAAGCACAGAAGCCTTAATCAGGAATTTATACATTTCGAAAGAATAATGAGTCATCAAGTATTTTCCTGTCAGTCAACTAAACAATCCACTAACTGTCCTTACAGCCCCAGTCTGGTGACCCTGAAGCCTGCGTGCACTTCCCGTGCTGTAACTCACTTTTTCTCTGTAATAGAAAGCCGTGGCAATGATGCAGTAAATAATCAGGATCCCGTCCAGGAAATAGCAGGTGACCGGCTCAGTGAAAAAAGCATCTGCAGGAAAAACAGAGAAGACAGTTATTTAACTGCAGGCAGATGTTGGAGGTAAATAAAAGTACACTCAATGATTTTATGTTGTGACACTTGTCCACCACAAACATTTCAGAGAGAAATGTTCATTTTAATCCACCACTTTTATCTGACAGAGATACCAGTTGCTTAAGTGTGCAGATCTGTATCTAAAGAGATAATAGAATTTAAGATAAGTGTCTGTCCCCAGCAGCCAAATTCATGTCACCACAGCAGTCTTTCTGTTTTCAACAGTAAAATAACTGTTTAAACGAAATTAAATAAAAAAAACATAACAAAAATATTAACAAAAGCTATGAACATTATGCATAACAATATGTTGTTGTGTATCCAAGAGTTGTGCAAATATCTATGAATATGTAAAGATAATAAGTGCAACCCTAAAGTCCTCGTAGACCTTTTTCACACATTGACTTAAAAATAAAAGTTTTACTAATAACATTAACAAAATGTCCCAGTAGGTGAGCCAGCAATACTAGGACCATGAACATGTCATATGTTAGGTTTATAAAATATGATGTGTCCTCTAAGTCTTATTTTCTTTAAAAAGTGCTGTAAGAATTTTCCAACCTCTGAGTGTTTTCTATAATGTACATTTTCATTTAATTCTAGAGCAGTAAATTGTCCTATTACAGACACTCAATTCAAGGACATTTTTAAACAAGTTGATATAAATAAAAAATGTAAAAATTATAAATTCAATATAACATAACATCATTCTGCAATGGCAGATTTTTAGAAAATCATATATAATGTTTACACAATAAAACACCATCAAAGAAACAATTTCTCTACCTTTGATACTTTATGTACATTTTGCTGATAATTCTTTTGATAAAAACTTTTACATAAGTAGGACATTGATTGCATGACTTTTACTTTGAAATAAGTATTTATATCATTTGGAATTAAAGCTTTGAATACTTTTGGGTATCAGTAATATGTCTATATATGTATTAATATCTGTATCCTCACTGATCACAATGAACAAAAACCTTGTATTACCAGTTTTGGGGAAATTTTTTATTTATGTTTTATCTGTTTCTGTTCTGTTTAAATACTAACTTTTATCAATTTTCCAGCTAATAGTTGTTTATTTTTGCTTAAGTAAAAAAAACTGAGTGCAGAAAATTTACTTGTAAGAGTACAAGATAAGACTTCACATCACAGCAGCACAAGAGACACGCTATTCAGATAAAGCACCATTTAAACAACACAACTAAATCAGAATTTAACAAAAATATATTTAAATGAAAGCTATATGTGTGCTTAGATCATTCTACATTACATTGGAGAGAACAAGTAAACAAGTAGGAGCAGTTTATGGACTACACCTTATATAATGTGTGTGTGTGTGTGTGTGTGTGTGTGTGAGAGAGAGAGAGAGAGAGAGATAATCCGTTAAATGACATACAGGATGTCCATTTAGCAACATAGGATGGAGGAAAAAAAGTACTATAGCGAGAGGCACATGAGAGAATTGAGTAAGACCCCTGAAACAGGAAAGAAGAGACTACATATCTGCAGTTCAGTGAATTAAGTGTCTTCCTGTGTGCTCTGAGGTTGAGGCTTGTTTATCTCTGTGTGCGGTTGGAACAGAAGTCATGTTGTGACAACGAAGCCAGTGATGGTGATTCTTTGAAGCTATAATTTCCCATCAAAGTTTGATCAACTAAAGTTGTTTCAGGATGTAACTTTTCTTGTTTCTACTATTTTTAATCTTTAAAAAGGCAAATTGTGTAATTATAGTTATTAACCCACTCAAAATGAAAACTCTTGAGCTCACCTTTCAGCTTTGCTTTATCTTGCTTGCAGCTGTTTAGTACAAAGATAAACCCAAATCTGTTTTTTTTTAAGGCTGCGGCATTTCATAAAAGATAAATATTGTGCATTATATTCTACACATTTCCCCCGAATTCAACCTGAAATTCTATCTCTAGTAGAATTTAAAATGTGGGTTTGAACAACATCTGGCTGAACATCGAGTTTAGAAGTTTCACACACTTGCATGCTTTCTTACAGAGAGATAAGAAGCTCTGATAAACTCTCATGTCTGCCCACCAAATATGACGCTACAACCAGCAGCTGGTTAGCTTATCTTAGCATGAAGACTGTAGACAACAACAGGGGTAAACAGCTAGCCTGACTATTGATCCGTGAGTTTTAGAGATGCTGGTTGGCCCCATTGAGTTACCTTTGGACAAATCCAGGCGAGCTGTTTCCCCTGTTTACAGTCTTTGTGCTAAGATAAGCTAACCAGCTCTTGGCAGCAGCAGACATATTTAAGACTGGTATCCAACTCTCCCTGGGCCACCCATGTCCTGGAGCTGGGTCCTTTCCGCGCCGCATCGGGTTCGCTTTGCTGTTTGTCGTCCCCCGACCCCCTGTGTCCCTCTTTCTGGTCGGGTTTCTTTGCTTATCTCATCCAGTAAAAGCAATAAAAATACTCCCCCCGAACACAAAAAAGAAAGCGCCTATTATAAGTATATTTCATAAGTATATTTCCCAAAATGTCAAACTAGGAGCGGCCTACTACAAAGTCATGATGTGCAGCCAAACATTGTTCAAACTCTCAAAATTTTATTTCAAATTCTACTGGAGATCTCAAATCTTCCAAAAACAAACGTGATATGTTAATGATGAGCTGGAACAAACTATTACACAATCAATATGTTACTGTCAGACAGTGTGGAGTTTCATTGATCGTATGTGTGTACTGTACTTTAATTGCTCTCTTCATTGGTAAAGCCAACATTTCCTGATTAATATTTAGTAATTGTTGCTAACTCAGTCTGACGAATATAATAAATACGTATCTGAAATTCTTTGATATAAAGCAAGATATCATCAGCTAATAGGAATTAATTATCTTGGAAATCTAAATGTCACAAGATTACAAGTACGCAGCAAAGTTGTGAATACATTTATATGTCCAGGCAGCAACTCTCACAAACACACAATATAGTGATTTTTTCTGCTGTGGGAGTTTCAATGTTTTATCTTCTAACATCGTGAGTCGCTGTGGAAAAACGAAACAGTGGAAATTCACCTTTAGTGTTTTTAAATGCGGAGGGAAATTATTTATTCATGCATGCCTTCTTGTAATCCCTTCATCATGATGAACCCCACTTAAATACATGGCAGGACATGAAAGTGGTTTTTGATCATTTTGAAAATATTTTTTCACAACCCCTCCTAACTACGACATGAAAGAAAAGGTCTGGGAAACATCAAATGCACACAAACTTCAACTCATGAAATCTCAAACTTCTCAAGTTAAACCCAAAGGAAAGAAAGTACATTATAGTCAGACACATATGGAATTATTTATACCAAGACACCTTATAAAAGGCAGAGTAAGAAGAATGGAACAACCAAACTGCCTCTGCAGTAATTTAAGATCAATAAACATTATGTTTATCTTCAATGGTGTATTTTTTTGTTTCCTGTGTTTCAAATATAGAAAACAATTTTTATAACCCTAAATGGAAAATGTAATTATTCTCCATGTCTTAATTTCCATGCCTTGTAAGAAGACCTAAAATAGCTCTACGTTTTCCATCAGATAATGCTGTGTGCAGAAAATATCTCTTCTAATCTCTCTTGCTCTTTTGCAATGCAGGAATCAGACAGGTGGTCTCATGTGTACTGCTCTGTATAGATATTACTTCTCCAAAAAAGTGAGTGAACAAGTGATTTAAAGTATTTAAAGGGCTGAGTGCAGTGTGTTCTCTGCGCAGAGAAGGTCAATGTTACGGAAGACGGCAAAGATTTTCACATCAGTGCATAAATATAATAAATTCAACATAAGTCCCCTAACACCTACTGACTCCTGTCCAACACCAACCAGGTGATATGATTGTCCCTGAGCACATATGAAAACAATTCAGCCCTTTTTTTTAAATTCAAAGAAAACACAAAATTTCTGCTTTGTATTTGCGCCACTTACCTTTACAGGAACCCGGCACCAGGAGCACAAACAGCACAAACACACCTGTCCTCTGTGCGTCCATGTCTCTCCCACCTTGTCTCTCTTTCTGTCTGTGTGTAGAAACAAGGTTTTCTTTCTCTCTCTCCTGGTTGTTTTCTGGTTGCCTCGTTCTTGTTTCCCCCTCACTCTGATCACAGGAAGTGGCTGAACTCACTACCTGCCAATGGACTGAGACGCTGGCTGTGTGAACTTCAAAGCATCATACAACCTTCAACACCCACAGTAAGTCTCACTGACTGCGTTGTGTTCAACTGTTTCCCCCCAAAAACCTGACAAAATGTATTCTTCCAGGCATCACTCATGAGATATAACAAGCAGGGTGGCTTACGTGTACAATCAGGTCACCTTTTTTTAAACAAACCCACACAGTTACAGATGTTGGGTGGGTGCTGTGATAAAAGGTGGGTCAATCTTAACTGGGACAACCAACCTGAATGAACAACCATTGATATCTCTAGTTTGTGGTTAACATTTTATTTTTACTCCCCTATTTAACATTCAATATTAAATCAATTATAATAGATGGTTTATAGAACATTATACCACTATAGTTTAGTTATAAGCATACATAAGAAGAGATTTAAGTGTTTCTTTATGAATTTTTACAACATCTATAAGCTGTTTTTATTAATGTTTGATAACGTTTGAGAATTTCCTTTTTATCTGTGACAAATTCTTTATAAGATACTGTTCAGAGTCATTCATTATACAAGATTACAGCTATGTTAAATGTTGTTATCAACCTGTTTATACACCAGTTAAAGATGCTTCATAAGAGGAGTTATAGTTTTAATATACAACATAAATGCCCTTACATCTGCGTATGACTGCATTATAGCATTGTTATGAATAAATAGTAGTGGTTAAAATAAGGTTTATATTGCTGGATTCTCTTCAAACAACTTGCTATATGTAATATTACAAATTATAGCAGTACTAGATTATAAAATAGGCAACAACGTTTATGTGAACTGATCCTTTATAACGCTGGGACATTTACAGATACATTGCAGAAGTCAGTTAAACTGAATTTTCCGAGGCTTTTACTGGGGTGCACAAACTATATAAATGCAACCTGTGTCACTGGCAGGCAAACTAAACCACAGGTTATCAAGAGAGTAAAAATCTGATTGTGCAGATTATGAGGTACAAAAATTTCCTGTTGGTTTACAGTCAACTAGAGTAAAATGTGAACATCCCAACAGCAGCCTGCAGAAAGACTGATCTGACACTTGTAGCCAGTTACAGCCAGTTTAAGTAACTGTGTGCCCAAAAGGTCAAAAGATAGGTTGCCCCTATGATACTTAAATGTTAGTGTGTGTCTGCGCAAAGGAAGAGGGTTACAGACATGAGACCTCTGCATCTTTCCAAAGTGTCGTGTCTCAAGTTGCATAATCACACTGATCTGTGACACTTCAGGAAACTATTGAACCAGCAGGCTGATGAGTGAGGCCAGCTTAAGTTGCACAGAGAGGAGACTTCATTTTACACTGGTGTGTAAAATGTTTGACTGAGGCCTGACCTCAGGAGCCTTTAATTAGATGCCCACATCCAAACTTCTGGACCCCTGTTCTGTTAGTTAAATCAAGTGAGTATCATCCTGTGAGGGGCAGAGCCAACAAAACTATTTACATTCATTTTGTATCTTATATATCTTGCCATAATGTACAAACATCCGTATGTCCTGTATGTAAAATCTTAATCTGCAAAGTAACCAGACAATGTGGTAAAGCTGTCAAAAAGCAGTGATTTAAAAAGGGGTTAAAATGGACACACTCAAGTAAAGTTAAAGTAACTCATAATTCTACTTAAATACAGAACTTGAGTGAATGTGTTTTCACTAGTAGGTACGGGACGATTTGAACATTTCGTGTCACTGTTATCTCGGCCAAAATAATTACGATATTATCACGATAATCCTGAAAATATACTTTATACTTTTCAAATGGCACTAAAACATACAGGAATCACCTTGTTAAGAAACACACATATTTATTGCATCACAGAGATAAGGCACCTCGTCTCCTGATCTATACTATTTCTACACATCCAGTTTAAGTTTGTGAGGGATACAACAGGGAAGCCGAGCCTTCAGCCCTGCTGACAGGGTTAGGAATTTGGACTGCCTGGAAGGATGCTGGCTACCCCTTGTACCCTTGTTCAAAGTAAATCAGGAAATCAATATCAGACTGTATGCTGGTGAGCTAGACAGCTGTTTCAAGTCTAACCATGTAAGGATATTCACAATTATTCACAATTATCACAATATTGGAAATTCGCCACAATAAAAGGATCTTGTTTTTATCGCTGTACGTGATAATATCGCATATCGTCCCGTCCTTATTAGTGTACAATAATCACCTGAGAATAAGAATTGTTGTTTTGTTACCTTAGAAGGAGCCTTGTTTATCTACAGACGCCACAGGTCCATGGAGTCCATCATGTTGAACCCCCACGTTTCTACAGTAGCCCGTAAGGGGCAAACCAAACACTGGCTCTAAAAAGCAGCTTTCACATTTAGTAGTTTCTTTTAAACACTTGAATGAGGAGCAATATTCAGTTTCACCACTAGACATTAAATCCTACACACTGGTCCTTTAAATGAAAATATCTGATAAGGTTAGAAGGGAAATGTTTATTTAGTGGAACTGATAACAACTCATAAACATCTGAAACATGACTAAAAACAGATTTTATAAAAGAGATTACAAGCCAAAAAGTTCAGAGATCTCTGTTTAACCTTTAACAATGTATTTTATTTGTTTTTTGGAGTAAAAACTACAACAGTTTTCCCTCTGACTCGTAGAAGAGTGTCTGATCTCATATCAGCATATTAGTTTATATATAACGTTAGTAATGTAAAGAACACACACGAACATAAAACTACTCTTCTACATGAAATAAGTGTGTGTGTGTGTGTGTGTGTGTGTGTGTGTGTGTGTGTGTGTGTGTGTGTGTGTGTGTGTGTGTGTGTGTGTGTGTGTGTGTGTGTGTGTGTGAGTGTGTGTGTGTGTGTGTGTGTGTGTGTGAGTGTGTGTGAGTGTGTGTGAGTGTGTGTGTGTGTGAGTGTGTGTGTGTGTGTGTGTGTGTGTGTGTGTGTGTGTGAGTGTGTGTGTGTGTGTGTGTGTGTGTGTGTGAGTGTGTGTGAGTGTGTGTGTGTGTGAGTGTGTGTGAGTGTGTGTGTGTGTGTGTGTCGCTGCTGTTCACCACGTGACTTTCTGGGTGTTTCTTAAGCTCCTGTGTCACATGATCGTGACGTCAGTCTGTGCAGCGGCGTTAAAGTGTGACAGTCGAGAGCAACTTCACCTCGCGACTGGCATTCACAGACAGACAGACACAAAATAAGTTTAATCTTACAACCAGAAACGAGAACATCTCTTCATCACCTCAAAGTAATCAGAGTTTGAGTTTCCTCCTCCTCCTCCTGCTGTCTGTTTGTGACGCTAACGTTAGCCTAGCTAGCACAACACCTAGCCACAGAGCTAGCTCAGTAAGCTAGCGGCGCCCTGTCTGTTGTTGTGTTGCTGTGATTTCACTGACGAGCAGCTGGGACTGAAAACCCGACACAAACAAAAGGAAAAAACATGTCTCAGATCGGCGGTGTTCAGTCATGGTGCCTGGGTGTAACGTTACAGCTGGTTTTAGGTGAGTATTGATCCCGGTTTATGTATCATTAAATACCTGGAGAACAAAACAATAAGGTCACACCTGCCCTCAACCAGAGGGGCTGGGTGGGTAAACGTGTGTGTGTGTGTGTGTGTGTGTGTGTGTGTGTGTGTGTGTGTGTGTGTGTGTGTGTGTGTGTGTGTGTGTGTTTAACTAATCAATACACCGACATGTAGGGTATTCTGCATAGGTTGTCAGACCCTTTACATGCTGGATAAATGAGGCTGTGCTGGTGTTTTAACTCATAGATGCTGTGTGGATAGTTGGACTGTAATTCTGCTGAGTTCACGTCTCTGTGGCGCTAGTTTGCGTCATTGTGAGTTCAGTCTGCGGCTGTTCAGTCAGTCACAGAGGTTGAATCCTAAAGCCCCTGTTCACTAGTTATTGTCCTTTGTCCTGCTGTCCTACTACATGGGAGACTAGAAGTGGAGAAATGAGAGTGTAGGACATTTAAATTCATGGTAATCTATAATCAAAATGGAGGTGTTTCTATTAATAGTGGTGGGAAGTAATAAATGCATCAAACTCTGTGATGCTGATTCAAGACGTATAAAATAGTCTGCTTCTAATAATAATTTGTCTGATATGGGGTTTGTTCCATTTCAAAATGGCTACACACAAGATGTCTCCTACTTCACTGAAAAGTCAATGTTCAGTGTTCAGTGCAAAGGAGGTTTCAAGTTTCCACATCACACTCGTGGTTGCATATTGGACTGCGAATGGCTTCCAAACTAGTTGGGATCTCACGAAACCATCTGATCTGTCTGCGTCTGAAACTGAGATTTAAGGTGAGCCCAGAGGAACTTTCCCACTGCAGCTTATGTTAAACTCTCACATCCTCCTGCACAGGGAAGGTGTTCGGTCAAAGGTTTTGTTTGATCCCCCTAAATGTTAGTGTATGAAATCCACTTGACAGTTGATGGCGCACTAGAGCACCAGCATCTCAGACCAAAACAATGGGTCTTTGTTAGTCTTTCCAACAATCACCAAGGCTGGTTTGGTAGAAATAATCCCTTTATTCACCCCGTTAGTTGTGGCTATGCAAACAAACCAGAGAGAGGCTGCGACTCAGGCCCAGCTTTTGCTCTGAAGGACCGGGATGCGATCGCAATGAGGAGAACGAAAATGCATTAAAAATACTGGGTGAAAATGTAATGGCGAGATCGGGTTGTATACATTTTTTTTCTTGACATGCTTGTTTTTGAACTTGTCCTAGTCAAGGCTCAAAATTAACTTTTTTCCTCAATGTCTCACAATTGTCCCAAATTCTACTTTCAACGGCCCCGGACTTAACGGCCATTGTCCAAACCTGAAGTTGTTTTTTTCCTTCTACATAATGAATATAGTTTAATAACTTTGTTTCAGTAACTTGTATCACTTCATTGACTCACTCTGGTCTGCCGTGGAAGTCCTGCTAGTTGTTCTCTACATGTCTATCTGCATAAAACACTAGAAGTGCACTCTGTGTTTGGCCACAATCATTTTATAATTCTTTTAGTCACAGTTACTGTTTTTAAAAAATCTACAGAGGGAGGCAGAAGATCAAACAAACTACTTCAATATTTACAAGCTATAGGAGCGCCCTAATCCAGAGATCTGGAGAGTAAGCGAGAGAGAGAGGTCAAACAAGTCCCACCTGTCGCACCTATTCACTGCCTGCAGCACAAGAGGAGAGGGAGAGACCACGTATACTACAGTTACTCTGAGCAGAGTGCTTGGGAATGAATTACAAAATGATGCATATAATTATATTTCTCTTCTTATCCCTGGTGATCTCAATGAGTCGCTAAATTTGTTGCTACTCACTTTTTAGAAATAAAGCCACAAAGAGTTTGGCAATGCTGACTCTCTAAGATTGATTTTGTGTGTCTAAGGGCTCATGTAACGCCGTGTAGAGCTCCTGCTGACGTCACCTCACGTTATTTGAAGTTGAACACCTAACATTTAAAATTATATATAATCGATGAGTCTTAAATTTAATAAAGTTAAGTGTTGAATATTTTCTCTTGCCTGCTGTAGACAGTAATTGTTACTTATAAAATGTTATTGTATCCAATTGCAGGCTGTCAGGAGAAGTTAGACTCCTATCAACTAAAAGTTGGATTGTGTGTGCAGGAGGCTGTTTTTTTATCCTTTTCTTGTGCAGTCAGCACCATCAGAGCTGCTGCTGTCTACAGTACGAGGCTCATTATCTTATAATGGGAAAAAGTGTCGATTTAAGCAAGAACTTAAATAAATTCATAATTTTTCATTGGTTGGTTAATCCATCCATTTTCTGCCACTGATCTGGGTTCAGGTGGCTTTAATTTAATTAATTATATCATTAGGAGTTATTAGTTATTATTCTATATTGCTGTGAGGTACTGAAGCAGCTTCCTAAAAGGCCTACTGAAATGGCCTAATTGTCTGTCCTGGTTTTCCATCATACCTTCATACTTTGACCAGTATGGTATTGAATTGCATTCTATGTGGTTTTTAAATAGTCTTAAATTTAACTTTGTGAACCCTGCAGAAACCCTGTATTTATTTTTTTATTTATTTAGTATTGAACCCCTTTCATCTCTGTAACACTACCCTCATAACTGAATACCCTCTTCAGCTGCCGTCCTGCACCAGGGTTTTGCTACTGTTGCCCCGCCCACAACTGCCCAGACCACTGCTGCACCGCACAAGGAGCCCGGCAGACCCGAGAAAGGAATCTACCACGTCACCAGCAGCAATGGTACTACCTGTTTACTGGCATCCATGGGTCTCCAGCTCAACATCACCTTCAGCTCTGTCTCCCAGAATAAGGTGCCTGAACACAAAAACTCAACAGTCTGAACACTGCAGACACAGGCTTAACAGGTTTGAAATGCTGAATGTTCCACCATTGATTTGCAGACGGTGCAGGACGTCGTGAACCTTCAGCCCAATGTGACAGTAAGCTCTGGATCATGTGACTCAGAAAGCGCCTCCCTGCGGCTCACAACGGATGCAGAGAAGACCAACCTCACCTTCTTCTTCAGCCTGGTAAGACACTGTATCTGCCTTCATCACAACCACGTTATAGAACCCCCCCCCTTGTGACATTTAGCTTCTTGCTTTTTATTTTCACCCTGTGCTTCCTGAAACTGCCACTAGATGGCAGCTGGAGCTTGAGGTAAACTTGCTTTTCTTGTAGTTTCACTGACTTCTGGTGGTCTTGCTGTTTTTCTCCAGAATACTACGTCCAATAAGTACCACCTGAGCGAGGTGTCTCTGTCAGCGCTCTGGCCAGACATGAAAGGTGAGTGCACTTTATCTGCCAGGATCTATACGAGTATAATAAACACCATCCTATCCTGTGATCCTCATCGGTTTATGAATGTAATCAGGGTTTTTGTTGGCTCAAAGTAAAGGAAAGGTTGACACAACAGCTGTAACTCACTCTAATATAAGGAAAATAAATATAAACACACAGTTAGGATCCATATGGGACGTATATGGATCCTAACTGTGTGTTTTATATTTATTGTGTATCTCAATCACTGACTTTGATTTGGTGTTAAAATATTTACTAAATATTACACAGGAAACAGTTTACTTTACTCCCTTATATGTTACATCTAAGCTGATTATTTTCTACACCGCGGTGCTTAAAATCTACTCTGAAATACTAGAAAAACAGGAACATCCGTATGATATGATGTAATCTAATACAGCAGCCCTGCAATAAATCCTGCCAATTATGAAATATTGAGTTTGTGTTGAAACTGTGTCAGAGAGGTCGTGATCCAACGACATCATCTACATTTTGACCGCCATCGACAAAATCGTTAACCTGGTTGTGCCTCCATCGCTCTCTTTCTCCTGCAGCGGTCCTGCAATTCAGTCTGTAACACACTTACAACGTTTTGCTAGCAACATGAATCATGTTATATTTTCAATTAGCCCACCTGTAGTGATTGTGTTGCTTCAACAGTTGCTCTTATTGTAAAATGGGTGCAATTACTGTTGCGATCATCAGGTCTTTAACAAAACAAGGTTTAAATTCTCTATGCCAGAGAAAAAAAACTTAAATCAGACGTCATCCTCCTCTAAAGTTTATCTCCTTTGTTTTAAATCAGTTTTCACATTTCTCACTCTGTATCCTGTCTCTGTTCCTTTTGTTTAACCGTACCCCTCTTCCTCCCTGTAATCACTCCCCGTGCTGTCCTCTGCTTTAGAGCCCTTCTCGGCCCGTAACCGCAGTCTGGACTACCTGCGGGGAACCCTGGGGTACTCATACATGTGCCGTGAGGAGCAGACTCTGAATGTGGCCCAGGACCTGTCCATCAACACCTTCCAGGTGCAGGTGCAGCCTTTCGGCCTCACTGGAGATCAGTTTGGAGCAGGTAAAACTCTTCTGTCTGCTAGAGCGTGATAAAATACATCTACTGCGTTCTCGCTCTAAGTTCTCCCATCTGGTGTGTTTTTTTGTTATCTCTCTCAGCTGAGGAATGCCAGTTGGACGAAGATGACATGTTGATCCCCATCATAGTTGGAGCTGCTTTAGCAGGTCTCGTCCTCATCGTGCTCTTAGCCTACCTCATTGGCAGGAAGAGGAGCCATGCTGGCTACCAGACCATCTGAGGTCACTTGTCACTCTCATGTTCCCGCGAGGCCAGAGTGCACTATCCCACCCTTGAGATTAACCACTGTTTTACGAGACTTAACACCCCACCCAACTACCCCTGTCCGCCTCTGTCCCTCCATCCTACCATCTCCCTGCCTTTGTGTGTGCTGTTCTTTGCCCTCATCGGTAACACTAGTCATTATCACTTTGTGGAGGTTGATATGCTCTTTCTGAACTGACTGCTCATAGAAAAAAAGGGGGGGACTTTTTGGAGATTGCAGTGAAATGAGGAAAAATCTCTTTAATGGTACGATGTGAAGCAGGGGATGGGTGTTGATCAGAAGGTCCATGAGAGTTCTCAAGTTGTAGTTTACTATTTATAATTTCTGTGAAAGGAATTTTGAGGGATTTAAGGGAATTGCTGCTGTAGCTTTTCTTATTTATCTGCTTTTGGGTTGCCATTTTTAATGGCCTTGCCCTGAATGAGGTTTGTTATTGTAAAAGGGAATATTTCAGGCTGTTTAATTTAATCCACTTCAGACAGTTGGGATCTGACAGTTTTTTTTTTATTGCAACTCTGCATTAAGCCCAATAGTGCAGATTTTAGGGAACAGACTAAAAACACAGTAACCCATTCATTAAGAGGATATGTGAGGGGTCTCGTTAGTGACCAAGACGGATGTAGGGATTTATTTAGTCCACTGGGATTGGTGATGATGGGTACTTCTCTCCCTCATTAAGGTTCTGAACACATTTTGTATGGAGAGTACAAGTGCAGTTGTCAGCTTTGTAAGATAATTATGTTTGGGCAGTTTGGCCTTTTTCACTTCCTTCTTAAAGGAATAGTTTTTGACACCACTCTCATGTTTGCTGAATACGAAGCTACAGCCAGCTAGCGGTTAGCGTACTTTAGCACAAAGAAAGTGTTTTGTAAGGATTAAACAAGAGATACCTTGTGTTGATTCGTGAGCTTTAGAGATGCTGGTTGGCAGATTTTGGCGAGAGCCGGGCTTGGCGTCTCCCCGTTTGCAGTCTTTATGCTAAGCTAAGCTAACATCTCCGTGCTGTAATTTCATATTTACCATACAGACATGAGAGTGGTATTGATGTTCTCCTCTGAATCTAGGCAAGAACATGAATTTCCCAAAATATCAAAGTATGAGTTTAAGTGAGAGTAGCCTCTCTTTTGGATTCTGCTGTTACAATGCGCACACACACACACACACACAGACACACACGCACACAGACACACAGACACACAGACACACACACAGACACACACACACACACACACAGAGGAGTTGCTTAAACAATCTAAAACAGTACTGTCTTAGGTGGACAAAAAAGCTCAGGACATCACTGTCAGAACGTAATAATGTTGTTGTTGTAAGTGTTACAGTCCACCGGGTGGTTTCTGTTTGTTTTTCCTTCCCCCTGAATGTGGGTCCACTTGGGATTTTGGTTGCTGAAGGGAAAGAAGTTGCACTAAAGTCCGGAGAAACAGCCCCATGTAATGATTAAAGTGGCCAAATATGCTCTGGTCAGTGTTCATCAGTGCCTTCCCAGCTGTAACATAGATGGGATTAAAGTAAAGCCAATACCACAGACATACTCACTCACTCACTCACTGACACCGTGTGCTGTCATGTCTGGGTCATTTTCTTTGTGTCACACATGGCCTTCATGTACTGTTACTACCATAAATACACATTGTTTGATGTAGTAGAAGAAGTGTTTTTTTATGTGCCCCCCCCCCCCATCTAAATATCCATGTAGTGATTTAATAAGGTTTTAATGGAATTGTTTGAACTGTTTTCTAAAGGAGAGGACAATAAAAGTGACTGAATGACTGTTTGATTTTTTGTTTTGCCTTCATACAATTCATCAGCAGTCAAACCTGTTCCTGGTTGGTCTTTGTTTGGACTTTTTAGAAGTGTAGGTACAACATAGGTTACAACATTATTCGGAAAACAATCTGAATAAAGATTCTCTTTTTAAATAGTTAAACCTTCGGTAGTAGGTTTTATGTCCTTGAGCTATATATCAGTCATTATTCAGATGCGAGAATAAAGGCCAGCAGGTCTCTGATCCACAATATTTTAATACTGTGGACTACTTCCAGAGCCAAAAGGTGTTAAAGCGGTAATGAAAAAGATGGCCAAATGTGATTAAAATAAGCGATCACAGATGACACAAAATGATTACAAAGGGATGCAAATGGATAAAAACAGACAAATTGACTACCGATGTTTTCTTAGGGGGGGCCTCGGGGTTGTTTTACATGTCTATGTTAGGGGGTCTGTTGTCTGGCTGTAGGCTGTTTACTGATGTTACCTCATACTAGAATATGTTAAGTTGTTTATTTGGCTTTCATGTGTTACACCAAATAACTGTTAATAATGTACGATTCATTATTACCATAATTTGACAAATATGATGGTAACTATTGTCGTCTTTGTCTTTTTGAGACATGATTGTTCTACGACTCAGCAGTCCTGGGGGATGTCTAAATTTAGTATAGAGCTACAGGTTTAGAGTGAACTATTGTTTAAGACTATCATATTTACACTGAAGTTAACACTTCCCTGTACCTTTGTTTGGCAGAAGCATTTTTGAGGTCAGCTAAATCAGGAAAAAGATTAGGCCCATCATTAAATTTCTGTTAACAATAAAAAGTGACACACAAGGTTCTGTAAATGAGGACCCAGCGAACTGTAAACACCTCATTTTACTTCATAAAGAGAAATGGATGGTTAGATCAGTGTTGCAGTGTAAGAGACGTTCATTCTCTTTTCCCCATAAAACACTCAACTATTTCTCTGCAGTAAAAACAAATTTTATCACTCCCATACAATAGCAAAGTCATGCTACTATAAGTCCAAGTAATAGAAAAACAGCTTTTACTTTCTTTTCTTGTGGGATGATCTTGAAGTATCTATAGTAGCAGAAATATCCTCAAACATGGGACCATGAGCAAAAGAGGTTCAAAAAGATCTTGAAACATCAGTTGACAAGCTTCCTTTAGATATCCGTCAGTCTTCTGGATTAGTTAATAGAAGCAACCAAGAAGCCACCAGTATGTCCATGTTGGTAGTAGTTAATTGTTCCTGATAGTCCCAAATAGAAGGTGGACCCAAACCTTTACGGATGTCCAGATTCTTCCTCCAGTATTCGTTGTCTACATTTCTCTCTCAGTTTATCAATAGTTGCCATAGACAGGCTGCCAGGTTCTGTAAAGATTTTCTGTAAGAGAACAGAAAAGGGTTAAGGTTTAAAATTATTCCTTTAAAGACATATACACACCAATCTGTGTTTACATGAAGCCTGTAATTCATTATAAGACCTCAGGCAGAATAAGCTTCATGCTCAGCCATAATAAACTAGCTCCGGCTAAACTGTCTGAAGGAATCTCTTCACCATGTACGGGTTACATCTGTCGGTTCACTTTTGGTAAATCTGTTATCCTCTGTGCAAGCTGACCCACTGAGTCAAAGATGTTTCCCAGGGAAGATGCACCTTTTTCTCTTCTGTTGTTTTCTATTAGGAGCAAGTGGTGAATCTATCTCAGGGTAACCATTTTGAAATAGGTGACGTGCACTAGTCTCAGGGATATAAATTAAATATTTGGTTTAATAACTGAATCAGTAGTGTATTTTGATGATGCTGTGTTAGTTAAAAAAATAAAAAGAGCACAGTAGTGAGTACTGTAATTGCTCTGATAATCAATTCACTTTTTTTTTTGAGACAAAAATGCCAAACATTTGCAAATTCCAGCCTCCTAAATGTGGATTCCTTGCTTTTTTTGTATTTTACTGTACATATTTGGGGTTAGAGCTTCAGGAACTTTTGATCTGCATTACATGTTTTTGTACATTTTATAGACCAAACAATTAACCAATTAATCAACAAAATATTCATCTGAATAATCAATAATGAAGAAAAAACAAATTGCTGCAGCTCTAATGTCCCTGACTTAATGCAAAGATTTTCCAGTGGTGGGTGGAGACTTTGGGCTGATATTAGAACTGTTTGGAGGGAATAGTTAGCATCATAAGGGCAACATTGGCCAGCCAGTGTTTCCTCATTTGTTTCTCTGACTGTCTTTTGTCATCGTACCTGCATGAAGGTGTGGCAGTCCAGAGTGAAAGCACCACAGGTGATTTGTTTGAAGCACTCGCACACGTCGGGCAAAGAGCGAGCTCTCAGGATCTCCGGCTGGTTGTGAATGATGAGAGTCAGAGCAACACGGAAAAGAACCTTGGAGCCCTCGTAGAAAATACAATCCCAGACCCGCAGGACCGTCTGCAAGTACGAGAAACAAGAAGTCAGTAACATGATGTGCTTCAACATGACCACAATTTCCTCATTTGTCTCTACCATTAAACCCCAACTCTTCCTCACCTCAATTGGGAGTACGTCAATGAAGAGGCAGATGAACCAGCGTGACACCACCAGTGTCCATATGCCGGGATACTGGGCCATGAGCTGCCCTACTGCCGGAGCTTTAGCCTTCACCAGCTCCCCAAGAACCTCCTGGTCAGTCTTTAGGCCCAACATTGCCGGGCTGTAGTAGTCTACAATAAACCCAAAGTGGGTGAGTTTGCCTTTGTCTCTCTGCAGTAGTGATACTTGTTGGTCGGCCTTTCAAGCACACTTGGGAGCTGGTTTTGTTTCTGTTTCTAAGATCAAACCTTAATGTTTCAGATTGTTGGGTTAGTCCAGAAATTCTCGCAAGGCTCCAACTTGGGTCCACCACTCTACAGTCTTAACTAGGGGTTATCATGAGCAAGCACTATTATATACTGCAATTGTTATGGAGATGACGTACAATTGACGACAATGCTATTGTCATTACTACAAATATTTTTATTTACCTTAAAGCTGCAGTAGGTAACTTTTATAAGATAAGATCTCATCTTTCCTTCCCTTACAAACAGGAAAGCATGCAGACCATTGTTACAGGCTTGTTTACTGTACTGCAGCCAACATGCACAATAGCAACAAACCCAGTGTGACCTGAGTGGAACCTCAATTAGTATAATCGGTAACACCTGTCTTTACCCTACTATTCCATGTCAAAAGGGCTGCTGTCAAAAAGGTCTACTGTGTGTGTGTGAGCATTATAAAAGAAAAACCTCTACCTGGGAGCATTCTGCCCAACAATGCATCCATGAGCCAGAATGACTTCTCTTCATCTTTGGTGATGATGATGAGATAACCTGCAATGAAGTTCATTCCCTGGAAGAAACAGAGCCAGCCAAATACATGGCAGAATTTATGCTGAAGCAACACATTTCCAGAAGCTTAGGTAAGGATGTAACGTTAGTAAGGTCTGCCTTCATTTGGTTCAAAGAGTTCTCAGGTTGCTCCTGTGGCCAAAAGCTGTGTGACTTAGGTATACATAAAAATGAAATTTCCTGTGCAGGAAGCTGATAGAGATTAGTGAATGTTGCTCAGAAAGTCATGCTACATTTATTCCTACATGTGTATTCAAATGATTATTGAACAAGCCAGTCCTGTTCTTTAGGCAAACAGACATCTTGTTAAACGAGAGGAGCGTCATCTCTTCACCTGACAGTACCCCACCGCCTTATTATGGTGTCCGTAGGCCAGCAGCACATTGTACAGAGCCCTCTGCAGGCTCGGTTCTGCTCTGCTCTTGAAGAGGACGTTGTCAGGAAAGGTCCTATGCATGTCTGCCAAAAAACATGACAAGAATTGTATTGACATGGACCTGTGTGTCGATACGAACTGAGGTATGGATGGTTCATACGAAGGTGCATAGTGGATGGTAGTGGGTAGGCTTTTTGACTTATTGTCATAGTAGGAAAGTGGTTCTCATTGTTTTGTAATCACTAACAATGATAGAGGAACCAAAACTGAGTAATATCGATCCAAGTTAATTTTTAGTGAAATACATTCATTCAAGAAAATTAATTTAACTGATCCACTTTTTTCCCACACCCCACCTACAGTGGCTCTATGCCTCACAGTTTGAGGACACTGTAGTAGAAAAGTACAGGTTTTATTAATAACATTAACAATTCATGTATCCAGTAAACCAGCATGCACAATACCAGGACCCTTAACTGAAACAGCTACATGGAATTCAGCCATCATTTTACCACTTTACACCTGTGCTTTTCCAACTGTGACATGTCAAAATCACTTCCTTTAAAAAGGTCTGTTGTCTCACCTATGTGAATTGTTTCCTTCAGCTTGGCGTCGTGCTCCATGGCCAGCAGAGACTGGTAATAAGCCGGGTTGCTCTCTAGTCGTTCCTGCGCCCCACTAGCTGCCATCCAAATCCTGGCGCGGTGCTCATTAGGCACACCTTTACGCACATACCTTTTCACTTCCAAAACACATTTTATAGTTACATCACATAAACACACCAGCATCAGGAGGCACCAAAACAAAACAGTGGTGTGTTGGTTACTTGTACCTGTCAAGTTCTTCTCCACGTGTGGTTTCTCCTGCAGCAGCTTGGACCATCTCATCGACCTTCTGTTGAGGACGGCTACATACTCATTCATCATCTCCTTGTAGGATTCAAAATCATGATGTCTCTCAAAGCCATAGGGGTCAATCCTGCTGGGGCAAATCCATACAGTCCAGTACCATGTATGAATGACAATGCACAAAGCACAACTGTGGAGGACTGACAGCTGGGTCACTTTCCTCCCCACCCTTCTTTCTCTCTCCTATTCCCTGATGACAGACACTACAACAGCCTCTGCTGGGTCGGGTTTCTGTAGCCGGGAGATCAAATGCCCCGGCTGGATGATTAGACAGTTTTAAATTTCTCTCAAGTGGGATTAGGAGCAACAAGTACAATTCAATCTAAAAAGTAACTTCAGAAAATGTCATACATTTTCCACTTAACAGCTCTTAGCTATGATATTATACTGAGCTTGGTAGTTGTCTTTTAGTAACATTTTGTAAAAGTAAAACAAAATACAAATGCAAAGAGCTGATGGGGAGATAGGGTGATTTAAATAACTGGTAGTCAGCAACAAGAATATACATTAAACAACCACAAGTTAAATAAAGAAGGAACATGCAGTCAGAGAGAACACCACATCAACATGAAGCTCACCTTTCACTGCCATTATTACAGGTTAGAGACTGAGAAGCGTTTGCTGTCATTTCCCTCTCCATCGTGTCAGGTGCTCCAGGTTCAGTAGTCCACCAAAGCTATAAACAACCTGCACCAAGGACGTTATTTCAATGCGTATTACGTGGAAAAGACTGTTGTCAAGGTAAATAACAAAGAGGTCTGAGTTTCAAATGACTCACCTTACAGTGTTCCCTGAGAGGAGGGGCTAGTTTAAGGAACACCCAGGTAACATCCACAGGTATGTTCTTTATTTGCATGCAAAACAATTGGAGGAAGAGAAACAGTAGTGCTTGCAGGTATCTCCCCTTGTATTATTGCTTTCCATGATATTGAATAATGGATGTACTTGTAGCAGTAGCAATAGTGTAGTAATGACAGCAGCAACTTCACCATTATATATATATATAAAAAAAGGTTTCTTAATCTCCTGCAGATGGTAAAATATTTCAGAACCAGGATTCCCCCACTGCAATGCCATCCCCCCAACCAAATAATTACATATTCTTTTACATATGTTCTGTACATTTTCATTTGAATGTGTTTAATGTGACTATAAATTAATATTTTTATACCAACAATGGATCATGTGACTACTTCTACGATGCTCATATTGATGAACCAAGAGAATGATCATCTGACTCTGCAGTTCCCTTTAGCTCTACAGAGCTTTTAAACATCTTCCCGCTCATTGTGGATGTAGACGTTTCCCTCAGGAGTTGGTGGAGACCAAACCAGAGCTAAAGGCAAAGTTAAGCTTAGTTCAACAGATCAACTCTATAAGGCGATTATGTTCAATTCAATTCAATTCAATTTTATTTGTATAGCGCCAAATCATAACAGAAGTTATCTCAGGACACTTTTCAAAATAGAGCAGGTCTAGCCCGAACTCCTTATAAAACTATTTACAGATACCCGACAGTTCCCACCAAGAGCCAGCACTTGGCGATGGTGGCAAGGAAAAACTGCCTTTTAAGAGGCAGAAACCTCGGACAGACCCCGGCTCTAGGTGGGTGGCCCTCTGCGTTTACAACCTTTTTCTGCTGAGTAGCCCAAAAAGTTAGTTAAAGTTAGGATATTTTTTTGCCACATTTCAAGATAATTAATAATACCTTCGAAACTCCAACTCATCCTAAGATTGTTACACCCACCACATTCCCAGAAATAACAGAGGACATACCCTTGGTGTTCCTAGAGGATAGATTCACATTTATTCACATCTGTCTTTGAGAACAGCAGTTAGCTGCTTGTGTGTACATTGAAACACTTTCTTTCTTTTGCTTGTTGTAATTATTCCTCCTGTTCATACTGGCCATTAAAATGTCCTCTCCTAATGTACTTTCAGTGTAAGTGAATCAGTCCTTTTCTGTAAGACTTGAAATCCTTTAATGCACTGGGAACCTCACTAGGGGTCGCCAAAGACGCGTGGGAGGTTGCTGGGCCCAACTTTTTAAAAAGTATATACAGTAATATATACAGCAGGTCTATATCTCAGCATTTCATTCATTTTTGTGAAGAAAACACTGAATTTAAAGAAGCCTATTAAGTATGTATGATTGTAAAAATACACAATACTAAGAATTGTATTAAAAGTAAATATCAGGAAAACCCATATCTGAAGCAATATTCACAGGAAATAATCACCCCAAATTCATTCAAATTGCTCATTTGACACAAACCTCCTGCAGTTATTGTGTTCACTATTTGGGTTAATTGTACAGTTTATCAATCTGTATTTACTATTAATTTTATTTTATTTAATATTATATTAATTATCCATAAAATATGTGAAGGGGTTGTCAGTTTACTCAACCACTGCTTTAATGGTAGCTTCAGCCCTGCTCGGTGATCTAGCACTCATACAATGTGTCACTAACCGGATTCAAATGTGAATGTTCTGGTTGATGATCGGTATCTTATCTCCAAAGTCACACAAATAACTTTGATGTTGGCTACAAAGTGGTTGTGGCCTTTTGCAAAGGTTGGCACAACGGGCAGTGATGTTGTGACATCTATACGGTTTCAAAGTCACTTGATCTGCCTCGTATTATAGAGCAGAGTGTGAAATAAACAAATAGCAATGTTAAACCGCACCAATGTGAGCGCTGCAGACTTCCTGATCAGCTCATCATCAACTAATACTATACCTCTGATGTCTTACATTTTAATTAGAAAGAACTCTTGTTAAATATTGTTTATTGACAATCAACAACGTGGAGGGATATTCTGAATATATTAAATATTAAAGCTTCAACACATTCATATCAGTACGATAATTCTGCTTTGTGGAATACACTCTTGTCTAAGCAGCTACACTGTTGTGATATACTGTCTGTATGTCGTGTGTCTATCGTCTAACCCGTCAACAACAAAATAACTATTTACATGTATGATTCTGGAAAAATTCATGCTTTATTCATCTTTCTTAAATGAACAATATACTTAGGCTACTTACATGATGTATCAACAATATATTCTAATTTCACTACCTTCAGTAACACTGGACAGATGGGCTTGAACAGAAACATAAATATTGAACAGAGATATTTATTCTTAAGGCTTACTTTGTCGTCCTGTTGTTGCCCTCTTTAGTGTCCTGGCTTCTGAACTAAGAGCTTCGCACTGCCATAACATACAGATATGTGCCATGCATTAAGGGTCTGTAACTTTAAATTTCACTTAAATGCTGCTCAATAGTCACTTTAGCATCAATAATATTTCGGAGGGATCCCCTGAATAAAAACAAAACTCTTTCCTCAACAGTTAGAAAGTAATTATCTTTTGAAAACAAAGCGGTGGTACTGTGGATCAGAATGACTACGGTCAATTTAGGATTCAAGACCCACTCCCAATTGAGATTAACCTGACAAATGAATACCACAAACCAATATCAATTATCTAAATTAAAGCACTGCCTTTACTCGAGTGAAAATGTATTTGTGAAACCAGCCCGAGGCGACGTAAAATGTGTTTAACATGCTTTCAATGAGATGTTCACAATTCCATGACTTGACAGATCCACCTAATAATTAAACCAACAGCATATCATTCACGATATTGAGGCATCCCGTTAGAGATCTTAGCATTTACTGTACATAAAAGAATCATCTTTTGCATTTATAAATTGAACATATTTATATTATTTCTTCATATAGCTCTCTTTGTAAACTGTCCCAATAGATACAGTATGTACAGTAAAAACTGCAACAGTTCTGTTGGTGCTGGTGTAGTGAGCACTCTGTCCCAAAGTTAGAGTAAGACATGGGAACTTTGCACAGTCACTCAGAGCTTCATATAACAAAACAAAGCCGACTAGGAAGAATCTTAAAACACACCGTTTTCTCCTCTCCAGTCCCTTTAGAGTACACACAGCCAGCGAACCTCCTCTCAGTGCTGTGTCCATCCCCACTTACAGGGCTGTGGCCTGACAGGTAGTGCTCCTCCTGGGAGCAGATCAGAGGGGCTTCCAGGATACTGAGAATCCAGCAGGAGAGACGGAGGTGAATCTGGCAATGTCCATATGACGCCCCAGTCTCGTGAGGACAAAAAAAGTGGCCAGCTGTTCTCATAGTTTTTACTCAGCTCCCTGAAAGGTGGTTTCCTGACAGTTTCAAGTGCTTCTGTTTCCTCTCTGAAGTCTACAATTTTCACTTTTTTTGTACAAGTCTTAAAAAAACCTATGAAGTCACTGTAAAAGAAACAACGTTCTGGCTTTCCAGAGTTGGGATTGTATTTAGAGAGTTTTGCGTTTTGATCCTGTTACAATCGGTCGAGCAAATTCCACAAAATCATCTATAAGGACTGGCCACGCTCCTGAGGAAGAAACACCAAGATATCATTAGCATCACAATGATTTTCAAAGTCCACATTCACATTACGTAGAAAGCAACTGGATTTAGGAGTTATTCCAAACTCACCCTCTTCGTCATAGTTTGACATGTCATCTGCAATCATGTTACCAAAGTCCAACAAGAGGTTCCATGTGTCCTTTGGGATGGATCGTTTATGGTGTTCCTGTAATTAACAAGTGCTGGTGAACATATTGGTGTATAAACACAGTTTCACACAAGTCTATAAACAAAAAGAGTTGACATGTTTGCCATTATAACAGTGTAGTGTTAATTACTGATGGAACAGCATGTATTCTGGAGGTCCTAGAGTATGCAGGTTTCCATTCAAACCGAAAACACCATCTGGTTACACCCACTGATCCCCCTCTTTGACTGAGTTTGTGTTAATCAGCGAGGTGTAACGAAAGCTGGCACAGCTTTAGCCAAGTTCCCCATCACTGGGCCAAATGGATTTCAACGAGGGATGCATCATCAAAAGCTATTACTCACCTGATATCAATTCCGATACCTCAAACTCATGGTATCTGATGATACAGAGTACCACTCTCTCTCCCTTTTTCCTCAGATTTAATAACTCTTCGTAACTGTACAGAACCTTTTGGTATCGTAAGGTAAAACAAAGCAAGAGATTACTCTGGCCATAAAAACAACCTGCCATGACTTGATGAATGTAACTAATAGCAGTCAGTCAGTCACGTCATGTCCAATACCGTAAATTTGTGCTTTATTTTATATATATATTTAGGTCAGTATAGGCGCAGAAACCAATCCAGAGTATTTGATAGGTTTGTCCCGTATTTCACTTCTTTTACTCACCAAAAGGAATCTATTCCAAAGATCAAGGAACTTAAATCGTCCTGACAGAACCAGGTTCCAGTAGGCTACGGCCATCTCCAAGTCTGTAACACAGACAAAAAGCAGAACACTTTACAAGTTTGTAATTTTGACACCATTCAGCAAGTTGTTGTTGTTATTGTCACTCTTCTTACCTAAACCCTTCTGTCCAGGATTTTTGGCAAAGTTAAAGGTGAACTGGTAGAAGTCCTTGAACTTCCCGCTATCTTTGAGCTCCTGCTCTAATCTTGGCAAAAGGGCCTTCAGTTTTTCTGGGCTGTCACACCTATAAAAGTAGACAGTTTGAGCATTAAATAAACAAACACAATCTAATTGAATACACACAGACACTCCAACCAGTTGTAACACGACTTGTCTTCATGCTGATGACAAATTGGCTGAAGTTAACTTTGCCACATGATATGAATCCCAAAAGTCAAAACACTGCAGTTCTTCCATTGAGTCATTCCACAAAGACACAGAATACTCAAGCTGTGGCTGAGTGGGTCTATATATAGACAGCCTTCCCTCCCTGGAGCTCCAGTAAGAGAACCACCAAGCGAAGATACTTCTGGGCACAGTGTTTATGTCCCACTTTGGAGCACGTCACACGCTGTTGATATCAACACTCACCCAAGCTCTGTCATTCCATCCAGAAACTCCTTCTTGGTGAACTCGCACTGAGTGGCAGCGCGAAACTTCCACGCGACAACCAGCACAGTAATGCTGGCCGGATCCAGCGAGAGGTCATCACAAAACTGCTGGATCCCATCAATCCCAATCTTATTCTCTTCCTGAGGATCTATATAAATAAAAAAAAAGAACAGTTACAAGGACACCTCTTGAAAACAAGTTGTGTCTATAGCTTTTGAATAATACATTAGTTTTTGGAAAAACTCTGTCCTTAATTATTTAAAGTTACAGCGTAAAAGACTATTACCTTTATAGCGATTGTAGAGCTGCTCCAGCTTTTTTCGGTCTACTGACGTTTTCATGGATTCCTTACAATAGAGATCTGGGTTCTGAAAGTAGTTGTCGGTGGCAACTTCTAGTTTCCAGTCATTCTGTGTGAGGCAGTACACAGCTGTCTTCTCCCCAGCCTGTGTGAAGGACATGAACTGCCGTACCTTGTCCCTCTGCGAAGACTTCAGCTTATGCTGTGCAAACACAGGACAGGGGCTGTCAGACACAGGTGCGATCAGACCAGGGAATACAGACAACAACAAGCAAACGCAGAGCGACAGACACACAAAAACACACAGTGAGACACACACATCTACAGGCATTCAGGCAACAGTTAAGAGGACAGAAAAGACCGGGAGACACGCTGAAAACGCTCTGACACAAATTTGAAAAGTTAGTCTGTCACACTGACAAACACACATTATAGGTGGTGGTGAGCCCAGACGCTGTGGTGGTAATTATGTCCCAGTCCAAGAGCAATATGGGCTTTTCTGAAGGGGGACGTTGTGGATTCTCAAAGCACATGCTGTACCCAGGAGGGCCCCTCAGATAACTACAGTCATAGATGTAACATGAGTAGGGAAATGGGATGCCATCACCGGGACCTAGAGGTGCAACAAGTCTGGAGTGTAACACAAGCACCCTGCCAGATATACTAGGCAAGATTTAAAAAAATAAAAGTATTTATTTAACACTTTTATCAAAATACTTTATATATGTTTAAGGATATTTTAGGGTTTTTAAAAAAGAAACTACACTTGTGCACATAAGTGCTTGTAACTTGCAAATTGAACTCGGCTATGAATGTAATAATTAAATGGCAGTGTACATTTCACTAAGGTAGAGCCAGTCAAGCTAATTTCATAATAATGTATCATTAAAGGACCAGTGTGTATTATTATAGTGCTGAAGTTACAGCTCAGCCTTTCAAGCGTGTAGGAGAAACTACGGTGGCTGTGAAACTCAAGAAAAACACTAATGGCCCTATCTAGAGCCAGAGTTTGGTTTATCTGTTCTGGGCTACCCTCTGTAGAAACAGCTCATTCTAACGAAACAAAACTAATTCTTATTTTCAGGTGATTACACACTAATGAAAACATACCTTTGAATATTATATTAAAGTTCTGCCAATAGATCCTCCTAAATTTTACACACTGGACCTTTAATTTGTAACACAGCCATTAAAGACCAGTAATAAACAGTTAGCTTTAAAGTCACTGTCATACTTAAAACCAAATTTCAAGTTATTTTTTAAAAGTAAAAATGTCAGAACACCAGAGGTCAGCAGCTCAAATGTCTTTTTATGACAGTAAAATGCATATATTTGGATTTTGGACCAAACAATCAATCAATCTGACCAGTCCCCTTTATAGGGCTCTATAAACTGTGATGCACATATATGTTGTGCATACTGCAGACCAAACGATAAAGTGAGTAAACAAAGAGCAGACTGATTGATAATAAGAATAATCTTATAATCCAGCCCTCGTCGATATTATCCTGAAACATCCCCCCACCAGCTGCACTATCTGATCACTCGCTTCACTGAGGAGCAGCATTTCCTGAAACCGGAGACTAAAAAAACTCTGTGAGCTCACCGAGCTGCTAATGACTTCACCGACAGCTACAGATTTCTGTTAATAACGACAACACGAAGACAAAGTGTCTGTGGCTGGCTGCTGTTCAGACAGCACGGATTACTGTGCGACCAGATGGGTAACGTTAGGTTAGCATTACCTACATACCACCGGCTAGTAACTTATACTGGCTAACGTTAGCTCAGTTAGCCAGAATGTATCCCTGACATTAACGATGGGGATAGTATCACAGGAATAGGCTGTCAGTGTGGTTATGGATTTGCCAGGATGTGAGTCAAACGACCCTGTGTGTGTCTGTCTTTGAGGTCCAACGACTGACCAGCTCACAGCCGAAGTTGCCAAAAAAAGGGACGTGTAAGCTAGCTAGCTGCTCTCAAAACATGAACTGACCTTCCCTGTATTAGCAGCGAACACAAGGAGCTGATCATTGTAGGCTTCCCACAACGCGACACAGCATGTACTTTAATAACACGACAATAGTCTTCAAGGTAAGCCATAATGGCACCAAAAACCAATGCCCGGGTTTGTGTTTATTTTGGTTACCTACCATTTTCACACCCGCTGTTTGACCAGTTTGGTAGCCCGACTGTCGCTCATTGTGCGCCTGCGCGGAAGTAGCCGAACAGCTATTGTAGGTTTCAGTAGAAAGATGAGGTTGGCAGGAACTGTTCTGTTGTTATTGGACTTATTTGTCATTCTGTGCGAAACTCAACCCTTGTGTTTGTGTTTGAGTGAGAGAGAAAGACAGTGAGATGTTTACACTACTTTATTAAACAACGGGAAATATCTCTAAAACTGCAAAAAAAAAAAACACACTGTAACAATAAAACACCTGAACCTGAACCTTCACCGCCTACTCCTACAGACACTGTCCACCAACACACACACATCATCTCAAACACAATGAAACACTGTATCTGCGATCAGTGCAGCTCCTGTTCCTAGTGTCTGGTTTGTGATCATTTAATACACATTCTTCTGAAAGTGCACAATATCAACTAACATTATAAAGGCCTGCCCCTGTGTCAAATCTAGTTTTGTGTTGTGAGCTAGAGTTTTATTTTGTATGTATACTGTCTTAAAGTAAGTCCACAGTGTATATGTAGTGTAGCAAGATACAAACTATTTGTTGTCTTTATTCTTCAATTCAATTCTGGATTATTATATTATATATTATATTTACTTACCAATAAACACATTTGAATTTGAGAGCAAGGTGTGGAATGTCACTCCAGCAGACGACCGCAAACTTTCTAGCTAAAAAGCAGAGATGTGTCTTTTATCTGATTTGTTTTCAGTCATATTTGGTCAACAATGACACAAGTGCTCTCCTTACAAGAGAAATTAAATATCTCTGTCACTTAGGCTGAGTCAGGCCAAGTTTTATCTCATGTGAAAATGAAAACACCCTTCAACAAGTGTGAAAAAGACACACAGCACTGTGGCTGATAGAGTATCTCTGGATGTCAGCCTTCCTTTTTTTGTTTTACAGTGAAAGAGGCCTGACTGGCAGACTGATTCAAGTACTCTCACTTCAGTCTAGTTGACTCACAGATGCAACATGTCAGCTACAATTATGTAGAGGGGAAAACTCACTGTCAGTCACACCGGTTGTGACACACATTCATGGGCATTACTCAGCATTGTACTCAGCAGTTTGTTCACAGTTATACAGAGAGGTGTCCCTTATATTTAGTATATAATAGTTTATATAATATTTAGCCCCACAAATTACATCCAATAAAATCACCATTAAGTTGAATCAAACAGTTTCAAGAGTGTAGATCTCTGCCGGGTGTGTGCTGACCACCATGTACGCTGTCCCTGTTCAGATCAAACTGAAGTCGTTGATCACTTGTGGGTTAAGAGCAGTGAGGCAGCAGCAGTCGATGGCGGTATGAAACAGGTTTTTTAGACATTTTGTATCACTGCAACCACAAGAAGTCCTTGCAGGGCCGGTAAAAAAGGCACAGTGTTGGTAAATTGGCTTTCCTCACCAGCCAATGGCAACCTGTTGAGTGGCTGGTTAAAATCTAACCATTCACTAGCCATTTGGCTGGTGGACAAAAACTGTATTTTGCACCCTGGGTCCTTGAGCTTATAGTCATAAATGTGCACAAAATGAGGCTGCTGGGTCTAGTAGTATGAGAAATTAACAGGAGACACACACACACACACACACACACACACACACACACACACACAAATGCATGAGTCCTTCCAGGTTTATGCCTGGCGGAGGTAACACAAACTAAACACTATAAAGTAGAATTTACTGTAGGGCTGTGGTATTAGACTGCATTTGTTCTAGCTAGGTGTATGTAATAAACTGGAAATTGAGTATATTTGTAAGTTCACTTTAAAGACTGGAAAGTATCAGTAAAGAGTAGAAATTGGTAATTCAAAAAATGTTTCTTTTCATTATTTAAAAAGTTTGTGTATGTGAAATGGACTAAATGTTGACCACTCTAATTAGGCACATGTAACAGACAACATACTTTATGCTTCAAGTGAACCTGCATTTAATAAATCCCTGTGTTATGAGCTCCATGACAATCTGAGAGTTTGTCAGTGAAGAGGCAGAGGCTCAGAGGGCATCACAGGAGATAAATGTCAGCTCATGATAGAAAAAAAAGAGGTGATTATTTTTCAAAGGATTTAACAACACACATTTCTGATGATTTTTGAGTGCTCCGGGTTACATTATAAAAACACATTTCAAAACTGAGTACTCAAACTTTGATTGTATGCAAGTGTCAGTTTCTTCTTGGTTCACTTACAGCTGTCTAATTAATTTACAACATGTTAATTTAAAACTACACTGAATAATAACTAACTAAAAACACTAAAACAATGTATTAAAAACTTGACTGTTGGGAGGAGCATCGCTGGATGGCATATTTAGGCGCAATGAGATGACGAGATGAGATATGATTGATGGTGTGACTGTGATTTGGAGAAGAGGTTGTGTGGAGCAGGTTATGATTCAGACATGGTCATCCATTAATTTGCAGGGTTGGTGGTTTGATCCCAGGCTCCTCCTGTCCACTTATGAAAGTGTCCTTGAGTATGACATTGAACCTTAAAGCTGCAGTAGGCAAAACTTGTGCAAACCTATGCAAAACCTTCCACTTCCCTCTCTGCTGCCTCATATCACTCTGCCAAGCCACTCCCGAAACCACAAGTTTGAATGGCAGCAGAAGGAGTTGGTTGCCCTCTGAACCATCATGCCTCGTAGGGTTCGCTCCCCACGACGTGAGCCTCACCAGGACCCTGGTCCCTCTCGCTGCGACTCATCTTCTCAATAACACAATTCCAGTGCTGCACGGCCTGAGGGGAAAGTGCCCAAAGTTTCAGAGGCAGATGGGTCGTTTTCTAACAGCGGGATGAGAGGCAAACACACACCACTGCCCCCCCTCAAAAGTTATTCTGCTTTTTGTCACTTGTCCATCTGAGCACCACCACATCAATCATGAGGAGCCTGAAGCTCTTTGTCAGGACGGGTTGCCTTTGAATCAGGCTTTCACTGTCTGAAGGGATGTGGATGCACATCTGCATTTGTAGAACAGCAAATAGGAACTAAAATGATCTGTAATTGGCCAAAGTCTCCTATCACAGGGACTTTCTAAGGCCTGAAAACAATGTTAAGTAGAAGTCTAGCTTTATCTAAGATCACTTGAACTACAATATTTGCTGAAAGATTATGATGACCAACGATGGCAAAAAAAAATACTGCCATCTGTTTACATGACATCTTGCTGCCATTAGTGTACATGTGGGTGAATGAAAGGCATTGGTATGAATAAATGGTACATAAATCAATTTTTGTCTTCTTCCATATTTATCTATTCATTTAAATGATCAATTATGTTTTCTATTAAGTCTGTCATCTATCATGACTGTCTTCCAGGTTTATGGCTGTTTCAAAGCCTTCACCACAACTACAGGAATATAATTCTGTACATTTATTTAGTTTTTTTGTAATTGTAGAATTAAAACTCCTAGCTCCTCAAGGTGATTAAAACCACCATGTTCCTTGAAACAATACAGATGAAATGTGGCTACAGCAGTACAATCCTAGTGCCAGTGTGGGGTTAGTGAGAAGTACATGAGTAGAAGATACACTCCTGAGCAGTAGATGGCGGTATAGATATCTTTGAAGCTGGTTGGTATCCACCAATCCCAAGAGATGCAGTTTGTGGGCATGAACTACTTTGACTGTTTTGCTTTCGTCTCATCGATGCTGTCCAATCAGACACCGCGAAAGCGAGACACCGCCAAGATCAGATTGTGAGACGCGCTGCTGTAGCAAAGCTAGCACAGAGTGGATAGAAAAAGGCTAACAAACGATTTGCTAACTTGTGAAGTGCACCGGTAAGCCACATTTATCGACTTGTGGCTCGCTACCCAGCTGCCGCAAAATAAACTTCTTGATGTTAGATATCTGTTTTACAAGTTGTTGTGTTTTTAATATACAGCCGACAGACACAAAGCTAACCGTGGTGAAATTGCAGCTAATTGTGGCACTGTTGTGGGTGACAGCTGTGGATTAGCTAGCTCGTCCGCGAGCTAACTACTAGCTAGTGTATCGGCAGTTGGCTAACAAAGCGCCGGTAGTCCTGGCGTCTCAACGGTAATCGCGAGTTAGCTCGTTGCTAAAATACTCACTAGGCATTGCTAGCTAGCAAAGTACTAGTCGCCGTTAACTTTAATCGATCTGAAGAGCAGTTGCTAACTTACCGTACGTAGCAAAAGATAACTGAGTCATTAGCTTTGGGTTTGGGTTACTTTAACGTAACGGTTGACGGTTGGATCGGACTGGTCACATTAACGCACTCAGCTCGTGCGCTGTTAAACGTTAACGTTATAGTATTTAACTGCTTTTACTAACGGTTGTGTTCGGAAACGTCATGAAAACAAACGTTCGAAATGCGCGTTCAATGGTTGATCACTAACGTTAATTTAACGTTAACGTTAGTGGTCGAAGGGTCAGGGTTTTATTCTAAATATAATAATCAGGCTAGTTTGGATGTTGAGTTGATTATAATAAAAAGTAATATGAGGTTTTCTGAATGCAGCTTTACAGCGACCGGCAGTGAGTTTCCGTTTGCTGCTGACTGATTCCCAACTGACAATGAGAAATCCATCTGTCATTAAACCAAAAATAAACATCAATAACCTAATAAGCAGAAAGTAACCGGTATCGCAGAAGTTGTGGTAAATACTTTGGATTTCAGTTTTAAATGCACCATTAAATTCGGTCTGAATAAAACTCATCTTGTTTCTATTTGACTGTAAACTTTGTGTTTACTTTTTCAGCGGTTCGTCCTTCTTCCATTGAAACCGATCACTTTTTATACAGCTTCAGTTCTCCACCAACAGGCAAATATCCCGACATCTCGTACTGTATAATGACAAAAGACGGGAGCTGCAAGAACAAATAAACGAGTTAAATACTCAACACTAATAAAATATTGTATCCTTTGAATTAAGTATATAATTATTGAAAAGTACTCAGACATTGCTTACTTTGTTTCCTGTTTGGTAGGGATTTAGACCTCCTCTTCCTCCATTCTCAAATGCCAACAACAACAGCCGTCGAAGAAACAGGAGAGTGCACTCGTAAGTGCATATAACCACTATATTATCTGCATTCAACCGTGCGAAATGCACACACGTTTCTAAAACGTTAACCCACACTCAGCGTTGTTTGTAACCTGCAGCACGGAACCAATAATACTTTAATTTTATGTGAATCCTTTCAAAACGTGCACAAGCTAACTAGCTAGCTAACGCCAGCAAGTTGTATCTGACGCTAACTGTTAGCGGTAACAGTTAGCTAGCTGCATTCAACAAAAGATTGTTCATTGCTATCGTCGTGCGATATGAATTATGTTACTACCGCATGCAGCAGTAATACCTGTGGCCGTGTGGTGCTATCGCTTTAGTCACATTAATAGTTTTGCGCCGGTGTTGATAAAGTTAGCATGTCTGAGTGACCTGTAGCAGAAGTTCGACGATGCCTCTCCTCCGGACGTGCTCGGTACCTGAAGTAGGCCTTGTGCACACTTAGCGTACTAAAAGTTGTGAGCATCAAGAGGTGGTTTTATATGGTTTTCTGCTTACACAGTTCATTCAGAAAGGCCTCCTAAAGGACCATACTGTTGAAATTGGTCGAAAATGACACATTTTCCACAAAATTAGTCTTGTAAGAAGAATACCCGGTAACTCGAGCTAACGTGAGTGATGTAGCGTTGTACAGTGTGCTGGCAGCAAGCTGTTCAAATGGGCCTCAGGAATACTGCACTTTAATTTTTACACTGTTAACAATAAACTATATTTAAGCTCGGGACATATCATGGAAATAATGTGATGTTTGGGTGTTATTAGAAACTTAGCACTGTCACTTAATAGTTTGCCCTCTTTCTGTCTTTAGGGGTCTGAATAGTGACGAACAGAAGAACATTTTCTTTTTAACCTGAAGCTCTACTCCTCCGGTCCTTTGGGATCATGGCTAAAGATGTAAGTTGCTTTATACATACTTTAACTAAAACAGTATTTTAGTTGTAGCTGATGTTAGGTGAAAGCACATGTTGCTATAACTTCAGACATCTCCTGTAACCTCATGTTTGTTATTCTGGATGTAGTGTTGTGATTTTTGGGGTATATTAAGGTCTTGTCCTTTGCAGGCTGGTCTGATTGAAACAAATGGAGAGCTGAAGGTTTTCATCGATCAGAATCTTAGCCCTAGCAAAGGTAAACGTATCTCGTAATTTACTTTTTACAGCAGTTGCACACAGTTCACAGCATTTTCTGTACGTAACATACAGTCTTGGTTAACTGATTGCCTGTTCCACAAAGGAAACCCTGTTTCCAAACACACTTTCTTCATGTGTAGGCCTATGTGCTTGTGGTTGAACGATAGGGGGCAATGGAGTATTAATCAAGAGCTCCTTTCATTACTGATCTTCTCATATCTTCTATTAGGTGTCCTATCTTTGGTTACTGTCCAGCCTACCGCTGCCCCGGTGGCCAAACAGCTACTACCCAAAACTCTTGGGCCATCCAATGTGAACATTGCTGCACACATGCAACATGTGCCACACATGGTGAGTGATCCTCCACACAACTAACACACTGTGTATTGTCTAATAATCTTAGGAATTTATGGTTTGTTAACCACATTTGATAGTTTAGAATCTCTCAATAAATATAAACTTTTCTTTCTAAAGTGTCGTTGGCACACAGAATCATGTGTATATAGATTTCCATGCTGGGTTTCTCTGCTGTGTCTTACTGTTGTGTAAGCCCCTAATTTATCATTGTGAGGTGACCGGGCGGAGGGTAGGTGGAGGCAGTTGATCCTAAGCTTATCAACTCTACAGTCAGCAGGATTACACCCATCATCCCATTATATACATGGAATGTATACATAACGGGAATCAGCTTAGATATCACCTTAGTGAAGGAATAGATCACCTATCTTCTAGATGCTTCATATTGCTATTGGGGATGTACAATTCAAGCAATTTCTTTAATCGATCATTCACTATATTCATAACCTATAATTGATGAGTCAATTAATCTGTTTCAAATACTAAATATGTTATTCCTCCATTAAAACTTTATAAAACCAAGTGCCTGTGGCTGTATTTGCAGCACAAAACAAATATGTTGAGCATTTGAACCCTAAATAATGCTAATCAAAGGGAGATATTTTTGAGTCACCAATTAAAAGAATTGTCATTCAGCTGTTCTGCTTCTGTTCCACCCGTCATTCAAAAAACGTCCAAACAAATTTAAGGAACTTATCAATAATTGTAGTTTGCAGTGAGAACTGGATGCAGCATTCCAGTTATTATGAGCTCAACTCATCCTTGTGTCAACAAAAAGGCCTGCGGCCTAAAACAGAAATCAGTGAAGCTGTCTAAGACAACAATCTGTCTCTGTGTCGATAAGACAAAAGAGATAATTGTAGAGTTCTGGAGGGAAAGTGGTGTCTCACCAGGTTCCACCATGGAGACGGTCAAAATCATTCCCATAATTAGTGACTATTCTGGTCTCTGAACACCAGCAGTCTGGCAAAGAGCTAGCAGAGGATGCAATCCCTGAGAAGACTAAAGCGAGCAAACCACGCCCCTAATCCTTTTAAATGTTGAAGCCTCATATTGGCTTCAGATGAACTTTACACAGAATGAACACTGTGGATTTTGTCCCACATCACTGATACTGAAAGTGCATTAGGAAAGGATCCTTTACTGGCCAGTTTGAACAGGAGGAATGATAACAACAGGCAGAACCTGTTTTAATGTCATATGGGCACCTGTTTTAAGGCAGACTTGAAAAGTTCTTAACCTATTCTTTGATGTTTCATTTCTTTTGCTCCGTCCGTTGTAGGTGATTGGAACACCCCAGAGGCCTACGGTATCCAATACCATTTTGGTAAACAGTCCACATACACCCAGTTCCCAGTTCCTCACTCAGAGTCAACCATCTGATGCCTCTCCTTGGTCATCAGGGTAAAGTTTATAAGTGTTTTTACCATGTATCAAGTCTGATATAAGAAAAAACATAAGTTTGACATGTTAAACATTGTGTTTGGTGTGAAGATTTAAACTTGTGGGATTTGTCCTGTCTATAGAAAACGTGGTAAGAAAGGGGAAAAGAACGGGAAGGGCTTGAGGCATTTCTCCATGAAAGTGTGTGAGAAGGTGCAGAAGAAAGGAGTAACCACCTACAATGAAGTGGCAGATGAACTGGTCGCAGAATTCAGCTCTTCAGACAACCACATGTCACCCAATGACTCGGTGGGTGCTGCATTTTCTCACAATGATGTAAAACGTTTTAACACTGAACAGAACCATTTGCTGTTATTTAGTATAGTGCTAGATTTTACAATTCTCTTTTAAAATCTTTTGTTAATATTTTAAGTCTTGTTTTTCCCTTTTAGCATGTGTATGACCAGAAGAACATTCGGCGGCGTGTGTACGATGCACTCAATGTGCTCATGGCCATGAACATTATCTCTAAAGAGAAAAAGGAAATCAAATGGATTGGTCTTCCCACCAACTCAGCGCAAGAGTGCCAAAACCTCGAGGTAGAAACACAGTGAAGACCACTGTTACAATAGCTTGTGTTGGAGATATGGTGGAGAGTTTATAATTCTTAATCATTATTCCTTTTTTATTCAACTGTAGGTGGAGAGACAACGGCGGCTGGAGAGGATTAAGCAGAAACAATCACAGCTTCAGGAGCTCATACTGCAGGTGAGAACATACTGAGTGCCTACTTGTGTGTTCAGGATGGTCTTCTTCACGTGTAGCCTCTGTAGCTATGATGGGAGCTCTGCTAGGGATGATTGCTCATTAGGACAACAACATCAGGAAAGTTAAATAATAATCATTTTCTACCCTTCAATAAAGCACATTCCTTCTCATGATGTCTGTGAGCACAAGAATAAACATATTATTATTATTACGTGCATTATTTAATATTAGGTCTACCTAATAAACATTGTCAACCAGTTATAGGTGACATGTATATAAATAGGGTGGACAAAAAAGAAAGAATAGAATTGCATTAGAGTTTACAGGTGTTCTTAATAAAGTAGTCACTGAATTCATATACAGTTACTTAGTACAGCTTAATACAGCTTCATAATGCACATCACATCTATTAGTGCTATCGTGGGGATACGCTGTATATACATAGTAGTGCAGGAGTACAAATCCAGCTAAAGCATTGTGAAGAATGTTGCAGACATGTTATCTTTTTAAATGATGAATGTGCTCTTAATCTAAACTGAAGGCTCCTTGCAGCTGCTTCAAAGTATTCATCTTTCTGCGATCTTGTCTTACAGCAAATAGCTTTTAAGAACTTGGTTCAGCGGAACAGACAGACAGAGCAGCAGGCAAACAGACCTCCACCTCCCAACTCCATCATCCACCTTCCCTTCATTATTGTCAACACCAGCAAGAAAACTGTCATCGACTGCAGCATCTCTAATGACAAGTATGTGGTGGTTTTCATTTGCAGCGCTTTTGTGTGAAAGGTTACAAGTTCAAGATTATCTCAACCATCCTGTGCTGTACTAATAGCCTTTACCATTCTACTAAATATACACTCTAGCACAGTCTTTCAGTGAAAATTCCTCAAACAACCTTAAAGATATATTGGTTAAAAAAAATGGGGGAAAAATGATAATTCACCATTTCCTGTTTCTCCTCTTTCTCATCTGCAGGTTCGAGTATTTGTTCAATTTTGACAGCATGTTTGAGATCCACGACGACATCGAGGTGCTGAAACGTATGGGCATGGCCTGTGGTTTGGAAGTGGGAAAGTGTTCTCCAGAGGATCTGAAGGTTGCACGTAGCCTGGTGCCCAAAGCTCTGGAGCCCTACGTTATAGGTCAGTATACAGCCCAGAGTGAACCACATGCTCATTTTGAGTCAGTTGCTGAACTAGTTTTAATACAAGCTAAATAACCATTTTTATATTTCATATTAAAAGCCCTTTTCTTGTTGAACAATAGAAAGCCTTGTGCAGTCTTAGACGCTACCACAACTGTGCTTGTTTGTTGTGGTTAGAACATTTTTTGGTCAGTAAATGCAAATGAATGAATGGTAAAGGAAGCAACCACAGTCAACTGGTTAGATTACTCATACATTACAAAATCACAGGTTTTAAAGGAAGAAGCCTTATGTAGAGCACGACTGACATATTGGTCTGCCGATATTATCAGCCTATTGTAGACATATCAGTATCATATTGATATTGGCATATACATTATCAAATATGTGTCAATTAAGGATGTTCTTGGCGACAAATCTTGCCGTCGATTAAACAAAAATCTAAATTTAGACTAGTCGACTGGTCTAAAAGTAATTAAATGCTAAGAAAACAGTCAAAATTGATCACAATTTAAAGACACAGCAAACACAGACGGGCTTCACAAGTCACTCCTATTTTCCTCAGTATATCCTGGTAAACGCATTTGACGTGGGGGAAGTTTGTTACATTATCACATTTACATGTCAGTAAATGTTGAGATACTACTGAAATTGGCAACATATGGACAATAACTTTATGCAGGACAACGCTGTGAATGATTAGAAAAGAAATGAAGACACTGTTTTTGTTATTAGAAGAGAGAAGAAAGACTCTCCTGGCTGCTTAATCTTGGGATAACCAGATACACAATATGTATGTATGTATGTATGTATGTATGTAATACATTACATTTGAGAGTTTTTTCATTGCTGGCTGGATTTACTTTGTGAACGACAAACGTAGACGACAGCATCGGCCATGATGTGAAGAAAGAGAGGATAATGTTACAGCTTTAAGGGAGTAGGTATGCTAACTAAACATTGTACGGCACCTGTCAGTCAGCATATTCAGCGAGGCTGAATAATATAATGTGATCGCTAGTTTCTAAGTGCTCAGTTTTGTCGTAACTTACCATACTATGGTATTTTCTTCTTGTTACTGGCTCTTAATAGAACTTTTAATGACGTTCGAGGCCACCGTAGTTTCTCCATCTCACTTTGAAGGCGAGGGTGAACACCGCTAGATGCCAATACTTCTTACACATTGTAGCTTTAAATAATATTTGCTGCCTTGTGAGTGCCGACATGGTGAGCGAAAAGCAGCAAATGTGATGTTGCGTGATTTTCTCAATCCCAGCGGGTCAACGGTGGTGTGACTGCAGAAGAGAGTGATGATTTTATTTCTCATCAAAGTCTTACTTCTTTACCTTGATGTATTTACTTTTTTTCCAGAGATGGCAAAGGGTCCCATCAGTAATGTCTACATCACTGGAGGGTCCTCTGCCAATGGAGCCCGTTACCCTGCAAGGTGAGAGGTCTAACCTGTAACTCAACCTATGGATGTGACAGAAAGCAGATGCTCTTATGCTCCATCACCTTTTCCACCATTAACTTATTATTTAACTTACATCAAACTTACTCTCCTTGTAGTGATGGCTGCACTGATGGCACCATGGCCTCCAGCTCGAATGACTCTCACTACAGCGGGTCTCGCGTCGAGACTCCAGTGTCTTATATGGGGGATGATGATGACGAGGACGAGTATGATGAGAATGATGATGAAGACTAACCTGTCTACGCCACGCCACTCCAACAAGCACAGTCCTTCAAACCACCTTCACCGTGGGAATTTAGTCCCTTTTTTGTGTGTGCTTCTTCAACCTTTTCCCCTATTTCCCATGCCTGTATTTCTGTCTGGCTTTCTCAGGGGTGTAGATGAATATTGGAAGAACAGAGGTGTATATTGCACCTATCTTTTTTCTGCTCCTGAATCACGTGCACCTGCACCACAGCTCTGGGGGAGGTGTCGTCCAAGGGAACTGTAGTCTGTGGCCCGGCCACCACGCTGGAGTCTTTGTATGTCTAATCCACTTCTCAATAAGCCATCCCACTAAAAAGAAACCTCTGTAAAACCTACTGCTGTTGGAGAATGTATAATGTACTTGTTTGAATAGTTATTCCTATTATTTTGCAATGACATATGGCAAACATGATGATGATCAAAATGTTCCAAGATGGCCAAAGTGTTTGCCTTTAACATGCTGTGTTAGTGCAACACCATGGATTCTGAATGGCCTAATACAGTTGCCATGGCATCCCAGGATGGGGCTCCATCACATGTGTTGATACTTTTTATTTTGTGTTCTGGGCAATAATTTTTTGAAATAGTTTCTTATCCCCCATTGTGTTGGGCTGGCTTCCTTCTGTTCTGTAGGCAGCTGCTTTCCTGATCTTGTTTGCTAGTTTTGTTTCATTTTGTATTCTGGAGTTGAGGAATTCTCCATCACCGCCCTGTTAACGCCTTGGTAGTGTTTACAAAATAATGGCACCAGCAAGGTAAAGACTTTTATAACCCAGGCTCCTAATAGGTAAATAAGCTTTTTTTGTGAATTACGTATATGAATCCTACGACGATTGTAGCTTATAGTATCCTTTAGAGGCCAGTGTAAAGATAGACCTTCAAAAATTATTGATGTAAGAAAAAATGTGTGGTTGCATAGGTCTTTATGTACTCCCTTCAAAGATCTCCCTTTTAAAACTTAGCAACACATGTACTGACTCTCCAAATACCTTTTCTGTAATCTAATATAAGTTTGCAAATTAAAATATAGATTGTTTTAATAATTTTGTATTGATAATTCATGTGGGGTTTATACAGAAACAAGGTTATTTGTCTCAAGCCCGGAGCAATGACTATTTATAATTAGCTGGAAGAAGTCATACCTCTCAAGAATATAAATGTTCATTTTTGCATTTCAACTAAGGCTTTTTACAAATTGTCCCAGCAGATGTATTCCTGGTAAAGGGATGTTTCAGTTTTCAAGAGAACTGAACTGATTTGGGGGTCGTGCTTCTTTAAAAAAAAAAAAAAGAACCCACGCATTAAGACGGGTCCCTAGACTTGCCTGTGCTGGAGAAAGGGGGGCTTGGGCAAGCGTCTGTCTGCTTGTCAGAGAAAAGCCACGGGGAAACTACGTGCTAGACAGTCAAGAAGAGGATGGCTATGAGGTGAGAACAATTGATTATATGCTCCTTTACTCACCAATGCTATTGGTCCTAATATTATGCAGCCATAAAGTCAGCATTTAATTACAATTTTAATGTACAGACGCATTTATAAGTGCAGTTGCTGACATTGAGACTGGGCCCTGTTTTTTTTTTCAAATTAGGTGTCCAAATGTTTTTGACATGGAGAACCGATAAGGGCCCAAATGAAGCACATGCTGCAGGCACTGGATGGTTTGGGAGCTGTTCGCATAATACGTCTGATCTAAGGCTGCAAAACGTGTCAGTGCACGACATTTAAGCTCCCTTTTCCCCTCAGTTGCACATGTTTAAAAGGAAGGTTTGTTTAAAAAATAAAAATAAAAAATCTAAAAACTGAGCACCAACCAACCACAGTACCTTTAAAGAGTTATTGGTGGCTGTAATCATTCCTCGTGCCCACGCTGGCTGCAAAGAGATCTATTCCTAGGGCAATTTGAATTTAAACAGGACAAAATGCACGGTCACTGTTCTATATATTCTGTTATTCAGCTAAAAATAATGAGACTTCAGCAGCCCGGGTTAGTCAAATCAAGTGGGTATGCTGTAAGTTGGTCTTATTCCAAGTATCCCTAAGCAGTAATTTGGTTTTATAATGAAGTTACCTACTTCATGTATACTTAAATATCCATGAGATATATTATAATATACTGACTTGCATATAAAGTGGACTGTGGACCCTGAATTTGATCTTGACCAGATTTCTGTGCAGCAAATGTGGACAGGAGGATTGATTACAGCAACCAATAATTCTTTATTTTCCATACAAAGTAATATGTAGTATGTAAAGTATTTTATTTAAATGAGAATTTTATTTTAGAATAAAACTATAAACTATAATAAAAATTATCTGTAGGCCTCCCAGTTGATCACAAACATGATTGCTTTTTCCAACCTGACTTTAGCTTTTAAATATCCAGCAACTGCTTGATTAGCATCTACATGAATTTTCCACTGCTAACTGTGATTTCCCAGTTGATTGACTGGTGACACTCCAGCTGCATATGCTGCCTGTATTGTTCTATTCCAGCATGTGCTCGCACACTTTGTCTGGGGCATTAGGGTGTTAATGGATTACTGAAAGGTGTTGACTCAGGTATGTGTGTGTGTTTGTGTGTGTGAACGAGGGTGGTACAGTGCTCAAAGTGTGCTGGGATCTAGTTGAGACACTTATCTCCAGTTCCCATTTCTCTGCCACTACGCTGTGATCCGTCTCCTGTCGTCTCCCCCTTGCTTCATCCTTTTACTGCCTCACCCCTGCACTTTAGTTAGCAGCATTTATTCTCTGTTTTCTCTTTGCAATGTCTCCTCTTTGCGCTGCCTAACAGTCACCTACCCTCAACATGGATATTGGAGGACTGACCACAGTGGTAGCGAATTCTGCTTACATAAATGCCCGTGGAAGCATTGATGGCTCTAATGCACCAGCTCGGGATAAGAAGTACCATTCTCGCCTCAAACTGCCACACATCACTGTGTGTGAGGGCCTGAGGGATACCCTGGATTTGAGCTTTGACACAGTCTGCAGCGAACAGCCCATCGGAAAACGCCTCTTTAGGGAATTCTTGAATGCAAATCAAGAGTATCATGGGTCTTGCCGTCTGTGGAAAGACATCGAGGACTATGACCTGGCGGAGGATTCTGACAGGGCAAAGAAGTCCTCAAAGATTGTCCAGCGGTACATGGAACCCTCTGCCAAATACTACTGCCCGTTCCTGCCTGAGGACATCATAGCCAAGGTGAAGGAAGGCCTGGAGGCTGCAGGCGATGATTTGTTTTCCGCAGCACTGACCACAACGTTGAACTTTCTGCGGGAAGCCCCCTATACTTTCTTCATGGAGAGCTTGTATCTGAAGAGGTACCTGCAGTGGAAGTGGCTTGAGATGCAGCCCATGGATGCGGACTGGTTCTTAGACTTCCGTGTGCTGGGGAAAGGTGGGTTTGGAGAGGTGTCTGCCTGTCAGATGAAAGCCACAGGAAAACTGTATGCCTGTAAGAAACTCAACAAGAAGAGGCTGAAGAAGAGGAAAGGCTATGAGGTGAGAGCAATACGTTTAGTGTCTGACACATTTGTGCCTTTTATTGATAAGCCTGCAGTGAGAATAAGTTCTATGTGTAACTATATGAAAAGTAGATCTCTTCTTGTGAAATAATTGAATGTTAAATGTAAAATATGGCCCTTGCTCTACTTAAGAAAGCCTCAGCTTATACAGTGTGCCACAGCAGGGCTATGGTATTGTTGCGTTTCCGTGCATTAGATTTCATAGAAATGGAAGGCTCTTTTAATTGCATGCAGTGATTTGATTAATAAAGGTATTTTGTTGGCTTTATGTTCCAGAGAAAGTGCCCTGCGATGGTGCTAATCGTCTTTGTCCCTGCCTCTGTCTCGTTTGGCTTTACCCTGCAGTATTAAACAACTGAGACAGGGATAGAGTGATTACTGGGAGCTTTAGTGGAAAGCTCTTCTGAATGGAACTTCTTGGCACAGTTATATCTTGCCCTTGATTTGTCTGAGGTCATTCTTTGAAATGTACTTAAATCTCTTTTTTTAAATGGCATGTATATATTCTTCTTCAGCCTGATGGCAAAAAGAAATTCCCTGCAGTTTTTCTCCTTTAAATATGCCTCTGTACCAATGTTTTTCAAAACTGCCTTTCCCAATTTCCTCCTGTAGGGGGCGATGGTGGAAAAGAGGATTCTTGAGAAGGTTCACAGTCGCTTCATTGTGTCACTGGCGTACGCCTTCCAGACAAAGGACGAACTTTGTCTGGTCATGACCATCATGAATGGAGGAGACCTCAAGTAACTTCACTTTATGAAAAACTCATGTTTCAAAGCACAAACGAACAGATTCAGGCTCATTGAGGAAACCAATGAGAGCACATGTTCCTTGTGCTTCTATGTTACTATTTTATTCACAGCCTGTGTAGTTTTCCAACAGGTGTGCGGTCAACCAAAAGACTGATGACTGAGAGAGATTACTTAATGTTTCCCAAAGTGGGAATACACTTAACACAGACAGACACATGGGGGCAGTTGCATGTGTGCTAGAGACGGTATATCAATCAGTTACAGTTCATGAGAGGAGGTACCCGCTCACAGTTATTGAATGTACACTTGACTGCATGCTTTATACAAATGTTAGCTGTTATTCTCAAGAGACATAGGCCTAGAACTTCATTTTGATCACAAGTATATCCCAGAGTGGTTCCTCAAAAAGAATCTGCCATTTAAAGTCACATTATCAAAATATATTCAGTCGCTGTGAGATGTAAACCCACGTAACAACAACATATTGGCACATTGTGTATATTTAATGCTGCAAATATATGCAGATGACAAACCTTTTATGCATGACTGGACAAAAGCTCACCTGTTCTCTGTTCCCTGAAGGTACCACATCTACCTGGTGGATGAGAACAGCCCGGGGTTTGAGGAGCCCAGAGCCTGTTTTTATATAGCTCAGATCATCCAAGGCTTGGAGCACCTCCACCAGAAAAGAATCATCTACAGAGATCTCAAACCAGAAAATGTGCTGCTAGATAATGATGGTAATCACGTTTTAGCCAATACTGGAACAAAAAACAGCTATCGTGTATGTGTAATTAATAGCTAATTAAGATGTCTATGTTGTCGACCAGGAAATGTGCGCATATCTGACCTGGGTCTTGCTGTGGAGCTAAAAGAAGGCAAAACAATGACCAAAGGATATGCTGGGACACCAGGTGGGCCTCATCTGTATCTACAGAGTAGTTTCCTACATAGAGGTGTAATTTCACTGCTCAATCAGAATTTCTTTTCCCATTGTTTGACTTTTGCTCTTGCAGGGTACATGCCTCCAGAGATGCTGAAAGGAGAGAAATATGACATGTCGGTCGACTACTTCACTCTCGGAGTGACCCTATTTGAGTTCATGGCTGCTAAGAACCCATTCAGAAACAGAGGGGAGAAGGTTAGCCTACTTTTATTGAACCTTGAGCTTTGCAACACAAATGGCTAACTTTGAGAAATAAGATGATGCAAATGAAGAATGTTTATCCCCTGTTCAGGTTGAACGGGAGGAGATGAAAGAACGCATGCTGACACGAGTGGTGGTGTATCCAGACAATTTCAGCGAGCACGCAAAGTCACTCTGTGATGGGCTGCTAGCCAAAGAGGTCGACCAAAGGATGGGTTTTAAGAACGGATGCTGTGATGAGCTCAGAGCACACTCATTCTTCAGTAACCTCAACTGGAGGAAACTGAATGCAGGTGCAGTCTATTTCCTATACTTCCTTATCTTGGGTTGTGTGTAACGTCTATAATAACAAAATAAAAAGCTTCTATTTCCATTGAAAATGGCTTTAATGTCTGTTTCTCCCATCTCCAGGTATTCTGCCCCCTCCTTTTGTCCCTGACCCTAAAGTGGTGTACGCTAAAAGTCTGGATGACGTTGGGGCTTTCTCTTCGGTGAAGGGAGTGGCCTTGGAGGATCCTGACAAGACCTTTTTTGATGAGTTTTCCTCAGGCAACATCCCCATCCCCTGGCAAGAGGAGATGATCGAGACAGGCATTTATGGAGAGCTCAACGTTTGGGGTCCTGATGGCAGTGTCCCCGATGACCTTCGCAGGGAGTCCATTCTAGAGCAGCCAGCCAAGTCATCGACCTGCTGCACATCGTAGAGTAATTGAAACACCTTGAAATTACATCAACCATCCAGTGTGCAGACTTGTAGTTCTTCAGAACATGAAGATGCAAATACTCAGGACAGACACAAGTGTCGTCTGAACTCTCTTATGGCAGAGTTGAAACTGTTTGAGATTCTAAAAGTTTAATGGTGAATGCAGAAAACAACCAGAACAGAATGGAGGTGGATTTTCAACCTGGAATTTAAGAGTTTAAAAAAAAAAAAAGAAATGTATTGATATTATATTCTACGACTGCACCCTTTACACTCTCTCTTCATCTTCTCTTTCTTTGTCTCGCAATCTGTTCACTCTCTTCTCTGTGTGTAATGTGTTAAATTATTGTAATGCTTTTAGATCTAAAATGCATTTTAAAAATCATATTTTTAAGCAGGGGTTTAGTTATGTGGTATGTCTGGTGCTAAGTGACAGTCACATGTTGAACATGTAAAATGTTAATTTCCCTCTATTGCATATGTGTCCTATAGAGTGTATGCCATTTAATGGAAATCGATTTTGTTTCTTTTTGAGTTAACTAACCTTAGTTTGACTATTTATAGCTAAATTAACTGCTGATGTTGAAATACCAAAAGCGAAGACTCCAGAAACGCAAAGTTTCATACTTTTGGAAAACAGTTTTCTTATGTTTACTTCATGGTTCATAATTGACTCTTTGCATGGATAGCCAAGAGCAGAGCACCTTTGACAAAGGTTTATGTATTATAGTCTAGTTGTTATGAGACAAATTTGAATGTAGAGAAATGTTACCAGCAAATCAATTTATTTTTAAAAACAGCATAAGATGAATAAATTCAGAAATATCAAATGTATGAAAAAGTACTGGCAAATAAAATAGCTTATTGAAATGGAAATTTGAGTCAGGAGCTTCATTTCTGCAGTTACAGCACTTTCCAGGAATGTCACATCAAAACCAGACTTTTCTCTACATGGATTTAAATCAGCAAGATAAAAATGGAATTTTCCTGTTTTCCTCAAAATTTAAACACAAACCCTTTGAACATCTCAGGAAACCTCCACCTCTGTTGTCACGCCTTTGCTGTGGCCTTGTATATCCTCACCTCCTGCTGTGGAAGCTCAACGAGCAGCGTGCTGTCGAAACTGCTCTTAAAGCACTCTGTGAACCTCAGATCTGACTGGAACCGGATTTTGTTGGCCCACAGCAGCGTTGTTCGACTTCCTGGTCGGCAAAAGTGATGCATGGTCTCCAGAAGTTCTTCAAGGCAGTCGTGGTGATAGACCACATCAGCTGCAAGCACATAGTCGTAGTGGTAGAACGGGTAGGGAAAGTCACGCCCCAGGTCCTGACCCCAGGCAAGAGCAGCCACCTGAGGGGTGTAGCGCGACCGGCCCTTGGTGTTCCGCAGAAGGTTAAAGGTCAGATTAGACAAGATGTCCGGCAGATCAGTAGCTGTCACCCAAGCACCTGGAAAAGAGCACAGAACAAGGCAGCTGATAGACAGAAAGACTCCTTTATAGCTACAGTAACAACGTGGCTCTAGTAGTGCAATATCTTCTGGTTGTTTGGTCCACTGCTCATGTGCAGCATGAAATATCTCAACAACTATTGGATAGATTGCCATGCAATTCAGAGCAGGCATTTGTGGTCCTGTGAAGATGAATCTGAATGAAGAGATTATAAAGGAAACAGTTAAAAATACTGTTGAAAAACAGTCAAATGACAGTATAGAGAATAGAGATTAGAGAATAAAATTACACTTGTGTTTCCACTGCATGATTAATAGAAGGACCAAAGGAGGCAACATCATTCCAATAATCACTCTGTTGCTCAGGATATCTTCACAACTACTGGCCTGATTGCGATGCAAAAATTTTGGTGTGGGTGGATAGTCATGTTCCTCAGACAATGAATTCCAGTGTTTAAGTGACCCTCTGATGTTTCCTTAAGGCCAAAATATACATTTTGGACAAAAGATAAGCAGATACCCACAAAATATTCAGTGCATATGTATGCAGCCAAGGGAATGAACGACAGCACCACAATCACAACTGTTCTGTCGGCATTTGCATGTAATGGCATTAAAACTGGCACAAAGCCCGGTATGAGTTATGTTGGTACTCAGGACTCCAGTGTCAAGACTTACTGGTGTCTTGTGAAAATTATTGTTTCATACATACAGCACATATTGTGCTAAGTGCAAATGGACTTCATTATCAAAGACTTACCAAGCAGACTGGCCACTATTGAGAGCAAGCCGGTTCCAGCTCCAATCTCCAGCACCGCTTTGTCCATCAGGCTCATTTGTTGCTGGTTATTCTCCAAGAACTGGCACAAAGCTATTGCCTGCAAAGGAAATTCTCATTACTATCATATTTACAATAACCAGGTATGTACAGACACACACAGTAGTGGCAGGTTATACCCCGGGCCAGATCAGAGCACCATAAGTATCCATAGACTCGCGGATGCTGATGTCATGACCAGCAAAGTAAAAAGACTCCTTTCCCAGTGCGTAGTAAACACTCGGCTCCCAGATGTTCCTCCTGTCCAAAGCCTCTCCTGCCATCACCTTTTGGTCTATTAATGCTGTAGAGGAGAGTGTTAGAGGAATAGTTGGGTTACACTTCTGCATAAAAGAGCAGTGTGGCAAATCTACTTTGAGAAGAAATCTGAATGATTTTCCATCTGCAATACGGAAACTAGACAAGTGATGGCAGTAACGCATGCAATTTAAAGTGACATACTCTTGATTTTTCAATCCAAAATTACCCTCATCTGTGGTCCCCTGCTCCACCTGTAGTTTCCCATCCTGTTTTGTGTCTCCCAACTCCTTTTTATTTCCAAGATGCTTCTTTGGGACGGGTTGGCTGACTGTGGACAATCTCTCCATGACCACTAAAGACTCTTGAAGGAAAGGTAGTAGCATTTTCTGTGACATGAGTATCATTACAGTGTGGCTTTTGATTACAATCAAGACATCTTATAGGGGCACTCCAACTTGAGTAGTATTGCACTTCTAAAAGCTGGGGGGCTCACAAGAGACAGATTAGAAAAAGAAAAGTTAGAATTGGTGCAACAGAGGCCGATATCCTGTCTTATACACCCCATTATGGGTCAAGGTTAAGAAAAACCAGGACCCTACATTTCCTATAATGCAACTCATTAAAACTCTCCTTGCCTGGTAAACACCCACTTCTTTCAAAGCCAACACTTCCAGTTTGTAACAAGCTTTCCATTAAAATCGTTAAATAGTTATATATAGCACGTATTTTCGATTTAAGCAAAACATTTTAAATATTCTATAACAGCAAAATGTTCAGACATGTATATACTGTATGTTTTACTATATGAAACATTTTTTACTCTACCTCTTAAAACCCACTGAGCAACACATCAAAACCTTATTATATAATAATTCTAATATTATAAGTTTGAAGTTATAATAATCAGTCTCACATAACTGAAATGCTCTGCAGTATATGTGTTCAGTGTATCCACCTTGTTGATCAGCTGCAAATCTTTTCAGTTATTTAGATAATGACAAACGTTTGCATTGTTGATGATTCTCTGGTTAGACATTGTGTATTTTGAATGTGCTTGTTAAACGGTTTGTATGTCTGTGACTTATTTTAAGATCAGTAACAGCTGAAATGGGTTCAGAATGGACTAGATTTAGTCCACTAGTCTCTTTGGCTGCCACTAGACTCCAGTCCGGAGCCCAGAGGCACAACTGGTTAAACCCCCAGGTTAACAAACAAGGATACAGAGGACACACTGGGTTGCTCTTTAACTCAGATGCACATCACATTCAGCTGGATCCCCATGCAAATATGAAGGATAAAGTTTGATATCATTTAAAAAGAATTACTGTCACCTGAAGTATGAAAGTGACAATCCACAGAAAAAGTAAAAACACAAAAAGCCTTTAAATATGCGTCTACTCAGAATGTGTGAAACATACCTATATGAAGCAATGGTCTCTTATTTCCCTTTTCCTGGTGCGTCTGTTCGTCTCTCTACTGTGTTCTTATGTTTATAGAAGCAGTATCGTCTGTGACACACCCCTGAACGAGGCAGGGGTCTCTGAGAGACAGAAACAGAGAGATAAACATTCCTGACCCCTCCCAGCACTTTAACATCAACTCTATTTGTCAGTGTGTATATTCTGTATGTTACTGTAGAACCATCATTTAGTTTCCTTCAAAGATTCTGCAGAAAGCCTCACGTTATTTCCTCCTCTCATCCTTAACGAACCAGACATCTGGATGTAAGTAGGAGTTCCAGGTAGGGCTGTGGGGATATGCAAACATTTGAGAACATGAATTCACACTGTGCATGCTGCCAATATATTTGCATATTTATGTCTATCCTGCAGGATAGACATAAATATAAACATAGGGAGGGTTATGAATGTGGTTTGTTGTGGATGTGTGAGATGGATGTGAGCCACCTGGCATGCCCCGAGGAGAGTGGTGTTAATTTCTAATGCAATAGGCAGGAGACTGAGGAAACTGTTTACCAAGAACTGACCTGGAACTGACACTTCCACCTTTAATACCTTTATCATGTATTTATCCTTCCTCTCTTCATCCCCCTGCCATCTCTTATCCTGCATGCTCTTCTTTCTCCCTCCTCCCCTCTCGGTCCTACTTACTGTATTGCACGTAAACACACTGGACTTACGTTTTGTTTGTTGTTGCTTTAGAAGAAAAGGCTTTAAGATGGTTGAGTTAAAATCCAGTGAGAATCTGTTCGAATGTTATTTTAGGGGCAGTGATTTAATTAAGTAATAATATAATATAATAATAATATGATATAATAAATAAATAATGTAATATATAAAAGGCATAATTTGGTTTACATGAACAAATTATGCCTCTATCAATTAGTGATAGTGGAGAGATGACAGGAAATGAGGGAGAGAGATGCAACAACGTCCCCAGCAAGATTTGAACCAGAGACTTTGCAAGCTTCTTATGACATTAATAAGACAGATATAATACAAATACAGAATACATTCATGAATAAATATAAAAATATAAACTCCCATACCAAGAGCCAAAGGACAAATTACAATTCTCACCCCCATTCTCCCCCACTACTAATTTTCATATGGGCCCCTAGTGTGACGAGAAAAACAACATATGCCAACCAACTGGATCAGCAAAGAGGAACAGTGGTCACAGATTGAATCTCCAGAAGGGATGCAGCCAAGTAATATATGAATGGTAATTAGGCTGTTTAACATGACTATACAGCAAGCATAAGATGTTGCATCATTATCTTCCCTATACATCAAGATGACAGTACCTCTGTAAACACTGCAAAGCAAGAGAAGCAACCTCTAAAACAGTGGTTCTCAAACTATGGTATGTGTGCCACTGGTGGTACATGAGGTGCCTCCAGTGGTACACAAGTTTTGCATTTCCTCTAATATTTAGTTTCAGTATCAGCCAATCACATTAATGCATGCATGCATACATCCATGATTAGTTACAAGATAAAATGTAATGGCAACGTAATAGGCAGAAGCAAAATAAATGGTTCAAAAACACTGCAATCATGGCTGCTAATGGGAACTATTAGTAAGAGAAGTGTGGATCAGGAGTACCCTTTTTCTACCAAATTAGCTCAGGTTCTTATTCTTGTGACAACAACAGTCAACAATAAATTATTGTCTTATTTGGAATAAACCAGCCTTCTGTGTGAACTATCTGTAGCTAAATAGGGTCAGTCTACATTACTGTATTTTAACGTCGGTCATAATGGTGGTACTTGGAGAGGCTAATATTTTCTGAGGTGGGGGTTAAAAGTTTGATAAAACACTGGTCTAAAACACAGGAGCATGTTTTGCATAATAAACTGCGTGATGTGTAGGAAATGTGCTGACTATTTAAACTGCATTACCACACTATGTAACTTTATGTAAAAATGAATGCAGACTTGATTATAATATGATGCATTTCACAACTCAGGAAGGTTTCATGAGTCCGTAAATTGATTTTCAAAAAAAAAAAAGAAGAAGAAATAAATGTAAAACACATAGTTAAAAGGAACACAGAAAATTCATCTCAAATCTAATCTAATCCAATAGGACGCATTCAAAATGGTAATAGGTGTTGCATAGTATACATTAATTGTAGTTAAAACCTGCACTTGGACACACTGGCATTATCCTTTAAGTATATCCCCACCTTTGATATGAACCATAGGTATTTTTTCTTGAACATGGGTCTAATATCTGACTACACACAGTTGAGGAATTACTTGAGACCATTTCAAAAGATGTGTTTGTGTTATTTGTCCACACAGTACTGTATGTACACTGATGAGGAAAAGCACACAGATTAGTGCTACTATGTACAGAATCTGCAGGCTGTGTTGTAAACATTGTTTACAGTCTGTTTTTATACCATCCCGTAATCCAAAGTTTACGACTGGGCATGGATACAGTTGTATCCACTGCCCCAAGGGTTTAAGCTGGGCTGCAGGGCTCAGTCGAGAGGATTCACAGCCTCGGTGCATGAACACACTCACTCACACACACACACACACACATACACACAGGCCAGCAGACAACTGGTTGTGCTGCATGAAGCTAGAAAATGACTTGAACTGACAGATGGCAACCACCAACACTGAGTCACTCCCATCTAAACAGCGACACTGATAAGCAGTCAAGGTATTAGGGGATTTCCACAGCATCAGGATCTGGACTCCAGGAATCCACTGCTCTCTTTTTAATTTATCAATCATATCATCACTGTTGATGAATCATATCTGCCACAGATTTTCTTGTTTTGCCAAAATGACTTTCCCACTTTATTAGTTTCTTATTCCTCTGTTACAATGTACAGTTCATACCTGCCTGGTGATGATCAACCAGATCCAATTTTGCACTGAGTCTAAAAATATGATTTTGTAATGTACGTACACAATGTGCAGCAGAGCCATTGGAGTTATCCCTCCAGTAATAGACTGGAAATGAACAGTCAACTGTGATCTCTTAAATCCAGCAAAAGTCACTTTTCCTGGTAGGGGAACAATTGAGAATGTGCGGCTCACTTGTGCCACAGATTGTGTTTCTCAAACAATAGCTTGTAGAGAATTGAATAATTTGAATATTGATTATAGTGAATGAGTATGTGTGTAGTAGTGGTGGATGTGTGTATATAGGGGACAGTCATCCATTGAAATAGAAGGATAAAGAGCTGCCAGTCATCACCTTAGAGTTGGTAATCCTCATCTGCACATCCAAAGGTCAGGAAAAGGTTGTGCAAGCCAGTGGAAAATGAGTCACAGTCACACACAGCAACATGTGAGTGCAGGCAGGCTTTACAGTAGCCGCATGTGCAGCCTGAGTGTGTGAATATATCAGTTAATGGGTGCAAATCTCCTGTAATGGCGATGATTAGAATTCAATGAGTCTAGATGCCACATTGACAGAAGCACGTAATCAAACATATTTATCCTGCCAGCAATGTTGCAGACTGTGAATAGGAAATATGAAATCGTCGTGTGAACAGCTTTTATCACCCTGAAATATTCTGGCACCAGAACAGATCGCTCTCTCGGACAGAGCGGCTGTGCCCTGATCTGGAAAAAATGACCCAGAATTCCTGGACTCCATGGTTGAGTGAGGTGGGCCTGCTGTAAATGGGTCCTGGATGGACTGGAGGTTTAGACACACCGAACAGACTGATGGTTGTGTCACTGTTTCCTGATAAACACTCATCACGTAAACCTCAAAAATATCCCATCCTGCAGTCCAACAGTGCTGCTCTAACTGAGAGGGAATATACTCTACACTACACTAACTTTATTAGGCACACTAAGTTAAATCTAACAGTCTAATGCAACAACGTTGTAATGGTTAAATTGTAATCTTGCTATTAATCCTCAACCAAACTGTAATCTGGTTATACTGTTTTGTCTGTAACTGTAATGGATTACAATGACCTTTTCTTCTATCCTGATTACATAACTCAGTAACATGCCTGGCCTTCAGTTCAGCTTTAAACAACAATCTGACTCAAGTGCCAGCACTTCCACAAAGTCCTCCACATCTGTTGTGTTATTGGGCTCTATTGACAGCCCCAGTGGTATCTATCCAACCAGATCAAACCAGTCTGATAGATAACAGGAGACTAATGAGACAACAAATAATTTATTTAAGTCATTCTCCAGATACAAACACAGCAATAAAATGAACCACTCTCATGGTGTGATTAGGGTCAATTATCAATTTGTATTTTCAACAACAGATTTATGACCCCCCTACTCCCTGACTTAACATACACACCTCCGAATATCGTAGTCCTCCAATCCAATGCCCTGTTTTGGTACAGCATCATGCTCATCATGCTCCCTGCCAACGGAGGCCATCAGGGAAATGTTCTTGGTAGAAGAACGGCAGTGGAATAGAGAAGGCAGTGACAGTGGTATTGTGCACATTAATGGCTGTGTGTTGCTAAAGAAGTCTAACTTTATATAAAGATTTCAGGAGGCATCTTTGAGAAGTGTAGATCATGTAAATACTTTGGCATCTGCAAGCCCCCTTTTGGCCCTTTGAAGAACTGATAACACTTTCCCTCAGGTATCACATCAAGACAACAGCTCCATTTAGTGGCGAAAATGTGGAATTACAACATCTTGTTTCTCTTTAAAGGATTCATATTTTTCAAATCTTAAACAAAACTCACACTGATACAGTTTTTGGTCACTGTTTTCATTCCTCTTGTCCAAACTGAGCATGAAGAAATGCCTTTGTAACACACTACCAATGCAAGTGATTCTATCTATATTATAGCATTAATTTAGCTTTATCTGCTGTGTGACCCAAGGATTTGATATATGTCAAATGTTTGTTTGATTGTTTGTACAGATTTTTTCCCCCACATTCTTCCTATTTTTAGCTTGTTTTTCTCTCTTACCATTATCTTTTGTTTTTTCTCCATTATCCTTTTTTTTTGTAGGAGGAACTGTATTACCACTAAATCATTTCTTACTCAAATAGTTAGGACTGAAATTGCTTATTTTGTGTGTCTCTGTGTGCATGTTTTCTTCATGTATGTCCCTTAAAATGTATTTCAGTATATTTGAAATTGCACTAATTATATATTATTAATACATTAAGTTCAGTGTTAGTATATCAAAAATAGCACACTTAAAGATTGACTTATAGTTAAACTTAATTAATTTTTTTAATGTAAAATAAAAAATAGAATAAGAATAAAAAATAAAGATTAGAAAAAGATAAATATAAAGAATACAATTTCAAAGATACGAAATATAAATATACTCTATGCAATATAAGTCTTAAAATGTTGTAATGCATATTTTTTACTTGGGGAAAAATGTAAAAGTTGGTTACAATAAAAGTTTAAAGTAAAGTTTAATCATGAGTGCAATGAATTATTATATACTTCAGTTTCAAAAACACTTTTTTCTATAAGTGGCAATAATCACAACAAGCTCAAGAATAAAAAAACACTTTATTCACATCATAAAAAAACTTCTTTTCGTTTCTGATCATAACATAACATAACACAAGACATATCATGTAATTCACTTGCATTCAGGCTGCGATTAGGCTAATTGTTGCACTTGTTTTTTTGTTCTCCACGGTTTAAACCTTGTGATAATATTGTGTCTTATTTGTTACAAATACCATATTTTTTTCTGCCCAGCAAAATACAAATGACAAATTACTCAAATGTAATTGAATCTGTATTTTAAATACACTTAATTGAAATACTGTCCATCTAACAGCACAGGACTGTCTTCCATTTCTGGCATCGAATAGTCTAACCCGTCTGCTATGAGAGAGCCACGCTCCATCCCGATCTGAGCTTCTTCATTGGGGAAATACTGCTCTAAAGGTTGTATCGGCTGCCCCATAATGTCCAATGCTGGCCCTTCTTCCATGATAGCAGCATCTGGCACAAACTGTTCTTCCCTCCTCTCAGGCTCCAGTTCCCTGATTGGTTCTTCATCTAAAACGTGGTCACTCTCCCTCATAAGCTCCTCCTCCTCTGGCAGCAGTTCCATGATAAGATCTGGATTCTCAAATGCCGCCCTCAAAGATTGTTCCACTTCAGACAGCTGACTGTCGCTCAGCTCGTCTCCAAACATGTTGTCATCATCCAGTGGCACCAGCTCCATGATTGGTTCACTCTCTATTTCATATTTCCGCACCATGTCAGCGTGTGTCTCGTCAAATTCCCGACCTGTTTCAATCTCTGGCTCGAGGCTCATCTCGACCTGAAACTCCCCCTGAATTGCTTGATACTCCTGCTCCTCATTAAACATGGGCTCTGTCTCCTCTAGAACATCTGGCTCCACATTAACCTCCGATTCCACCTTAAAGTCTGGCACGTCTTCGCTCACCATTTCATTATTTTGCTCCATGTCAATGTGTCTCTCGTCGAACTCCCGACCTGTTTCAATCTCTGGCTCGAGGTTCATTTGCACCTGAGACTCTTGAATTGCTTGATACTCTTGCTCCTCATTAAACATGGGCACAGTCTCCTCTAGAACATGTGGCTCCACCTTAACCTCTGATTCCACCTTAAAGTCTGGCACATCTTCGAACTCTGGCTCCACGAAGACCTCTTGTTCTGCTTCTGTTTCCACATTAGCTTCTAAATCCACCTTAAATTCTTGCTCTGGCTCGACTTCTGGCTCTGCTTTGAGCTCCTGCTCGGCCTTAACCTCTGGCTCCACCTTAACCTCTGGCTCCACCTTAACCTCTGGCTCCACCTTAACTTCTGGCTCAACCTTAACCTCTGGCTCCACCTTAACTTCTGGCTCCACCTTAACTTCTGGCTCTGCTTTAAGCTCCTGCTCCACCTTAACTTCTGACTCCTTCTTAACCTCTGTCTTTACTTCACCCTCTTGCTCCACTCCAACTTCTGACTTCGCCTTAACCTCTAGTTCTTCCTTATTCTGACTCTTCTCGATGTCGGCTGGCACCGGAGCCAACTGTTCCTGCTGCTCCTCGGAGCCGAGCCTGACTTGTGGTGCAGGATCTTCCACCACCACATGACCCTGCGCAGGAGGCACATCTCCCACCAGAGGGTCCTGGAGTTTTTCAATAAAGACAGGAACTGGACCTAGATCTGGGGACAATGGTGGCATTCCCAGAACCACTGCAAAGAGAACATTTGAGAATAAAATTACTTATGAAGTGAAACAGATTCCGCTACCTGTACCCACAGATGGACTATGAGAGTGTTTGTGTGCAGACATGTAAAATGCCCTCAACCCTCCTACGTGGTGTCGTTTTGTGTCTATTTCTTGATGTTTTGCGTATATTTGTAGTCACCTGATTGACTGTCCAACAAGAGATTTCAAGAGCCATTTAAATGGAGGCTCTGGTCCCAATGAACCCTTATTTGATGAGTAAGAGATAAGACCAGTTGATCCATATTGAACTAAAATCGATTAGATAGAAGTTTGAATAAGTTAATGTGACGTGTCTACAGTAGCAGTTCCACTCTAAGTTTTGAACAATTACAAATAACAGAATAATGTTATTAGCGAATGGCCAATCACAGTGAAAACACAACTTACATGCAGATACATTTTCTAAACACAATGAATAACAAAGTAAAAGTGATAGAAAAATAGAAAAATGTTAATGAAATCTCTTACCTGCGAGGCTCAGAGAGAGCAATGCCAGTGTCTTCATCTTGTTCTGATGATGGTGTAGGATCTGTATTTAGAATTGTAGACTGATTTACTGTTAAATGCGCCGTGTACCAGTGAGTTACTAACCTTCTTCTCTTTGCGACTGCTTTTTATCTGTGTTTGGTAATGGTACTCCTAATCTTTATAAACAGCAACAAGTCCTGCCCCTTTCTTTCTGTTTTCAGTAAGTTATAATATAGAGCCTTCCTGTTACCTTATCTTGTCCAAAGCTCATATTTTTTTCTGTTTGTTTCCTCTTGGCATGGTTTCAGTCACAATTAAGAGGGTAGAAAGTTCACTTTGTCAAGGTTCTTCCAAAGAAGTAAACAAGTATCAAACAATTACCTGATACAAAACACGGACTCGTACGTCTGTTTTAGACACGTGCGCAGATAACTGAAAGTATAGATAATGTTTATTGATTCTTGAGCTGAAACTGTCTGAATGAGTTTAGTTGGAGACCAAGGAGTAAAACTGGAACCTACGTAAAAAGAACAAATCAAAAAACATAATTGAAAAACAAATGTAATGTACAATAATACCTCCAGATGGAGTAAAAGAAAGTTTAGTACTGAAATACTTGACATGAAATTCCCTTCCAACTTCCCTCTTATCCAGACATCTAGATCTGGACTCTGACCTGTTACAGAGAATAATTAACCATATTTCACTGGTATTCTACATTTAATCTCTTGCACGATGAGAAACATCTGTATTTTTGTATTTTTTTTTGTCCCTCCTGGATGCCATAAACCACCGCTATAAATAAAATATGAAAAGGGGCGACTGTGTCCCAAAAGGCACCTGCTCAGGTTCACTGTAACAGCAGTGTACATAAATATTAATCTGTCTTTCACAGCAGACATTGTGATATGTCACATCAGGAAAAGCACCGGTATAATTAATGACATTAACAATGGCCATAAAGAATTAATTTTGCCAGTTTCAGGGCCCTTAAATGGGACAGAGCCATTGTTAATGTAAAGAGGAACACCTCTGTCTCTGTTCCTGTGATAATAATAATAACAATAATAATAATAATAATAATAATGATGTCAGGTCATTCCACAGTACAAGAGCCATAACTGCAAAAAGCTCTATCACCATATCAGTCTGGACCTTGGAACAATCGGGAACAATGTGTTGGTGGATCTCATTGACCGGGAAGAAAACATGGGGCAATAAAAGGTCTGATAGATAAATTGGGTGAGGCCTCTCAGGGCTTTGTAAGTAATCAAAAGCAACAGGTAGCCAGTGTAGGTGAAATGTGATCACGTTTCTTTTGACCCAAAGCATCTGTATTTGATGACCTGGGAATAAGACTGAACTATCTCTGATCTGTCTCATGTACTACTGTCAGGATATAGTGAAAGTTTCAGCAATTATGACAAAAGTTACCTACTGTAGCTTTAAACCTTCAAAACCTCCATTAAAACTTTAAATCAAACATGTTTTCATAAGGCACTTGTTTAAATTCAAAGTTAATTTAAAGGGAACTGATTTCACACATCACGTTTTTAAGGCTTTAACACTAAGCTTTCCAATTAGACCTTGTTGAGCTTTAAACTCAGATTAAAGTATCCGTGCAGTAGAATCAACAAAAGAAACCTTGAATTAATCCCGGTATAATCCTAGCTGGCACAAACCAGCCACAGCATGTTGCTGAACTTGAAAGTGTGAGGAAGGACAGCTGTTTAAATGATGCCTGAACTGGTCCGGTGGTTCATATGAGATTCACTATGTGGGAGAGATTGTTTATGTAAAACACACTTGTGTAAAGTGAGCAGTTGTTGTTATGGGTGTGTGTGTGTGTGTGTGTGTGTGTGTGTGACATGACATCAGTGGAGCAGCTGAGATTGATTGTGGACAGGTGCTCCAGCAAAGATTTTTCTCTCTGTGTGTGTTCATGCACACGTGTCTGCACGTATGGCCCCCGTGTGTGTCTTTGTGTGTGCGTATGGCCACAAATGTAAGCATGTGTGCACATTAACCAGGATGAGGGACAATGTGCTGTTGTGTGTCTGCTGGTGGTGAGAAACCTAATAGCCAAGGACACAGTAGCTCAGCCAGCAGCTGTCCCATCTATGCACCTCCTATTACACTCAGCTCTGTTGACATATGGAAAACTCACAACTCTGACCAATCATCTTTTAAATTTGGATGAAGGGTTACATTAATTTAAGAAATCATTTCAGAAATCACAGACTAAATGCAAAAGGTAATTAAGATTAAATTGAGACTGTAATGATTTGTTCGTAAAAGGATGATTTGGTTTTCTCTGCAGATGTGTCAACAAAAACAATTTTATAAATTGATCTTATATTTTGCCAGTAAAATCTGAAATAAATAGTAACTATAGTTGTGGAGATAAAACACCATATTTGAATGAAGTATGGAGTCGCATAAAGTAGAAATACTAACATAAAGTATATCACCTCAAAATGACCTGCAGTGACTGATTTTTTGCCACTTGGGTGAAGTTGGTTTTTTTTTTAGCTTTTCTGCCTGCTGTGGGCAAAAATGCTTTGTGGAGAGTGGTGAGTATAAACTAAAGCAGCAAAGTTGTCGGCCGGAGAGCGAAACACTGAGCTGAAACCCATTATAAAGCTCTGTAAAGCTGAAGGGATCTGCAGATTACGAGTGAACCCTTTCACTGTCAAATTGTTTGAAAACATAGGCCTTTTAAACAAGGACCAAAATGGAAATCAGTCTTGGACTTTTTTGTATCACCCTGGAAATTTTTAAAGATCTCCTCCACACATGTATGCAGACATTTATAGAAATAGTCTGCCTTGAACATAAATGTGTGTCTCATAGGTTTTTCTCCACAAAACAATTATAATTTCCTTCTATCTCATTAAGAATTCCAGGATTGATGTCAAACTATTTGTTATGTCACAAATCATGCTCTCCGTGTCCACACAGAGAGTCTGCTAGAGATTTCACAGTCACTTGAAGCACTAGCCTATACTGTGTTGTATCTGAGTCAGCTGCTGTATGTCGCTGAGCTAGCGGCTCAGGTAGGCTCATTTATGAGCTCAGGTTTCCTGATGAGTTTATGGTCTCAGTCACTAGTTTAACATCTTCTTCAATACAGTATGATGTTCATTTAGTAAATCATGGCCCAATTTAGAGTAAAATAGACAATAAAGTAGTGTATGCTTCTGGGTGGGGCTACCTTTTGATTGACAGGTCACTCTCAGTGAGTCCGTCAAGCGCAGCACACGAAACTTGGATCAAACTGCCAAACTAGGCAGTGCTGATCAAATACAAAGCAAGATTCTTATTTCTCACTTAAAATTGTTTCAGAAACATATTTCAGTGTACTGTTTCCAGCTATGGACGAGTCAAAACTGCGAAACCAATGAGAGCAGATCAACTCTCAGCACAGAGAGTACAGCAGGTCTGCTGTCTCGCTCTGGCAGCCAAAATGCTAAACTCACAGCTTCAGAACAGTACTCCACAAACCAATGAGTGACGTCACGATAGGTTCACACTCACGTATAGTCGACAAACAGTCGACTCTACGTCAGCATTGGACTTACAAGGTTCAGGGTGACTTAAACTACTAGAGGGCGTGTTGATACATTTTTAACCTACAAAATGCAAATTTTCATAAATTCAATATGAATGTTTTTAACACCAGCAATTGATGTGTTTTTATCACAGTACAGTCATATAATTTAATTTACTGCTCAAAAAACATGAGTACCCCTTTAAGATGTACTATTCTCATGAGAGGGGCGATTGAAGATCCTAATGATATTGTAGCCTATACTAACAACACTAATAGGGCAGATCAAAGAACAACCCCCCCCCCGTTTGTCTCAGGGCAGCAGCAGCTCTCCTGCGCGCGCTCTCCGTCAGTCGTCCAGGGTGACGCGCGTGCTGCAGATGAAACTTTAAGAAGCTGCAGAGAGTTTGGAGTAAAACCCACCTCACCCAGACACCCACAGACCTCAGGACGGATAACTGCTCACCGTTACTAAACATGACCTCCATGAAGATGTTGGCGCTGCCTCTTCTCATCACTTTATTGCACAGTGAGTTTTTTTTTTAATTTTAGAAACTTTATTTAACTATTTGCTGACGTTATTAATGACAGCGAATGGGCTGTAGACTGACTGTTAGAAGTTTTCAGTTGCAGAAGTGCTTTAGGCTGTACAGGCCTATGATTTCAACAGTGTTTTTAATAGGATATTCCTGTAATATCCTCCCACATTTTCACAAGGGATTTTACTGCCTCGGATATCAAAGGTGTGCATTGAAGAAAGAGAAGAAAAAAAGGAAATCCTGAACCAAACGAGATAGTTAGGGACTGTATGAAACTTAACAGTGTATGGAGGGGGTTTGAACCCTATGTTTCACTTTAAAAAACAGTAACACCATCCACAGTGTTTTTAACATTTTATTTGGACCCTCCTCTCGTTAAAGAAAACCCTTTCCCCAATATCTCAAAAAAAATACAACAGTATTGATAGAGATAGTTTACAAATAATAATAAGAGACAAAGCAGTAAAAAAAAACTTTCTTCTTTCTTTCTTAACAATGAACCTTAATATGTTAATTAAATAATAATTTTCATTGTTTCTATTGTTTTTTCTTTCTTTAAGATATTCCCCAAAAAGTTTTCTTCTTTCAGCAGAAAGAAAAAAGAAAATAATCCTATTTTCTGACCTTTTCTTTTGAATAATTCTTGTAGAGTCCCTCAGAAATGCAGGATTCAAATGGTCTGGCTTGTGTTTTATTGATCATTAGTTTGTGTGATTGAGTGCGTATTAAGCCTGCATGCTGGGGGGGAGGTGTGATGTGTTCAGGGACTGCATCAGGGGCTGAGATTGTGCAGGGAGTGGTTGTGGCTGGGGCTCATGTTTACACTGAACCCACTCTGATGCTGTTTAGACCCGAGATCCACAGGCTGATGAGACACATCACATGGCCCTGCGGAGGAGTCTGAGATCCCACCCTTTCAGTTTGAAGATAGCCCCCGACTGACCCTGTTGTTAATTGGACTGAGATGAAAACGACCCCTTACTATCAGGAAAAATGCATTTGAAGTTGCACTGGGAATTTTAAAAGGGAAAACAACGTGTTTCATGTCGATAATTGAAGCTTTTAGATATTTGTTTTGATCTTTCTTGTATTTACTCACGAGGACCAAATGTCCTCACAGAGATTAAAAGATTTAACTCCTTATCCTCAGGACAGTTAAGGATGTGTTTAGAATATTTTGGGCATCATTGGTAATATTGAATTTGATATTAGGCACAACACAATGCTAATATATTATAACAATTCTTTTAAATATGATTTTCATTAATGAAAAACACATAATTACAACATTATGATGGATAATATCATATGTCTAAACATGAACTTGTTTGTACTGGTTAAGATTAGTTCATCGCAAGGATTCAAGTCTAGTATTAAAATTGGAATCAGGTTTAGGTTTGGCTGAGGGTCAAAGTAAAGAATACGGCACTGAGGGTGAAGGTTAAGGATTCAGTCAGTGTGTAATACAGATATATGTGTGTGTGTGTGTGTGTATGTGTGTTGTGCCAGCTGAAAAGGATAAGGTTACTGTCATGAAGAGCTGCTTTGTCTGCAGAAGAAAAGCATGCTTTCCATGCATGTGTTTGCCACACACACACACACACACACACACACACACACACACACACACACACACACACTGAGAATGTCTTTTTCCTCGAATACCAAACGAGACATACGCGTTAACATTTAAGCTCCTTCAGTGATTCTGAGAATTTATCATCATATTCATCTATCATTCGCTCCCTGTTGCCTTAATTGTCGGCTGTTCATGTTGGATTTATGGCAGATTTAAGTTTTCACAACATAAATATCTAAATATCTGTATAACATCATTAGAAACAACACAAATCTGCAGCATAATGCACTTCTCTAATGCTGCTGGTATTAAGGAAAACTGCTTTCTTACACTCACATCCTCCTTGAAGCTTTAGTTTTATGGTATAAGTATATTTATCATGTTTTGGTAAAGCTTTGATTTTGGATTTTTGGTAAAACGTGTTGCCATTTTAATCCTGGCATGGATTTGATGCTAACTTTGTGAAGGAAAGTACAAACCTTTTAAAGGCACATTCGAACCTACTTCGGATGTAGATTTTATGCGGTTTATCACTTTGAATTAGTTTTTTCATTTGTAGTTTGTTTGTATAATTTTCTGCATTTTTGTGAAGGAATGTAGGCTGTGCTCTGTGTGTGTGTGTGTGTGTGTGTGTGTGTGTGTGTGTGTGTGTGTGTGTGTGTGTGTGTGCGCGCGTGCTGAAGGGACAGATCACCAAAAGAGGTTATCAGGTCGGGAAAAAGCAGCTTGTCAGGGAGTCATCCATCACCTGCATTCCTACACAGCACCGCTCCTGGCACCACCAGAATGCAGCTACACACTTTATATGTCGGTCTGTGTGTGTGTGTGTGTGTGTGTGTGCGTGCATCCACACAAGGGGGAAGCAGATAATGCACATATTCTCTTGTGGAAAATTAATATTGTTAAATGTTAAATGTTTAAAATGTTTACTATGTGGTGAGGATGCATGCCTGGTATGTGTAGGCTGGTATGTATGTATGTGCAGTTTGACAGGCCCACGTTCTGAAACTATAGATATATTCAGGATGTGTTGAATACAGTGAGAAGTGATTCTTGTTAATAATGTGAGCAGAAGTTGGATTGTTGGACAGTAAAAACTGTCTAATTTATAATAACTGATTGATCCCCTGCAGGTCCTATCTGTCTGTCAGTGACAGTAAGCAGCAGTAAACCCAAAGTGGAGGTCCACGAGCACACAGGTGAGACTGCAGCACTGAATATCATTTATTTGTCTTTGAAATGTCTTTCAAGTTTTTCACGAGTTTCACAGCCGCTGTAGTTTCTCTTCCACGCTTGGAGGGATGAGCTGTATTAAATGGTTTCAATCTGCAACTACATGCCACTGAATCCTACACACTGGTACTATAATACAGAAAATGAGCAAAAACAACGGTCACTGTACAGTAGAACTGTCCTTAAATGCTTATCAAAGCATCATCAGTTTTCATGACTTAACAGTTGTGACAAAAAAGCAACAAATTCATCAGCAGATAATGGGACAAATGAAGTACAAATTTTAACAAGGTAAAAGTTATTGCTACTGTGGATTGACACCTTTGTATGTTTTCTGTCCTTCCAGATGCTGTGCTTGCCTGTGAGTTTAAAACGGAGAAAGATCAGAGCCCTCGAATAGAGTGGAAGACAACAGGAAAGGAGGCGGCATTTGTGTATTTTAATAAAAAATTTAGTGGTGAGTGACGTAACCTTTGGTGCATGAACTGATTTATTATTATTATTTTAGCAAAGTAGTAGTGTAGTGAAGCTTTGTCCATCCTCTATCATCTTTCCTTCCACTATAGGGCGTTATGTAGGACGGGCAAAGATAGAGGGAGCGACGCTGACGATACACTCTGTGACTCAGAAAGACTCGGGGCAGTACCGCTGTGAGGTGACTGCCAGCCAGGACCGCGTCAACTTCGGAGAGGTTACTGTAACCCTCAATGTGCTTGGTATGAAACCTCTATGTGTTTTTGTGAATATGTAAATATGCATATATGAGGGGAAATGTATGTATTTTTTGTGAAACAAATGAAGAGTAAACTTTTTTATTTACTTGGTTTCATCCAGGAAAGCATGTTGGATGGTAAATTGTGCCTTTAAAGTCACGGTGAAGTGGCAGTTAGAGCAGCTTTAGTTTCTGTAATGTGACCTATTTCTAAATGAAACAGTATGTATGGGATTTAGTTACAATATCAAAATCAATCAGACTTGAAGTCCTTGAAATTTGATTATATTGCGATTACAACACAGTACAGAGCTGTGAAGGACCTCCACACAAACCTCCCTCACCTGCGTAGTTAAATCAGGAGGACAAGAGTTAAGTGAATAAATTAAACCTCAATCACATTCTTTGGAAATGTAAGCCAAGTTTTTGCCAGCTCAAATGCAATCACACACCTCTTACTATGAATATTATATTGTTCTACCAGATTCCCACAAGTATAGTATGGTTAGTGGTTGGGCTTAGCTAAGGACCCCAACACACATTTGATTGGATACTTTTATGCAACTGCCCAGAGTTCAAGATGAGTCATCAAAAATACAAAGAGAATAAAAAAAAAATGTTACCAATATTTAGCATATAACAATTAATACGGGGACACAGGATTAGTAAAACCTATTTTTCATGTCACTGTCTTTAATCAAGGCACAGTATGCTGCTTTTGAGGGGAACTGCTAATGTTGGGTTCTTGACATCGCAAGTTACCCATGACTATATGTGAATATGCTCACATGGTTTAATATCACAACAACTCACCTTGTTACCCTTTTCAAAAACGGGTTATTGGTTTTGTGTTTTCTACATTTCAGTGTCATGCTTATGAACGAGGAAAGAGATATGAATGGCATTAATAGTACAACAGTGATAGCGTGATGTCACCTCACAGCAAAAAGGTCCTGGGTTTGAATCCACAGTTTCCTTTCACAGTCCAAAGACATACAGCAACTTGTTTGTAAATGTGAGCATACATGTGGGAATAATGGGTGGATGCATGGATGGATGGTATCTGACATTTTAAAAAACTCTCACGGAAAGATCTAGCTGATGTTGTGTTTCTGACGAGCAGCGGTGGACTAGCAAGCAGAAAGAAGTGATGCATTTTAGGGTTAAGCTGTTCCCTGTTTTTTTTACCCTTTTCTAGCATGTAAGACAACCTATATGGCACTGCATCACGTTTTGTCCACTGTAAAGGCACCCCGGAGGGCACTTACACATTTTCTTACACACTTGACCAATGTAGAGGGCAGTTCATTGTATTTTATCTACCATAGGCCATCCAAGAAGGTACTTTTTCTAACATGGGGGCACTGGGGGGCAATTGCAACAACAAAAGTGATACTTTAAGATTTGGTGTTAGTGTTTAGAAATGACAAAATCCTATATTTTTGCATATCCATTTACAATTCTTGCTGTGACTCGAGCTGTTTTTCCTCTCTGCCTCCTCAGTGCCTCCTCATGTACCGTCCTGCGAGGTGCCGAGCTCCGTGTTTGTGGGCTCAGACCTGGAGCTTCACTGTAAGGACAAACTCAGTGTGCCTCCTGCCACCTACCGCTGGTACAAAGACAGCAAGGCTCTGACGGCCACAGCAGACACCCCATACAGCATCGATATAAACAAGGGCACGCTGGTGAGTACACCCTAAAATATGCAAGTACTTGTGTAGGCACACACACACACACACTTAAGTGCATCCAGATATCAGACATATGAACAGACTCACAGCTGTTGTTCTCTGTTATTCAACTCTCACCTTGTCTCTGTCTGGAGCAGAAGTTTAAGAGTGTGTCCAAAACAGACGCAGGGATGTACCGCTGTGAGTCCTCCAACAGCGTTGGGGCGCCCAAAAGCTGCGTGGCCCAACAACTGAAAGTCACTGAATGTAAGTGGTTTTGGTACAGTTCCTCGCTGGAGTTTAGTTTACATGTAATGCTCTACACACTCTCTTTCCCTTCTTTCTAGATCCATTGAATATGACGATTTTGATAGCAGGAGCTGCAGGTTTTCTGATGCTCCTCACCTTCTGCTGCATCTGTGTGTGTGTCTGCCGACGCCGGGGCTGCTGCAGGAGTGAGTAGTGTGATGCTTCTGTGTGTCTGTATGTGTGTGTTTGTTAATCTGTGTGATACAGTTATCTTTGAATATAACGGACGTGTTATCTGTAACACAATAAGGCCTCTTTAAGCAACCTGCTAGGTTTCTGAAAGAAAGCAGTGGCTTATGTCTGACTCACTAAACTTTGATTAAGTGAAAGGCACAGAGAAGGTCTGGAGAGAGTATTGGTTTGTGTACAGGCTGCCCCTGGAGAGCTAAAAGAGAGTGAATATTGGACTTACATTCTTCAGGTGGACAGAAACACAACCACTTAATGCCTGCTTAAGTAAATCTACTAATTACTGCTCAGTTAATTACTGCCAGCAGATATATATATATATATATATATATATATATATGTGTGTGTCCAACTACTTAGGCCAGTAGGATAGTGATCATGAACATTTTTAACTTGACTCTTTCTTCTTTGTTGAACAGAGCACAAGAAAACAAAAAGGTGAGGCTTTCACTTTTCAGTCTGACTCTTGTTTTGCCTGCAGGCATGTGTTATTGACTGGCTGAGCTCACACTGAACTGCCACCCTTTGTCTTTCAGCACTAAGTCTTTCAACCCTCCGCCGCCTCCTCCTCCCATCCGCAATGTGAGTGATCAGAGGGATTGTTATCCTGTCAGGGCTTGTTTTGCTCGCTGCCATGTATTTGGGTTGCCATTAAATTCTGTTGATAAGTTGCTGATAACACTAATTGAAGGAAGTGGTTCACTGTATGTCTCCCTGTTCTCTACAGCTCAAGAACTACAAACAAACTCACTCCTTCATGATTTGAGTGGGAAACACTCTCTTACTTTCACTTCAAACCAACCAAAATCTAAAGTGTACACTTATTATGGAACACACTGGAGAGTTACTCGACCGTCGCCTTGCTCTGGGACGGGTGCTCGCTGCTTTTTGAGACAGATCTGGAGTTAAGGTTCTTCCTGGCATTATGTGTTGACAGTTTGGAAGATGTTTCCGACTTACAGTCCTGTGAATTCCGGGTTTAAATCAGCTCCTACAAACACTATAACATTCATTATATTCATATATTCAAGACATTTTTCTAAATCCTATTTTTCCAACTCCTATTAGACTTGAGGGGCCAAGTTCGTCACTACAGTTTTGGCTCTTTTATGCCACCTACAGGCAAGTTACTGTTAAACCATTGACACTGATTATTTCCTGTTCATTTATATTTAGATGCAGAGATGTTGTTTTATATGAAGTTATTTTTTCTCTTTGTCATTTTTATATTTTCTTAAAAACTTGTTTGTGTTTTGATCTCATAACTATTACTTGTTTAATCTTTTGAATTTAGAATTGAGCAACAAATGAACAGGTGTCTGCACACACTGAATGGTGCCATGGAAGCTTTTTAAATGTTTGATACTATTTTGATTGTCTATCTCTTGATCAATAAAGAATAATGAAAAAAAAAATAGCATATTGGATTCAAGCTGTACTCTTAATTGGCTTGGTACACAGCAAGGGTGGTTGGGGGTTTCCAAGGGTCCTATATCCCCCAGATGTACATGATCAGCCATAACATTATGAGCACCTCAGAACCAGCATTAACTTTTTTAGCAGTGTGAGCTACAGTAGCTTGTCTGTTGGATTGGACCACACGGGCCAGCCTTCGCTCCCCACGTGCCCCCCACGTGCATCAATGAGCTTTGGCCACCCATGACCCTGTCTCTGGTTCACTGCTTTTCCTTCCTTGGACCACTTTTGATAGGTACTGACCACTGCAGACCCGGAACACCCCACAAGAGCTGCAGTTTTGGAGATGCTCTGACCCAGTCGTCTAGCCATCACAATTTGGCCCTTGTCAAAGTCTCTCAGATTCTCACACTGCCCATTTTTCCTGCTTCTAACACATCAACTTGAGGACAAATGTTCACTTGCTGCCTAATATATCCCACCACTGACAGGTGCCATGATAACCAGATAGTCTGTTATTCACTTCACCAGTCAGTGGTCATAATGTTATGGCTGATTGGCGTATATGGGACATAATGGAAACATGACAAAGGGTCCTATGTTCCCCAGTTCTTGGGTTAGGATTAGGGTCAAAGGGTTTTTATAAGACCCATGGGAACATAGATAGTTCCCAGGGAGGGAATATCAATGTCATCAAAATCAACATTTGTTAAAAGCATCTATATGTATTTCAACAACCATCCACAAGATGAAGAATACATTATATTATAGCCTCTTTAATATTTTACAATATGATTTAAGCCTGATGCCAACATATTTTTAGCCACATTTGCAACATGGGTCTTGTGATGGTAATGTCAATCTGTTGGTGGGGCCATGTCTATGATACCTGCACAACAGATGAGCATCAGCTGTACTTGTGGTGAGTGCTGATTAGCAAATGTTAGCATGCTAAACAACATGCTAAACTAAGATGGTAAACATAAACATCAGAATGTTAATATTGTCATCATGAGTCATGTTATAAGTTTATACTAACAAATATCTATCTATGTAATACAGATATACTTCTTAATAAATCCATGTTGTTGCATTTGTTTGCTGTAAAGCCTCACACAGCCGAACGTGGCTGTAGACTCTTAGTCTTGTTTATTGCTTATTCAATTTATTAAATACATTCTTAATTTTTTTGTAGTTGGTTTAACAACATGGCTCTCTTTTTCCTCCATGTTAGAAAATGGCAAAAGGTTGCTAATTATAAATAATATACTGCACTGTAAAGTAATAAATGAGTTATTTATCACTGAACATTGTAAACAGGCCACAGTGGAATAGTTTCCTGCTTTTACCTACGGCTGTACAGAGGGTGGGTGTTGGAAGAGACAGCCTTAATTAGATGGTGATGACCTCACAGATCAATTCCCATATATCTAATTCCCATTGCCTTGGTTTTTGTCTGAGGGAGTAAGCCAATAAAACCAATACATGAGAAACCTTAAATTCCAGATTTAATTTAATCTTTTAAAAATCTTTTTTATTATTTCTTTCTTTCTGTCAAGTAGATTTCTGGACAGTCTGCTTCCCTTGAACAGACAACAGTTGAGTTAGCGGTGATTAACAGTTCTTCTTTGACCACTAGATGGCACCACAGAGCTGACTGTATCTGTTCACAGCAGTACCACAGGCCTACAGCTCCATGTTGCCAGCTTTTATCCATTATTTGTCTATGAACAGTAGCACTATTGTTCTCCTCCCTTTGTACTGGTGCTGCTCATAAATTAAAAGTCTTGAAAAGCACTGATTTCCTGCAGCTTTACTTCCTCTACTTAGCTTTACTGTTAAAAGAGATACATTGTCTGTGCATGTACTCATGACTTAAAAATGTTCTTATTAATGACTACACTGTTTGGGTTGTGCATAATGTGTAACTGCTACAATGCAGACAGCGTCAGGAACCAGTAAAAGAGATCTATTCTTGTACATGCTCATAATCTCTAATGATTGCATTAAGTGGCTCGTATTGATCTTCTAATATGGCTGTTTGGCAGCTCAGACCTTCCTGATCAACCAGTCTGGCTGCAAAGACAGGGCATCAGCCGAGCTCTAAATGTTGTTCCACAGTCTGTCAAACTGTACCCTTAATGGGAGGGAACTGGCACTGGTTCTAGCATACTGACAGTGCATTTGTACAAGGTTTTTTTGGGGAGGTATTCATAACCCTGGGACATCTGGGTCCAAAAATTCACTGCTCACTCTATTTGTAGGGAGTTCTGTGTAAATGACAGTATAATGCATAGTTGACAACATGAAAAAAAGAAACTAAGAAACTTATGCGACACTAATCGGGTAATTTCTTTCATCCAACATGCATTGTGACACATTGTTTTCATCCTTGCACAATGCATGATGACAGAAGGCGCTCAATTAGTCACCCTCTGTTGTACACTATAGTACTTTTAGTCCATAGGATATAATAACTTTCACTAGTCATTTGGATAACACTACAAAAAAGCCTGTGTCCCTCCCGATAGTATAAAAACACTGATATTGTATAATCTATTATATGATTGGGTTGGTTCAGACATTTTCCTTGTATTAGCTTATTATACAATAACCTGAAAATAAGAAGAGTTGTTTTTTGTTACTTTAGAACGTTTTTATCTACAGAGGGAATGGGTCCTCTTCTGCAGGGTCCACCATTTTGAACTGCCATGTTTCTACAGTAACTCTGAATAGACAAACCAAACAATAGCTGTAGATTGGGACTTTCACGTCTTTTACAAGTTTCACAGCCACCTAGATTTTCCTACATGCTTGGAATCTGTAACCTCTAGATGCCAGTGAACCCTGCTTTAAAGCCGCCTCAAGGAACTTTCATTTTGTGTTGATTCTGGCGGCCCCTCAGTAGAGCATGAGAGAGCGAGTGGGAGTGTGCGAACGAGTGCGACCGTGTGTGACGGTGAATGCCAGCAGAGCAGAGAGAAACGGGTTAAGAATAGGTACACAGATATTGCCAATATTCTAGCTGACTCTGTAGGTCATACAGACTAGTTTCACAAGCAGTTAAAATCCTTGTTATAGCAATACCCCAGTTTAAGAACACTTGAAAGTCTTGCATTCAAAATTATATTTGAACAATAGTATAGTCAGCGAAATGTATTTATGAAGCGTCAAAAGTAAAATACTCAACATACGGAATTGCTGAGTGCAATGGACAAAGCGTAGGAGTTTCCTTCAACCCATATAAACGCATCAGTACAAATGAAACATCACACATGCAAAATTAGCCAACTGGAAATCCTGGTTATACTTTGCAACGGTCATATGAGCAAACCCACAGATGATGTCTGTGACAGAAAGGACCCAAATGATAACCCCAGCCCCACACACCCACACACACACACACACACACACACACACACACACACACACACACACACACACTAATTTCCTGTAATATCTAGATCTGGTGGTTGGTTAATGACGCTGCCTGACTACAGTAATTTTTTGTGGTTCCCTTTGAACATCTTAACAGGCCTTCTTTATGGATGCTCGCCCTGGATTACAGCTCAAGGGGACTGTTACATCACATTTTCTAAATGTGTGTGTATATGTCAGATAGCGACAGAGGAGTGAGTGTGTGAAAATAAGTGAGAGAGAGAGAGAGAGAGAGAACAGTTGAGTGTGAGTGGGCGGTGGCTGTCAAATGAAATCTATGTCAGTACCACTGTTTTCTTAGATGTTAAATTAAGCCTCAACCCTGGTTTCCTCCAACACAGCTCCTTCCTCTGCCTGGCACAAAATTGGCTGCACCGGAGCCTTACCCACAATGCACTCATGAGTTGAGCTCCCATGAAAACCTCCAGGAGCACTGCTCATCTATGAACAGGTGGCACAATGCTCACAGCACATGGCACAACACCCTCTGGGATTAAGTAGCTTTTTTTCTCAAAAAAAATCTGTTTCTGCCAGTTTTTATTTGCATGTTTTGTTTCTTTCTTTTGTTTCTGGTGTTGTTCCTACTCTCTGCCACCCAGTTTGTAGCACGTTTACGGCTCCCATAGCCCTACACATTAGTAGTACTGGGTTATGCAAAGCTTACATCATGCAGACATTGATGTATTTATGCCTTGGGGAGATTGTTGTGGCAAAGGGAGCAGGAAGAAGACCACTGACACAGGGATTGCCACAGGAAACTCTTTCTTCCCGCTGTAGCAGTAAGAAATAGAACATTTAAACATTTAAACCCCACCAGACGACATCTCCTACAGCTTCATTAAATCTTTATCTTTATCTCTTACAATGCTAAGAGTCTTGCTGTGTGTGTGTGTGTGTGTGTGTGTGTGTGTGTGTGTGTGTGTGTGTCTGAAGGCGAGAGGGGGAGCAGGCAGATCGTTTGCTATTATGTACTCTCTGTTTTCTGTCCTCACTTTGAATTGTGCTCTTATTTAGCATTGTTCACTGACAAGACTGTTATTTGTAATTACTACAGAGTTGGAGGATGGAAATGGTTTCCCACTAAACACACATGCATGTACGCACACACACACACACACACACACACACACACACACACACACACACACACACACACACACACACACCCGCATGCACACAAACACACACACACACACACACACACACACACACACACACACACACACACACACACACACACACACACACACACACACACACAGCGTCCTGTTCTCCTGCACAAGCAATCAGTCAGGACTTTAACTCCCACAGCAGCACTGTGCTTCTTATTTGAGCTCAAATAGGAACAGTGTAGGCAGAGTGTTATACAGATGAAATGTTTTGTCTGTGTGTGTATGTGTGTGTGTGTGTGTGTGTGTGTGTGTGTGTGTGAGGTGGGAAGACCATTTCTATCCTCCAATTGTGTATCTATGTGTGAAAGAGTGTAACTTGAAAGCACTGCACAATATCTGTGTCCTGAATGTCAAGTAGGTTTGTTAAGTAGATGTAGTGGTTAACAAATCTAATCAACAGATCTTTTATCAGAGGCCCAAATAAATATGTTTAAACTTACACTTTAATTCTCAAAGTCTCTGAGAGAAATTGAGGACACCATTGACTGGGGCTGCAACTGATGATTATTTTCATTATCTGTTAGAGTGACAATTATTTTCTCAATTAAACATTTAATTGTTGGGGAAATAAAGTGTCAGGAACAGTCTTGTTTTGTCCGTCTAACAGTCCAAAAGATAAATGCAGTTAGCTATGAGAGATTTCAAATGAAACAAGCAAACATGATCATTTTGTAGGCTGGAACCAGTGATTTCTGCTTTATTTATATATTATTTCAAATCTGATGCCAGGGAAAGATTTAGAGATATAGAGTGGTAATTTACGGCAATGCCTATATGATTAATGTGGGTCTGAGGGTTTGTTATATTGCATCAGTCACTTTTACCATTCCTACATTATTTCATGACATTGTCTCACTAATTTACATATTAACAGGACAGGATGCAGTCACCTTATGGCCAGTGAGTAACTAGATATATTGTACAAATGTGAAACATGCTGTCTGTTTTAATATGATATTTATATTATTACAAAATAGTTTAAATAATATAAAATGTCTACATAGGAAATACTGTATATTACACAGCTACAACTACATTAAACCATTTAATAATTGTTTTAATAACATAAATCTTTAATAAATGCATTTATACACTGAATAATTATTTGTAATTTATGAACAATAGTGAGTAATTCTGGACACGTGTTCTTGATAAGAATCGAAAGAATCATTTCAAGAGACAAAGACAAAACACAGACAAATTCACAGAGCTCAATCATTTGTTTAAAGCTGCAAGTAGCATTTTGTAACCACCAGGGGGCAGAAAGTCAGCTGAACAAACACAAATACTAAGATCTGATAGGTAGGAATTATGTTGCCTGATTCTGCTACCGGCTTCCACATCTCAGAACTGCTTCCTACATCTGTGATTTGTTCGGTCATTAAAATATAATGAATGAATGATGTGAGACTAATTATTAGACTACTGTTGCACATGATTTATATCCTATGTGACCTTTATGTCCACTATTTATAACTATCAAGCTGCTGAAAGCTCT